GTGTATGATCTCACTGTTTCTGCGTTTGTCTAGGGGCGACATGTTGAGGGTCAAGGAAAGTTTCAACACTGTCTGTTTGTTGTTTTACTGTAGCTAAAGATTCAGGACGGTATTCCAGTTATCTGGCGGTAAATTCGAGTACCTAGTCGAGGCATTCAAAATAGAGCTAAAAAGCGGGCGAGCTTGAAAGTCTCTGCTAGTGACGTGGCATTTGTAGCCCTAGCAGGGGTAGCAAAATGAATGTGATTCCTTTGAACTGGAAGTTTGCATACTGCGGGCCATAACTTTCGTAATATATGTACTCGTCCAGGACTTGCTACCGAGCAAGTATCGAGGAACAGATCCCCGCCCTATTTCTTTGTTCACGGAGGTTCCCGGCACATAGCTGATCTATTAGGGCAATACTCCATAGGTGCCCATAGGTGCCTACGTTCCGATGGTGGTCTTTCAATGATCTTGTGCAATAAAGGAGATTCCATTTTGCTCCATATCCTTGTTGCGGTTAATCCGTTCAACCAAGGGAATTAACTCTATCAGAAATTGCATTCAACGAATTCGACATACAAATCTACTAACAACACACTTTGCAGTTCTTGGGAGGATTGCCCAAGCTTGAGGCATACGTCCCAGGCCTCGGCGCTCGTGGATAAAAGACTACGAATCAGTTGTAGCAAAGAATAGCTACTTTCTATAGACTTCTCTTCTCTTCTTTTTTTTTGCTTTTTGTCCTCTAAACTGGTCGACATGGTATATATCCCCCGGCATCACGTGTTTCCCCGCATTGAGGTAGAACCACTTATGTTGTATACAGAAATGGGAAGGAAAAAATGCTGTGGTGGGAAAGCTTGGAATTTACGAATTATCTAGCATGTTGCTGTAATTATCTAGTATCTTGATGTAGAATGAAAAACCATCGGGGTCGGTCTTGCATAGCATAAGACTGTTGGTTCCTGACGCCCAGCCTCCTCTCGCTTCTCCGCCCGCGTCATCGCCTGGGGCTAATCTTACCCTCTGAATCTCTCCGCTTTCTGCTTCTCAACCTTCGAACTTGTCTCTATCTTTTACTTCAGCTATATGCTCCAGCTTTATTCTCTAATTTGATCAATTCGGCGGTCCGCCCCGCACTCCTTCCTCGGTTGTTGGTATCGCTGCGTACTAGGACACGCTGCTGTCATCCTTTCCACAAGATGCGCTTGACTGGCGCAATATCCCTTTCGCTTCTCACATTAACTCCTTTACTGGGGTCTGCTGCAGCATGGAGCGAATTTACCGATGCAAACCTCGCTACGCAATCCTACTCCCTCTTCGATGATCGGCCACCCGGATGTCCCGAGTGTCCAGCTTGCTTCAACTGCCAGCTCGACAACTATAACTGCACTCATTTTGCGGATTGCAATAACTTCAACGGCAAATGCTCATGCCCGCCCGGATTTGGAGGCGACGACTGTTCAATTCCCCTATGCGGTTCGTTGGCTGACGACTTGAACCGACCGCAGCGCGATTCCAACACCTGTCAATGCAAGGATGGCTGGGAAGGCATCAACTGCAATGTCTGCAACTCAGATGATGCCTGCAACGCGATGATGCCCGAAGGTCAGGGGGGCGTTTGTTATAAGCAAGGTGCCACGGTCAAGGAGAACTTTCAAATGTGTGATGTGACCAACCGTGCGATCTTGAAACAGCTCGACGGCCGCAAACCTCAAGTGACTTTTTCCTGCAAAGCTGAGGATGACACATGTAGCTTCCAATTTTGGGTTGACCAGAAAGAGTCATTCTATTGCGGCCTAGACACTTGCGAGTGGAACACGGAAACAGACTACAACTCCAATACAACTCACTACAAGTGCGAGCACCTTCAGTGCGAATGTATTCCGGGCCGTTTCCTCTGTGGCGAGAATGGATCGATTGACCTGAGCGATTTCCTTGATCAACTGATCAAGGGCCCGGCTACTTTCGATACTAAATCGACCCTGGAGGGTACCAAGAGCGTTTTCTCGGAGCCTCAGATGAACGGATTAATTGCGGGCGTCTTCGGTGATCCAAGTATCTTCTTGTCATGCAATTCAGGAGAGTGCATGTACAAGACTGATGAACCTGGATACGAGCGCCCCGTGAAGAAAATCAACACTCCACTCATCGCCGGCGTGATCGCGGGAACTTCACTCTTTGTGGTTGCGGTCATTCTAATCATCTGGTATATGTCCCGTCGTGCTGCGCGCCGCGGTTATATTCGCCTGTCTCTTTCGGATGATTCGGACGACGAATCTGCCAAACTCCTGGCAGACTATCACCCCGCGGCTTTGTACTGGGATACCGTTTCTTATACACTAAACGGAAAAGAGATTCTCTCTGGCATTCAAGGTGCGTCCATACCAGGCCAAATTACAGCCATTATGGGAGCATCTGGTGCTGGGAAAACTTCATTCCTCGATATCCTAGCGCGAAAGAACAAACGTGGCTCAGTGAAGGGAAACTTTTATGTCAACGGTGAAAAGATTGATGATAATGACTTCAGAACCATGGTTGGCTTTGTCGACCAGGAAGACACGATGCTTGCTACCTTGACAGTCCATGAGACCATCTTGACAAGCGCCCTACTCAGACTTCCCCGGGATATGAGCCGGGCAGCTAAAGAGCAGAGAGTCCTGGAGGTCGAAAAGCAACTTGGGATCTATCACATCAAAGATCAATTGATTGGCTCGGAAGAAGGCAATGGTCGTGGCATTTCCGGTGGAGAGAAGCGCCGAGTCGGAATTGCTTGTGAGCTGGTTACCAGCCCTAGTATCCTTTTCCTGGACGAACCCACTAGTGGATTGGATGCCTACAATGCATTCAATGTGGTTGAGTGTCTGGTGACGCTTGCCAAGACATACAACCGCACTGTTATCTTCACCATCCACCAACCTCGCTCGAACATTGTTGCTCTCTTTGACCGACTCATCCTTCTTGCTGATGGACGCACTGTCTATTCTGGTCCTTTCTCATCATGCCAGCAGTATTTCGACCGTGTGGGCTATTCCTGTCCACCGGGATTCAATATTGCAGATTACCTTGTTGATCTTACAATGCACGCCGGAGGCGCACATTCATCATATACAGACGAAGTGGCGTTGTCTGTGGATGGGCGCACTGGTCCATCTAAGACCGCATCAAGCAGTCTCAGAGCCGTCAAGTCTGTCACCAGCGCGTCGATCCGGAGTATTGAAGACAACTCAAGCGGCGCAGAGGCGACTCGGAGACCCAAAAGCAAACGCCAGGTGTCTCTAAAACAGCAGCAGGATCGCCAACTTTACTCCCGAAAGCAACATAATGAGCGCCCAGTCACGCCAAAGACAGATGACGAGAGTGCTACATTGGATGTAGCCGATAATCATCAACAATGGCTGCGTCTTTCTCGTCAACAAAGCAATGTTCCTCCGCAAATCCTCGATGATCCCGATCAGCTCCCTCCTCCGGCATCTGGACAAAGTGATCTCGACATTTTGGTGGCTAGCTATGCGGATTCTGACGTTTGCCATTTTGTTCATGATGAGATTCTAACCGCCGTTCAGAATGCCCAGGCTGCGAACGGTTCACCAAATTCGCCCATATTGTCGGATACTGTGATACAGTCTAAGGGCTATGCCCGAGTTGGTCTGGTGCGGCAGTTCATGATCCTTTCTCAGCGGACGTGGCGCAACCTTTATCGCAACCCGATGTTGATGCTCACACATTACGCAATTGCTATTCTTCTCGCAGTTTTATCTGGATACCTCTTCTATGGCCTCACTGACGATATCAAAGGCTTCCAGAATCGTCTTGGTCTTTTCTTCTTCATCTTGGCTCTGTTTGGTTTCAGTACTTTGACTAGTCTCAACGTGTTCTCCACGGAGCGGCTTTTGTTTGTACGTGAGCGTGCCAATGGTTATTACCATCCGGTCACATACTTTGCGTCCAAAGTCGTGTTTGATATCGTTCCTCTGAGGCTGATTCCTCCCATCATCATGGGTATGATTGTATACCCCATGACGGGTCTGATTCCGGCGTGGCCTGAATTTTTCCGCTTTTTGCTGGTTCTGGTCCTTTTCAATCTCGCGGCAGCCAACATTTGCCTCTTCATTGGCATTATTTTCCGGGATGGCGGAGTCGCCAATCTTATCGGCAGTTTGGTGATGCTTTTCAGTTTGCTCTTCGCCGGTCTCCTGCTGAATCACGATGCGATTCCTAAGTCAGCATTGTGGTTGCAGACTGTGAGTTTCCCTCTAACCTGAGTGATGCTTTCCCTACTAACCATATTACCAGCTGTCCATCTTCCACTATGGCTTCGAGGCCTTGATCGTCAATGAAGTGACTTACCTCACTTTGATTGATCACAAGTACGGCTTGGATATTGAAGTTCCCGGTGCCTCTATCTTAAGCGCATTCGGCTTTGACACCCAGGCCTACTGGAGCGATGTTATCGGGCTGGCTGTCATTTCTGGGGCCTTCATCATCATTGCATACAGTGCAATGCATTTCCTACTTGTCGAGAAACGATGAGCTGGTCCTTACGTGTTGCTATACACTGGTATGATACCATCGAGGGTGTTTTCAATGATCCTGTGTTTTGTCTTGGGTTGGACTTGGTCCTTGTCCATGTCCGACGTCGTTTCGTGTTTTGCGGTCATTGCGAAGGGGATTGAAGATCGGCTCTTTAAAGATGCATGGAAGCCCGTATGCTGCGGTCTATAGTTTGTCACTATGTATATAGACAAAATAGACATGCCTAATGATCCCTTCATGCCTCCAAATAAACAACGTTGAAGTTGGGTACATCTACTCCGTATTTCCCATGTACTTCCACGAGGGACGGTCCACGTCATCCTCCTACCAACCTTCCAAGGTTGCCACCTGGACAAAAGAACTCAGTTACAATAATCAGCAATATTTACTTCGACTACAACACCTTGAATCTATTTCTTATCGAGTACTCTGGACTACAGCATGTACGTTACCAGCCCCGTTTGCGGGTTGCGCTAATGATGACCAGCCCTCCCGACACCGCCGACCGCAGTTCGCTAATCGAAACTCTTTCTTTCGATCCCACCTCATCTCTGCTCAGTACGTTGTTTTTCATCTCCATCAGCTTGAGTGCATTTAGCTTTGTTTTTGTGAGTGAGCTTTGATCCCTCTTTGGAGAGGACTCTGTGCGATTCGTCTGTCTTCCTTGGGCGGAAGAACCCCACAAACATCTCCAATTCCGGCCTCTTCAATCCACCTCAACCTCACCCACTTTTGTCGCCGACAGTTTACTCATATCCTCTGTTTAGCCATTCAAATTCTGTCAATTATACTTGACGCAACGTCAAAATCGCAATGATGTCTGGCGAAGCATGGCTTTACCTGTTGTCGGTGTTGATCAACGCCGTCAACCTCTTCCTCCAGGTGTTCTTCACGATCATGTACAGTGATCTTGAATGGTGAGTCTTCGCAGTCGTCCCAAGCAACAGTTTTTGATCCACACATACTGCCGAATACAAGCTGACACTTCACCTTTTTTTCCCAGCGATTACATCAACCCTATCGACCTTTGCAACCGCCTCAACGCCTACATCATCCCCGAAGCCGCTGTCCACGCGTTCCTGACCTTCCTCTTCGTGATCAACGGATACTGGCTCGCCATCGTGCTGAACCTACCCCTCGTGTTGTTCAACGCCAAGAAGTACGTTGGAAGCTCCCCGAGTAGTCGCAAGCCCTCTTCAGCGGTAGGCTAACCGTGTCGTTTTTGAAAATACAGGATCTACGAGAACCAGCACCTTTTGGATGCGACCGAGATTTTCCGCAAGTTGAACGTGCACAAGAAGGTATGTTTGGTTTCTACCTCCCAATTTACCGCACAGTGACTGACTCGAAATCGTGTTTAGGAATCCTTCATCAAGCTTGGCTTCCACCTTCTTATGTTCTTCTTCTATCTTTACAGCATGATTGTTGCCCTGATCCGTGATGAGGGTAATTGACTGCGTGAAAAGACCGAATATGCGATGCATCATGGTTCTCCCGGCTAGATCAAGGAACCGTCTGCCGATGAGCTGTTGTCACAAAATTCTTAGGTCGATGTCCTCTGGACATTCTTCTCAGCCTATCGCACGACCCTGGAACCTGAGTGCAGCCCCAAGACGGCCGTCATATCATATAACTCGGTATGTCGATATGATTCCTTATCGTATGGGTGGCCATGACTACGGATGAGCAACGAATTCTTTCAGTCTTGAGATATCTGAGGACTACAGCGATGAGAGGTAATAGATATTTTCTTTGGGGTGTCTCGAGCTGAGGATGTGAGCTGGATTATTCGAGATACTGTATGATTGACTCGCGGTGGTGCATCTCTTGCTAACTTTTGCTTTGTTTTTAATTCTTCTTCTGTGTTAATCTTGTTGTATCTTTCGGCCTGTTGAAGTTGTATATACCTCCCATGCGGTTGGCAATGAAGAGCGTACGATACCCAAGTTCTAACATTTAACTGATTTATTGTTGAGAAATACCATCGCCATCAAATATGCGTAAGAAGAGTAACAGGTAGACATAATTGACGTACTTAACTATCGTCGAAGCTGCATTGGGGCTGATAAAGAGCTTGGCTGCGGTGGCTGTTCCCCGGCCTTCGTATCGGGGGTCTCCCGACGCCCGTAAAATTCCCATCCACCACCTACTCCGTACCATTTAACAACCACATTCAACCCCGACGTTGTTGCAAAGGGGCATTGAGATCTGCGCATTCACACCCTCTTTAACATATTAGTCATGTCCGCCTTACTAGGTCTTGGTTATGACTCCAGCGATGATGATGACGCCACAGCTATGCCCTCGTCTGTGACGACCGCGACCAAGGTCGTTGCTGCACCAGAGGTCAATACAGAGGTTTGGTCCCCCCATAATCATCCTCCTTCCCGAATCTCTTTGTGCCTTACACTTGAGCTATGACGAACAGATAAGACTAACGATCCTACAGGACCAAGCGCATATGCAGATGGCCCTCGCCAACGCCTCATCCCAAGCCCTCACCTACAATGCCACATACGATGATCTTACAAAGCCTTCCCAGGGCCCTGTGAACCCGTTCAAGCCAGCAGGTCCGGGAAACGGTATCAAAAGAAAGAATGTTCCGACTGGATTTGCTGAAGAAGCAGCCATCAGCGAGTCCACATTTTCTGCGCAACATCGCACGTTCCAAAGTCTGGGATACACTCGCAATCCGACACTACCGGACCAATTTATCGGAAGCCTCGAAAATGCGGCACAATATGGAGGCCGGGATATTGTACAAATTAAGCCGACTAAGAGCGCGTCCGCAAACTGGCGGACAAAGCGGCAAAAGAAGGGCGACTCCAGTGTTGTGGAGGGAGAGGGCGCATATCTGGGACCCTGGGCGAAATACCAAAATGACCAGCAATATGACTACGTGGAGGTTGCTGAAGGAGAAGAGCGCGCGCTTGGTAGTGACGAGGAATATATCGAAGAGGAAGACGAGACTCTGACTACCACGGCACCTATGCCGGCCATGAGTAAGGATGCCACCGCTTACGAAGGTGATCTTGCCACGCAAGAAACCACCGAGTTTCACGGATCAGAGCAGTACGACTACCAGGGCCGGACGTACATGCACGTGCCTCAGGACTTGGATATCGATTTGCGCAAAGAGCCCGGCACCACCAAGAACTACGTACCCAAAAAACTCGTGCAAACTTGGAAATCGCACACCAAGCCGATCACCTCTCTTCGATTCATCCCCAAATCTGGCCACTTGCTGCTTTCATCAGCAGCCGATGGGAAAGCCAAGCTCTGGGATGTGTATCACTCTCGGGAACTCTTGCGGACTTTCTCCGGCCACACCAAAGCAATCTCAGACACAGATTTCCATCCATCGGGGACGACCTTCCTTACCGGGTCATACGACCGACAGATCAAGCTCTGGGATACCGAATACGGTAAATGTCTTGGCCGGTTTTCCACAGGCAAGACACCGCACGTTGTCCGCTTCAACCCTAGCCCAGAACACTCACACGAGTTCCTGGCCGGTATGTCTGACAAGAAGATTGTGCAATTCGACACCCGGTCCGGCGAGTTGGTCCAAGAGTATGACCACCATCTGGCTGCCGTCAACACTCTTACTTTCGTTGATGACAACCGCCGCTTCATCTCCACCTCAGATGACAAGTCGCTGCGCGCTTGGGAATACGGCATTCCTGTCCCGATTAAGTTCATCGCAGAGCCCTACATGTTCGCGCTCACGCGTGCGGCGCCCCATCCGAATGGCAAGTATGTCGCCTTCCAGTCAGGCGACAACCAGATTGTCGTCTACAGCGCGACGGACAAGTTCCGCCAGAACCGAAAGAAGCGCTTCGTTGGGCATAATACTTCCGGATACGCTATCGACCTCAAGATCTCACCTGATGGTCAGTTCCTTGTTTCCGGTGACAGCGGTGGTTATGTCTGCTTCTGGGACTGGAAGACCGGCAAGATGTATCATAAGATCCAGGCTGGTGGAAAGGAAGGTGGGGCTATTACTTGTGTGGACTGGCATCCCCATGAGTCCAGTAAGGTCGTCACTGGTGGATTGGACGGTGTTATCAGGTATTGGGATTAAAAGCGTTGTATGGTTATCAGGTGTTTATATTAGTTTGATCAAAAATTCAGACTTGGATATTAGAACCTTTCCCTTTTGTGCACTTCATGCTCTCTACCATAGTCTGCTGTCCATGTTAAGGTACTTTCTCGTGTAACAAACTAAACGCGTTAGGAATCCCCCAGGTATCTGCACATTGTTACATATCCACTCAAAATCGAAAAAAAAAGCTTTAAATATGAAGATATTTTCGAATGGTCCTCAACCCGACACAAGCCAGATGCCGTGAGCACCGAACCAATCCCACCGGTGAGAGATACTGAGGGTACTTCCACATCAAGATGGACACAGCTCCAACACTGGCAACCAAAGCCCCGCTCAAACCAAGACCAAGCACTTGGCTCTGGTTTTGAACAGCTTCAACTACCTCGGAGTAGCGCTGGTTACTGAAGCTGACACGGGCATACTGCGTTTTCCAGCCAAGGAACGGGAAATGGCGATCGATAGTTTCTTCGATGGTCTTGCGCAGCTTGTAGAGCGGCGATTTGACGCCGGCGCGCATTTCGAGATAGTTATCCTTCGATAGATCGTTGATTGCATGCGTATCAGCACAGCGCTGGTCTGTGTAGGCTTGGAAGGCTGCCTGGCGCTTGAGACCGCGTGTGTAGACGCTAGAGTTGGGGTCATAGACTCCATGTTTGTCCAGTTCCTCGAAGAGGACACGGACATCTTCGAGACCGGCATTCAGTCCCTGTCCGTAGAAGGGTAGGACTGCGTGCGCTGCGTCGCCGATAATGACGACACTGGCGTTGAAATGGTGAGGTTTGCATTTGATGCTGATCAGTGGGAGATGCGGGTTCGCTGCAAACTGCTCACTCAACGCCGCGGGCTCGATTAGCTCTGGGCATACGCCGGGGAAATAGGAGTTGAAGAATTCATGCAGATCCTGTGGCGAGGTCTCGAGTTTGTTGTAGTTCGAGAATGGTGCGAATAAGGTGCACGTGAATGACTTGTCGGCTGAAGGTAGCGCTATGAACATGAACTCGCGCCCAGGCCAGATATGGAGGTGGTTTGGCGAAATGCGGAAGTCTCCATCTTCCGAGGGTGGAATCCGGAACTCGCACCAGAGAGTGTCGATGTACTCTTGCTGATAATCGACACGAGCGAACTTCATCAGGTGGAAGCGCGCGGCGGAGTGTGCTCCATCGGCACCGACAAGGTAGTCGAAGGACACCTCGATCTCTGGTACTCGACCAGCTACACCGGCATCGTCGGCCGTGGGTGTCTCACCGGGGATTCTGCGCTCAAACCAGGCTTTGTTGGTCCGAAAGTCAGCACCCGTGAGCTTGTGGTTGAAAAATAGCTTGACATTGGGGGTTTTCTCCAACTCATCAAGGAGGGCATTGTTGAGAGTTCCTCGGTCGATGGCATTGATAGCCTTATAGTAGTGGTTAGCTATGATCTGCAGTGTAAATAGCAATAGCAACTGCCAAGCAGGTGATCGGTGCATACCCGGCCGTGAACATCATAGGCCTGTGCAGCTTCCCACAGACCTCCTCGGTCTCGCCCGTGGATCATCCGCCCGTGCATAGGGATCGCTCCACGGAGAACATTGCCGATCAAATCATCCCGACCAGAGTTTCTCATGGACGTAATTCCACGTTCGGAGAGCGCCAAGTTGATAGACTTGGTAAAGTTCAATGGCACAGTCGTAGGGTCTCGGAGATCTACGGATGCGCAGGGATTATTGGCGTCAGTTCGGAAGAATTCGCAATGAATCACAACTGAGCCAGGACAAGTGCAAGGGGCATGGAAGATATGGTGATATGGATTAATCGGAGTAAGTTTCTCCTAATAGCAGAGTTGACACAGGGACCTTGCGAGACATTGTGCCTTGGATAAAAAGCCAGCCATCCCCGGCCAAAGACATATGCGTTCTTCCTTGACAATCGGGTTGTGTCCAATGGCGGCCACCAAAAGGTGAAAAAAGAAAAGAAAGGTCACACCAGGCAGTGAAACATACCTCCACGGAGCTCATATACTTCCACCTCGTCACCTCTTGATGCAGCATATAGTGCTGCCAAGGCTCCTACTGGGCCAGCACCCACAACAACCACTTTCTGCCTTGGAATAGCCATCATGTAAGTTTAACTGGTCGTCCAAAACAAAGGCAGGTACGCGTTGAAACGGAAGAATAAGTCATCATCACGTGCTGCGAGGTCGGCCCCCTTCCTTCCAAAATGAGATGATCGACATTAGTCATCCGTTTATAGGAGTCCAAATGCAGTTTAGCTCCGTATCGCCGGCCCGCGGGGATTTTCTCGAAGTTTTGGCCGCCGTCCAATCTACTCACTACATATTCCCTCCAGTTTTTTTTCTTTTCACTCCTGCTATTCTAACATGGCTGAAGTTGCGACTCGCAAATGCCGGGGTGTGGACTGCCCTAACGATGCAGGCACCCTACAATGCCCGACATGTCTGAAGAGCGGCACGGACAGTTTCTTCTGTTCGCAGGACTGTTTCAAACGAAGCTGGGTACGTAGGACTATGATGGGACTGAATGATGCGTAGTACATGCGCCCTGGTATGTGGGAAGTCAAGGGCTGATCATATACTCTAGAGCGAACATAAGAGCATCCACAAAAAGAGTAACATCCTCACCAACTTTTTTCCTCCGAAGGTAGTTTCTGAACCAGATCCAGCCACCGGTACCTTCAATCCGTACCCGTCCTTCCCTTACGCCGGTTCTTTGAGGCCCGTCTATCCTCTGTCACCCAAACGAACGGTTCCCAAGACGATCCCGCACCCGGACTATGCCCGCGATGGTATCCCCCGCTCCGAGCAAAAACTTATCGGCCGACATAACATCACCATCCTGAACAAGGAGGAGCAAGAGGGAATGCGTAAGGTTTGCCGATTGGCTCGTGAGGTTTTAGATGCTGCTGCTCGTGAATTGAAGCCTGGTGTCACAACGGACTACCTCGACGAGGTTGTCCACAAGGCTTGTATTGAGCGTGATGTACGAGAGGTTGCTCTCTGGTGCGCAATACCACACTAACATAAGTTTAGTCTTACCCCTCCCCTCTGAACTATATGAACTTCCCCAAGTCCGTGTGTACCTCAGTCAACGAGACTATCTGTCACGGTATTCCCGATCAACGGCCCTTGCAGGATGGAGACATTGTCAACATCGATGTTACTCTGTATCATAAGGGATTCCACGGCGATATCAACGAGACCTACTATGTTGGAGACAAGGCACTTGCGAACCCCGACGCCGTCCGAGTGGTGGAAACCTCGCGTGAATGTACGAACAAGTCAATTGAGCTCGTCAAACCTGGCATGCTGTTCCGCGAACCTGGCAACCTCATCGAGAAGCACGCAAAGAGCCGCAACTGCAGTGTCGTCAAAAGCTACTGCGGCCACGGTATTAACCAGCTGTTCCACTGTGCGCCCAACATTCCCCATTACGCCAAGAACAAGGCTGTTGGAACTGCCAAGCCCGGTATGTGCTTTACAATTGAGCCCATGATCAACCTTGGTACCTACCGTGACCGCACTTGGCCGGATGACTGGACAAGCACCACCCAAGACGGACTTCTGTCAGCCCAGTTCGAGCATACCCTTCTCGTAACTGAGGATGGTGTCGAGGTGCTGACTGCCCGTCTGCCTGACTCACCTGGTGGGCCGGTTCCCATGCCTTCGACAGCATGAACTTAGGGAATTGGGAGTTAACTAAAAATAAATTTTGCATATATTTAGTTCAGATACCTATTCAACAGCCGAATTTACGACCGTTCGATGACCTATCAGTATAGTTCTATAAGTGAGGTAATGTATTAAATGAGTAGCCCGTACAAGATAGGGCTATATCCTAGGCAACACTTCGATGTCATCGCAGATCAAAGTCCTGCAGGTCTAGCGGCATAGGAATGATGGACATTTGATTGGCCGAAACGGGTAAGTCGGTCCCGGGGAGTGAGGGGCGTCTTATCTTCACGTGGGGGCTTTTTGGGGTTTAGATGCCCTCGCTCTCCTCTTTTGTTGATTTCTCCGTAGACGTTCAGTCAAGTCATTTTGACTTTCGGACAATCTGGAGCGATCTGACGATAGACAGTCTCGATAATGGCTCCAGAGACATCTCCTACCGAGAACTCCCCGTTGCTGGGATCCGTATCTGTTAACGGCGCTGTGTCCAACGGCACGATTCCCGATCATCATGTGGAATCAGGGGATACAGTTCAAGCAGAGGAGCGAAGAAAAGAGTCGTCCAATGACGCACAGAAGCAGCTCAAATATATTGTGCCTGCCATCTCGCTCGGAGTATGGATTCTTCCAATGTTTATTGATTCTGTTTTCTGAAATCGAAGTTGTGACTAACGGGATATATAGATTTTCTTGTCGGCGGCAGACCAGACAATTATCATGGCCAGTTATGGTCAGATTGGTAGCGACTTGAAAGCTCTCAACCTGACCAGTTGGATTGCTACTTCTTACTTTCTCACTTTAACATCATTCCAACCTCTATATGGCAAGCTAAGCGACATATTTGGTCGCAAGCCGTGCCTCCTCTTTGCATATGCGGTTTTCGGCCTTGGATGCTTGGGCTGCGGTTTAGCTCGGGATATTAATGAGTTGATCGCTGCTCGTGTATGTTCACATATGATCTCAGGTCTGAATCATGTAATGCTGACTATTTCGAACAGGTCTTCCAAGGCATTGGTGGTGGTGGTATGACCACCGTCGTAAGCATTTTGATGAGTGATATTGTTCCTCTTCGCGATCGAGGCCTATGGCAGGGTATTATCAATATCATCTATGCCACAGGTGCCGGTACCGGTGCACCCTTGGGTGGAATTCTCTCCGACTACATTGGCTGGCGCTGGTATGAATGATGCGAGACCCACATTTCCTTGCGCCATCTGACGTTTTTTTACTTAGGGCGTTTCTAGCGCAATTCCCCCTCTGCATTATTGCTTTCATTGCCGTGTCTTTCCTGCTCAAGCTGCCTCCTCGCGATAGCGCCCATTGGAAGACCAAGCTGCGTCGCATCGACTTCCTTGGCGCCGTAGTCCTTGTTGGCGCTGTTCTTGGTTTCCTAGTTGGTCTTGATCGTGGCAGTAATGTGTCATGGAGATTACCCCTGACAATTGCCTCGCTAGCTGTCTCTGCTGTCTTGTTCGTGGTCTTTATCTTAGTTGAGATCTACCTAGCAGCCGAACCCTTTGCGCCTGGTCACATCATCTTCAACCGAACATTCTTTGCTTGCTACAGCTGCAACTTCTTCAGCTTCGGGGGATGGATTGCCGCCCTGTTCTATATTCCATTATACTTCCAAGCAGTAGATGATGTCTCTGCCACGACTGCGGGACTGCGCTTACTGCCAAGCATTCTAGCTGGTGTCACTGGGTCCGTGTTTGCGGGCTTGTTGATGAAATGGTCTGGCAAGTATTACTGGCTGACAATTGCTGCGTATGCTTCCCTGACAACTGGTGTGTTCTGTATATACCTGTTCTCCGGTGGTGTGGTGGCTAGTACAGTCCCGATGATCTGCGGGATGGTGATTTCGGCATTCGGCAATGGCATTGGTGTCACTACAACTTTGATCGGTTTGAGTGAGTTTTTATCTGATCTTGCTCTGCAATCCTTCAATATATGCTAACCAATCCGCCAGTATCGAATGCTACATATGAAGATCAGGCGGTCGTCACTGCTTGCTCATATCTATTCCGCTCATTGGGATCCGTGATTGGTCTCTCTTTATCATCAACTGTCGTTCAGCAAGTCTTACGGAATCGATTGCAATCAGGTCTACGTGACAGTAAGAACATTGATCAAATTGTCGAAGGAGTGCGAGAAAGTCTGGACTTTATCAAAACGCTCGACCCAGCAACTGCCAGGATTGTCCGGGACTCGTATGGCTGGTCCACCAACAAGGGATTCGCCTTTTTGGTTTTTGTCGTGTTCTTCGCTTTGTTAAGCAGCTGTTTCATCCGTGAAAGCAAACTCAACCGCTAATTCACAGGTGAAGCTATACTTCAAAAAGTTTTAGATTTGTGTTCTTTCAAAAGCAAAAAACTTGCAAGCAAATTACTATAGTGCATGGTCTATCTAGAATTGGGATTGGCTTGAAAATTGTCAATGTTTATCGCATATATATACCACAGAAGCTACCGAGGACATATTAGATATAAAAGAAGTTTGGTATCTATTTCAAAATTCTATCAAGAAAAGAGCATAGGCTTCCAATATATAGAGCAGCTAATATATCATCTCCCATTTTTTTCAAAAAATTTGGCTTCTCGTACATCGTAGGTATGATGTTGTAGGGCTCTGCTGGGCAGCCCTGGAGCTCAAGTATAGCTTACTAATCAGAGCGGCCGGGCTCCAGTCAGCAACCAGCGAGTTGACGTTTCAACCTTGGAAATGCCATCTCCAAATTGACTGTCATATCCTTTCTAATTTGAGTGTCTTGATTGACACTTTGCGGGTCTGACTTGATCTGCTTATCCAGCTGTGATCAGAATGCGCTACACCTTGTGTTCCTGATGTTTTTTTGCAGCTTCCGCTAGCTCAAATTCCACCAAACCTCCGTCATGTCCGACTCGCGCCCAGGGCCAGTCTCACTAGCACGATATCGACCTATCCTCTACCTCTTCACTGGTGTCGCTGCTGCCTATGCGATTCTCTATGTTCACAACAATGTCATCTCGCAGCCATCATCAAGTTCACTCCGACGTCGAAATGCTGTGCGCCGGACGAGACCAACCGAAGCCGAAGAACCTGGGATCGCTGATACTCCGTCTTATCGAGCTATTACCCACCTTGAACAGCTAGAGCATCAGAATGGTGTATATGGGACATTTCGCATCGAGACGGAGGATGGGCGTCGCGTGGAGAGCGGTCTTCTTCCATCACTCCTCGCAACACGCGACCAGCTAATGGAAGAAGTGGGCGTCCCGCCTGCTCATGCAGAGCGCATGCGCGAGATGATGGAGGATACATTTCTTGAATCCTTCCTTGCACTCGATTTCCCGTCTGCACATATTCTCCCAGAGGATACCGCAGAAAGAACATACCTGACAGAACAACTTCAACGCCGAGGTATCTCCCGAGCTGGTATTGAAAGGGCTCTGGTCCGGTTCAACGGAGATACGAACTACGGCGAAGAGCTGCGTCGGCGACGACAGAACGGTGAACGTGTCACTCTCTCAACCTCCACTTTTCCAGACGTGTCTGCCCCTCCACAGAATATTGACGGCGGTGAGACGGTGGTGGACGACCAGAGCGTCTTCTCATGGCGTGATGGAAACAACGATCCTTCTAATAGGGAAGGTCAAAACCTGCTTAACCTGCTTTATCATATTGCCGAGGATCAGGCGCGGAGGGACGGCTATATCCATCGTGGGGTTACTTGCAACAGCTGTGGTGCCATGCCGATTCAGGGTATCAGATACCGATGTGCCAATTGCATCGACTACGATCTCTGTGAGACGTGCGAGGCAATGCAGGTCCATATCAAAACACATTTGTTCTACAAAGTGCGGATTCCAGCCCCATTCTTAGGAAACCCTCGTCAATCCCAGCCTGTATGGTATCCCGGGAAGCCTTCAATGCTCCCGCGCAGTCTTCCACGCCCTCTTGCCAAGCGTCTTATGAAAGACTGCAATTTCGAAAATACGGAGCTTGATGCACTCTGGGATCAGTTCCGCTGTTTGGCCAATTATGAGTGGGCAAATGACCCAAACAAGTTGCATATGGCCATCGATCGCAAAACATTCGACCGATGCTTTGTGCCTAATACTTCTATCCGGCCGCCGCCCCCGAGTCTCATTTACGACCGAATGTTCGCATTCTATGACACCAATGGCGACAATCTTATCGGGTTCGAGGAATTCCTGAAGGGCTTGGCCAGTCTCAACAACAAAAGCAACGACGAACGGCTGCGACGGGTGTTCCGCGGCTACGACATCGATGGAGATGGCTTTGTCGAACGCAAGGACTTCCTTCGGGTTTTCAGGGCATACTATGCGCTGAGCCGAGAGCTTACAAGGGACATGGTTGCTGGCATGGAGGATGACTTCCTAGAGGGTGGAGCCCGTGATGTGGTACTTGGTAGCCAGCCTATCAGCTCTGCATTCCCTGGTAGCATCCCTTCAGGTGAACGTTCTCGCACAGGAGAAGGCAAGAGCATGAATTCCGAGGGGGACATGGAAATCATTGACAACGAAGGAATCTTGCGACAGGACGGAGATGATACTGGTGATCGGCATTTGGTCGTGGGTGATGCTGCTGTCAGAGCACAATTTAGTCGAATGAGGCCATTGTTCCCATCTACACTACGCCTAGCACCCGCCGAGACTACTCCTCGCCCGCCAGATGCCATAGAGAGTGACCAAAATGAAGACGACGAAGAAGAAGATGAGGATGGTGCTAGCGAGAGTGGATCAGACCAATCTAGCTCGTCGGTGGCCAGTGGTACCTGGCCCCCAGTTGAACACATCCTCGAAGAAGATATTATTTCTGCTCTCGGGACCTATATTCCCGCTCGGGAAATCACGGATCCAATTGATCGGGCTCGCGTCGCGGATGCTGTTTATCACAGAATGCGCGAAGATGATCAGAGACGTGTGTTTGACGCTCGTCAGCGTGGAATTGACGAACGTTGGAGGCGCCGCGCCTTCTATACAGACGAAGAAGATGGCGCCACTATCCCTGCAGGGTATGAAAGGGATCCGGCCATTGATGACTTCAGCGATGATGAAGACCTTAATGAATCGGTATCGCGCCCACCCTCTTTCCGTTCGCGGTCCTCGTCCAAGGTGCGATTCCAGGATGATCTCAACGACGATGAGTACGACATTCGATCTAACCCATCCACCTCGTCCCGGAGTATTCCTGTTGGCGAGCGATGGGGTGGCTTTGAAATCCCAGAGGTCGAAAGGGACGTTGGGAAAGAAATCCTATATCAAGTCACGCAACAGGGATTCAACGAGCTTCTAGATATTCTATTCAAGCCGAAAGAGGACCTTATGATGGAGGTCTATCGCACGAGAGCTGATCGCAAGTTGTGGGCCCGCGAGATTGAACTCGCAGCAAAAGAGGACCCCTCGAAACGCACCACAACTGAGAATCCCCCAGTGGAGGAGGAACTCGAGGAAATTATCAACAGTCAGCCACTTGATGATCTATTACAGCGCGCTGGTTACCAGATTCGGAGCCCAGTCCTGGTACCTGAGAATACCGGACCAGTGCTAGCTCCGTCGCCGGGGCCCACCGTTTCAGATGAGGGTGATGAGGATGAGTATGAAGACGATGACGACGTGCGACCAACTCATCTCGCCGATCCCGGAAGAGATACTGGATTTGGGCAAGCACGGCCATTTGTGGAATCCGCCACAACGTCCGCCACTTCGTCTGATTATGGCGATGATATCGCTGCCTCTGCGTCTGGTGTGGGGCCATCCAGCCCGGTTGTTGAAGAGGAAAGACTCCACTGCGATCCAACTCTCCCACAGCATCGTCCCGACGAGCCATTCGTGATGACCCAGGAAGTGATTGCTGAATCAGACTCCGACTTGGAGGAATCACCAATTAGGAACACAAACCCTGATCTCCCTGATCGGTTCCGACTCCAGCCCGGGACCATCTCTCTTCCCGCCCCATCTTCTCCCCGCTCCTCCCCAGAAGCCGAAGCCACAGCCCCCAAGCTTCCTCCTTCTCCTATGCAACCACTCCCACCTCCTCATCGGGTCAATGACCTGCCTCGTGACACTGCCCCACGCCGACCTTCGCCCCGGACCCTAGCTCGGTGGGTCTATTTAGACCAGGTGGAACGTGAAAACAAGGAACGTGGTCACGGTGCGAGACTTAACTTTGAAGAGTTCTCGCGCCGTATGGCTGCTGATCGAGGGCGCCGACTCGCATTTGTGGCCAGTTGGATTGAGATGGCTAGCTTTTGATTATCTCGGATTCCTAGATTAACCTAGGTGTACATTATTGTAATTTAGCGGTACTTGGGATTTGAAGCAGATTTGTTAGTACAATGGCAATTTGGCTACAACAGAACTATAAAAAAAAAACAAACGTCTGATTTTCTAGGCTTCTAATTTAACCTTGGAATTCCTAACGACTACGGAGTCCTTCGAAGGAAATAGGAGAGAAGTCGGCGGGCCCCAAGATCTACTGGCCAAGACATTTTATAGCCTATAACATCTCTTATAAAGTCCTATAACGGAGTTTCCAATACCTCATCCTGCCAAGATACTACAACATATTTCAAACAAGGTACATATCAAACAACAAGAGAAAATAACTCGTAAGTCTGTCTGTTGTGGCCCGGCCCTGTCGACACGCCCCCCAATATTACGTGCTTTTGGAGACGAATGGCTCACTTTGCACCATTCCGAACCTCGGGATATCGACGATTATCTCCCACGACTCCGTATTTCCCATTACCGATTCGACACTAATTCAGAGTTCTTCAAGTGTCTCCAGTATACAACTGAGCACCAGTTATCCTCCTAGTAGCTGTGGGGCTCTACCGGCGAGAGATAAAACCAAGATATCGCGATTATAATGGGTTCTGACGTGCTGTTTTCTTTTCGTTCAAAATAATTCTGTGATCTTGGCTCCCCATCGCCATGTAGTACTAATAGTGGCTGTCTCCGGTATATTTCCGGATTGCATACCTCTCACATCCATCATGATTCTCGAACGTGTGACCCGCTTTTACCGGTCATGTCTATTCCAGATTGTCATCGTGGGATTAGTGGCCTTCTGCGAACCCGGTATCTGGACTGCTCTCAATAATCTTGGAGCTGGAGGAAATGCCAAAGTAAGTCATCGGAGTGTTGACAATCTGCTCAACTACCGCTAACATATCATTGTGCAGCCTTACCTGAACAATGCCGCCAATGCCCTGACATACGGACTCATGTCCGTTGGCTGTTTCCTTGCTGGCGGTGTCAGCAACAAGATCACTGCGAAATGGACCTTGTTCATCGGAGCCGCATTCTACACACCCTATGCGGCTGGTCTGTACTGCAACAATCGTTATGGCAATGAGTGGTTTCTCTTGCTCGCGGCCGCTCTTTGTGGAATTGGAGCGTCTCTTCTATGGGCTAGTGAGGCTGCCATTGCAGTCGGGTATCCAGAGGAGGAGAAAAGAGGACGGTAAGTCGAGACTCCCGGACCATGCAGTTGTGTATCCGACTGACCTTTTTATGTTAGCTACGTGGCAATCTGGATGTCTATCCGCCAGATGGGACCGCTTGTTGGCGGTGCCATTTCTCTCGCTCTCAATGTCAAGACTTCGCATGTCGGCAAGGTCACCTACACAACATACTTGGGCCTTGTTGCCATCTCATCCCTCGGCGCTCCATTTGCGTTGCTGTTGTCTCAGCCACAAGACGTTATCAGAAAGAATGGCACCAAGATTCCATACATGAAGAAAACGAACATGTCTATCGAGGCTCGCGCTATCTGGAAGCAGCTTTCGAATAAGTACATGCTGCTACTCATCCCAGTGTTCCTCGCTGGACAGTTTGGTGCAACTTACCAGGGAAACTATTTGACGAGTATGACATCTCCAGTCCTCCTTTCTTGATGATAAATGGCATCGCTGACAGAAAACCTAGCTTACTTCACCGTCCGCTCCAGAGCCCTTGCATCTTTCCTCACAGCCGTGGTCGGCGCCAGCGCCAACATAGTGACGGGCTTATTCCTCGATACAAAGTTTCTGTCACGAAGAACCAGATCCCAAGTTGTATACATATTCGTTGCTGTGTTTGTCACAGCGTCTTGGACATGGAACGCCATCGTCGAGTCGAAACTCTCCCGCATGACCGATCCCCCTGCCTTCGACTTGGGTGATGGCCCCTTCTTCAACTCGGCCTTCACCGTCTATATCTTTTTCCGGTTCTTCTATGAGATGTTGCAGACATACATTTATTGGTTGATGGCCGAGATCAAGGGAGCGCAGAGAGATGGCGATATCGCCCGAACAACCGGCATCCTGAGATCATGGGAGTCCATCGGCAGCACGATTGCCTACGCGGTCGGCACAACCCACTGGGCCAACATCAACCAGATGGCGCTGGGATTTGCACTATGGGGTGCTACAGTCCCCTTCACGCTTATGGCGGTGTTTGGCAATTGGAATGTCGACGAGCTCGAGGCGGAGGAAGAGGAACAAACAGACAACAGTAGTCTGGAGGCTCAGAGAGTGGTAATCGATTCCGAGGGGAAGAACTAATATGCATTTTCGTTGTCAAATCAGGATTTGGCAAAGAAACAATCCTGGTGATTGTTGCTTCGAATGTAATCTCATGTCGATATTCATGTCCTAAATATATAGATGAATAGATGCCTCATACTCTTCAAATATATCCTCTTCTTAATTACTCGTACTATATTAGCATCGAACCTTAAACCTTGGAATGGCCATCTAGTTAGTTATAAGATTGTCGGCCGCCCCAGGGCGTCCTATAATCTTTGAACAATGCAGTACTTGGACATGAATGAATTAATCTAAAAGATAAACATGACCCATGTGCCAAAACTTCCATGTCGAGTTGCGGGCAACTGTTACATGAATGCAAATGTCGAGGGTATAATGCCGCTAAATAAAAGAAAAAGATAGGGCCAATGTTTCAAAAATTGGTATATATACCGTAGGTCTCCCCTAAATAGCAATAGCGAAATCAAAGTAGGCCTTGACAAGTGCTGCAGCACTCGGGGGATTTTGGTGCTATTGTCCGGTGCTGCGGCACCTAGTACGGGGCGACTAAATGTGCCATCGGAACATAACTCTCTCATTGGATAATAGCTCACCGCCATTAATCACCGCTTGCCCAACACCGACCCAGATGCTTTCCGCCAAACGTCGTGATGCGCCAAGGGCTTCGGCCAGCTGCCAGGCGTTAAAGGTAGGTTGGATTTTTCTTTCTCTCGAACCAGAAGAATGATGCTCCATACACAGGGAGCAACAACAGCCACGCTATCAGGGGATAGATAGTTAAGAAAGAACTTGTTGGCACATAGCTTCTAAGGACTGCATGCCGATGATAATATCCCCTTCGTGTTGATTTCGGGGTCTGCGGAAGATACTTTCGAAGTTGAGCACCAAAGGTGTACCATGGATTTGCCCATCTTGGTACGTAACTCTCTACGTTGGTCGGAAAGGGGTATCCATGTGACTCTGGGTCTTATACGGATTTGGGGAAGGTCCTTCGGACCATACCTCCACGTCTACTCACCATGTAGGTTTGCGAGTAGTAGTGATGATAACGACGCACTTGGTGAGATGGTTAGAGTTGCTATACCACCACTGGGCGTCCTTGCATAGCTGGGAGTAGGATTCTGATACGCCGACTTCAAGGGCTAGGGTAGGGAAACCCGCCCCTCCACCCAACCCATCAAAGACATCAGCTGGAGAGAGCCACCAGTTAGGCTCCTTAGCCACAGACATTCCTTGGGTTCTTGGCGATGGGCGGGATACGAACGCCCCATTGTCATAGGAAAGGCCTATTATGAATAGCTGGATCAATAGGGCTTGAGAGAAACCGCCAATGATTGAATCGTGCTGATGGCCGGGTATTATTTTAAACAGTACTTCGCGGCGAAGATATGAGATTTTCAGTCGTATACCGGGAAAGAGCTCTTCGTCTTCTTTAATTTTGGAGAATAGTTTTTTTCCGGTGTCTTGCAGATATAGGAACTGGGACGACGGGGGATTGGGGCTGGAAAGTTGATCTTACCTGGCTTAGTGCGGCTTGAAGCTGTCGGAACGATGGAGCACTGAGGACTCTCGCGTCTAGTGGAACAGAAAAGTCGTCGAGATCAACGCAGTAGGAGTGATCAAGATCGCGTGAATAGAGCTCCGACGGAACCGTTGAGTGTGTGGTGATGGTCTTGAAAAAATGCCCCGAGTCAGAGCTCGAGTCAGAAGCAGCGTCGCGGCGACGGTTTGTATATTGAAGGGTGGGCGCTGTTTTATGGAATGGCATGCCTGCTCGGGAGGTAGTGAGAAGCTTGACAGGCGACACTTTGGTGCCTTCAAGTCTGGTTGATGGGCTGTCGGTGCGTTGAGGGGAATGAGAAGTAGGTAGGGTTTCATCGAGTTTGGGGCGAGTCGACGTGGGTTTACGAGAGCCCATCGTGGCTTCCATATTCGTGAGTCCCGGCTGAGAGGCCATTTTGAAAATGCAACACGCGAAAGTTGATCGACCAGACAAAATAGAAGAAGGAACGGGTACGCAAAGTGTCCAGTGGAAGTTCTAGGCAGGATGGACCTCGGGATGATGTTGGGGGAGATTTGTCAGAACTTCCTTTCTAAGGTTATTACCTATATGGGGCATCGGGAGCTAACTACCTAGGGCCCTGGGTCAGTGACGTAACCCCGAATGAGAGGGCTAAACAGTATAACAGGCAGGCTCACGCAAACCACGAGTTAGCAGTGGCAGATGCTCTGGCGAAGCAGCAAGGGCATTGGCTAGAGAACCTCAAGCGCCCATGTGGCATTCTTGACCAAGTCTACCCTGCTGAGCCTGACTCTGTGCAGCAGACTGACAATAACTAGTGAGGCATGGTCCGTAACGGTCGCTTTCACACACGAATTTAATTTAGATACTGGATCTCACAAATTTATTTGCAATTAATACGTCCCATCAAAAGCTCATTTCTCATCCATGGAAAACGTAACATGACATATATTGTTTATATACAGCTACCAAGGCTCCTGTGGCTATATTATGTCATCCCTAGATAATAATTACTTGTACAATTCATAATGCCGTTCTGATAAAAAAAGATCAGCAAGGTTATTATATTAGAATCATACTCATGGCACCACAAGAAACCTACACGACACTACGACGCAAAGCCTAATTAGTAGCGTGTTCATAAGTAGAACATGGTACATTCGATATCTGTATGCAGTGGTATTTGAAAATTTTGGAAAAGGCCGTAGTCCTAGTAATATCTGGTCTGTAGTAGAGAGGTTGAGTATGGGGGAAGGTTGACATTCTAACTTTCAGGGCTTGTCTACAAGTTAAGTTAGGTACGGCAGCCGCCATGGGTGACTTAATACTATTGATCAATATTGCCAGGCAGAAAATCACTGTACCCGCGAGCGGTAGGAAGCAATAAGCCAATAAGACAACACAAAACAGCTCGAAGGGGCGAGTGATTATTTTATGTTGAATAATTTGTATTATATCACTCAATCTAGTTCATAAAGCCAAAGATGGCTGTGACTGACATCAATTGGCCCAAGTGGCCGAGCAGTTTCCTGGTCTAGCGGTTATGATTTTCCGTTAACAAATGCGATTCGCAAGTGTTCCGGAAAGGTTCTGGGTTCGATTCCCAGGGAAACTATTTTTTGTCTTTTCTTTTTGGCCCTTTCTTCAAAAGTCCGAGTCAATTGGGTGAAGCTGTAGTACATACAGCCCAGTAGAGCCATGAGACTATACTTGTGGAGGAACAATGCAGCCCAAAACCTGGAACGTATGGAATATTAGCAGAGGGAAAAACAGAACTGGACCACCCAAGCGAATCAAATTGTAGACAACGTAAATCACAAACATAATCTCGTACTGCGTACAACAAAAAAACCCCCAAATCATGACATAGTCGTACGGCATAGTCGTGTGGCATAAGGGAAACATATGAAGCATGAAGCATGAAGTATAAAAACATATCAAGACAACCAACCCAAACGCCGGAATGAAAGTAGGAACCAAACTGAAAAAACAAACAAAGCCACCCTATTACTGATCTCATTTGTACTGGCTGTCACATAATTCCGGGGCAGATGTAAACATTCTGACATGCGGCGATCTGGTCGATCGTTTTCCAGCCTGAAGGGGTTGAGTTTCAATCCTTCCTTCGTCTGAGCTGGGTAGCTGCTTGGGCTCTTTTTGTCCTGATAGGAAATCACCAAGACTTCCCCTCCAAGGGGGTTCAAAACTTGACAGTGGAGTATTCCGAAATTGGACTTGGAAAAAAGGAAAGCAGAGAAAAGAAAAGGACAATCCAATGGGCTTCCACGGGAAGACAACAAAAAGTGAACAGTGGAATCCAAGCGGAGGGTTTAAAAACGGCCATTTTCCAGTGGATTCAAGTGTTTGCGAATCTTACACGACGGCCGCGTCGGTCTAGGATCAATTTCTCGGTGTCCACATAAAGACTATCGAGATACTGCATGGCGCTAGAATCCCTAAGGATTTTCGCGACCTGAGTCCCCGCCGAAATGAGCTGCAGCACGTTGCGGTCGTCCTTGACTGGCCTAGACTGGTGCTTGGCAGCATGGCGCATCTCCAGGGAGTTCTCCAGGACAGTGATGAGCTGCTTAATTTGGCGGTTGTACAAGAGATGAGCGGGGATGCGGCGTGTGGTAGCCAGCCGCTTCAAGAGGTATACCCACTCGGTCCACTCGCGGTCCGAGGGGACCTTGACGGGTCTCTTGTCCTGCTCGATGGGAACACGGAACTGGTATTTTGCGATGAAGTCATAGGCACACTGGGACAGGCGGTCGTTGACCTTGTGGAGGATGCTGTCTTGCTCGCCGGCATCGAGGTTAGTAGGGAGCTGGGGCAGCTCTTTATCCTGGGCTGCGACAGCCTGTGGAGAAGGCGGCTCCAGGAACTGATGCGGGCCATCAAATTCATCCCGGTTGGATGTCCGTCTCTGGGAATGATAGTGTGGGCTTCCTCTGGATCTCTCGCCGGTCCGCTGGCTGTTTCTTTCCATGATATACTCCGGGGTTTCCGGGGCGCTCATTGTTCCAAGGTCCCGCCTCGGGGATTCCCGAGGCATCTGGTTTGGGTGGCTCCATTCATGAGTCCTGGGTTGTACGTGGACCGGTCCAGCTGGGGGGTAGGATAAACGTGCCGCAGGTGGGCTCATCATGAGGTTGTGGCCATCCGGAAGGACTGGGCCTCCATGGTAATGGGCCTGACGGTTAGAATCCATTGGACCGAAAGGCACTTGACGGTCGTCTCTGTAGCCATACCCGTGGGGAGTAGATGGTGACCTTTCGCCGCTTAGCAAAAGGAACGAAATCAGTTCTTGTCGATGACAGCCTGGGAGGAATTTGCAATGGAATGAACGACGGCCAAACAATACCTTTGTTGATAGACCAGCGGGGTGGTTGCTGGGTTTCCATACATAGGGTGCTGAGCCATGGTGCTGCTACGGAGTATGAGTTTCGGATTCCAAAGAGTTTTGGCACGGAAATCGAGAAGCGATGCTGATTCTGCTAACCTATGGAGAGACCGAGTATCAAATTTAGAGTTGATAGAGCTTGCACAAGAACCGAGACTTGCTGAGAATGGATAGCCTGGTCCAGCCGCCAATGGATGAGGAAGGACAGGAAGCATGAAGGAAGTAAGACCGTAGTAGTACCACAGCCTAATATAACAAGTGAGAATAAGATTCAGAAGAGTAGCGAGGAAAAGAAAATATCTATCGAGAGAGTTCTCGATGAATTCACCAACGAGCAAAGGGGAGGTATATTATAGTTCCTTTTTTTTTTAGAGGCACTTTTCCCGGGTTGGACAAATCGATAAGTGTGCCTGACAAAGGGGATCAGAGCCCACCCGGATGTATGCAACGGCAGTATAACTGGATTCAGAGCCGCGCTAGAGGACTTTACGCCAGTGGCGTTAGTGGAGACAAAATATGGAGATGAGGCCTGTGTTGCCTGCACATTGTCGATTTCAAGAAACCCAATTGCGTAACACATGAACTATCCGTACTGTGTACATTTGAAGATCTCGATCGATTAAGAATAAGACCGGTGTGTAAAGCTCGTTGGCAGCCGCCGTGAGACGCCTCTGTGGGTGCATGACATGAATGCGGACGGTAAACATTCCATCGAAAGTCTCGATCTTCATGGATCAAGGGAGAAGCACTAGTATCTGCCGGGTGCCGCACCAACATCTGTTCGAGAATTGTATTGGGGCAATGCCTCGGGCAGCAAAGCTGATGTTGGGTAGGAAATGCAAGGACAGGGGTTCTGGAATTGGACATCGACCTATGGATACCCAAATGTGCAGATAGAGGCGATCTGCACCCGCGAAGGTCCTGGAAGAAATGAAAATATGACTCGAGGTAGCAAATGGAAATCCTGACGCGCGCAGTTAATCTGGGTTGGGCACTCGGGCTTTTTGAGGCCCAATGCAATAAGCCGCATGGGCCATGTCTCTCGCCCTTCTGGGGACTCTTCTGAAGATCCGGGTGAAACAGAGACGAAGTTAGATACCGGATTTTCCAATTGTGGAGAGCTCAGCTGTTCCGATGGCATGCGATCTACCCTTGCAGCCCAACAAGACGCCCAGACGAGTCCGCGACGAGTGTCGGTAGGTTCCAGGTTGGTGAAAACAAAGAGAAAACGCCACATCGCACTCAACAACCCTTATTTTTTGTTGGATGAAGAGATGAAGCAGCAAATATATTATGCTTTTGTTTTAATCGTCACGCGCTGCTACCAGGATACGACATGATGAGCCTGAAATGCTGAGTACGTTATTGGGTGGCTACTTCTACATAAAATATACTAAATCTCATTTTCCCAACAGCTAGTGAGCCAAAAACAACTGAGATCATACTTTGAATTTTTGTTCGGTATTCTCTTCGTAGGAATTGCAGTTACGCCCGGTGGGATTCCTGGGAGATAGTGATTCAGATGACGGGGGAGAGAATCATAAAAATATACATTAGTGATGGTCTCATGTGCTTCAGAGAGCTGAATCAATTAGTAATAGCATCGTGGTCGAACAGGGTTAATAGTAGAACAGTTTCACAGCAAGATCTATTCGTCTGAGGTTCAGTCTATGAATCATATTACTTTTCATCTCAATAAAATACTGAAAAAACTCTCAAACTAGCTCCCATACACCACCCCAGGTCCAAGCTGATCGATAGACACACTCTGAGTAGAGTTCGGTGCCTCCATGAGATTCATAACCGCCATCTTAGAAGTATGGTGATCACATCCATAAACATAGTCAATCTTAAGTGTACATCCGTCACTCCTCTCAAACGAGCCGCACTTCTTGCAGCCCCCGATATCGCGAATATTCTGATACGCGTCCCACAAATCATTTCCGCTGACCGTGCAGGTTGAGGCACCTTCAATGAAGACAAGTTAAGCTTGGGTACAGTGATGCCCCTAGTCATTTCTAATCTGTCGACGTCGCAACAGATCTGATCCCAATAGTGATAACCTCATCCTTCGTATCAATGTCCATCTTCCAAGGTCGAGAATGTCTAGAATTTGTTATCAACAAAACCCTGGACGGCAAAAGGAGATATGATGAGATCATTCAAGCCAAGGAACGCCTCTCAAGCCCCAGAAAATCATAATGAGCGAAGTATTTTCAGGATGTCCTTAACCCTAGTCATTTGCCGGTGATCCGGAAACTATATGTGATTATCCATCAACATGGACGTTACTGTTTTTTTTTTCGATTTTTACTATTGAGGAGGCAATTCGAACCCGAGACGAGAAGCATAATCCTAAATTGCTTTGGTGAGTACGGCAATAGAAAAGGTTACGCTTGGTGTTTACTTACCTCGCAACTCAAACGGATGGCTTCCTCGATACCTATGCGCGCCTCGTACCCCAGAATCTCCTTGGCTTTGTTGCCACTGGCATATCGAATGGCGCATGCATCTTGTACACTTCCACGGCTCAAAGTTGTCGTTGTTCCCGTCAACCAGGTGACAGTCTCACACACCAACCCGGTGAAGTAAGCCAGACTCTTAGGGATATGCATTTGAAAAGGAGGGACATGCCCAAAATGCGCCCAAATTGCCAGACAAAAATCACGAAAGGCGATAGGTTCGTTATTCTGAATGAAAAATGCCTCGCCTGCAGCCGTGCGAGATGATAGCAGATTCTCTATGGCTAGGATATGAGCATCGGCGGCATTGTCGACATGGGTGATATCCCATAGGTTGAAGCCATCTCCGATCAAAAAAGGGGTTTCGTATTTGGCGATACATGCGTGAATAGCTGGTAATAGCTGGTAGTCTCCTGGTCCGCATAGTACCGATGGCCGGAGGGCACATGTCACCATTTTACTGCTTGAGGCATTTAGAACGAGTGCTTCTGCAGCAGCCTAGTGACCATCCCAAATCGTGTTAGTTATATATCTCATATCGATGCCGTGAATCTTGCTGATGGGATTGGTAGTTCCAACCTTGGACTCTCCATAAATGGTTGACCTAAATGCCGAGGGCCATTCTTCATTGATGTTAGGATGAGCGGTACGCGTATCGTCGATCACCACACAGCAACTGCTCGTGTATATGAATACTTCAACCCCGCTGTGCTTGGATATATCCAGAATATTCCGTGTGCCTTCAAAGTTGATCTTCCATACCTCCTGTTCTAGTCGGCGACCAAACCGTTCGGCCAGATCTGGGACGACTCCAGCAGTGTGGATAACGATATCTGGCTTCACAGCCTCAAATGCTTTGCTCAATGTTTCAGTTGAAGTAATATCCACCTGAATCCACGTAGTTATTTCTGGCAGGACGTGCTCGGCTCGTGGAGGGTTTTGGTCGATGACGGCGATGATAAAGTTTGGGTATTTTTCTGCAAGAGCCCGTACCACGGCCGAGCCTACAAAACCCGTGCCACCAGATATCAGGACTTTCCTCGCTGTGTCAGTCATTTTGGAAGTTGAGGATGAGAATATGAGAAGCTTTGAGAGGCTTTGGTGTGGGGGAAACTCGAAATTTGGATTGCCAAAACTGTGCGACATCACAACTACATACGACATAAAACAGTACCGTATCACCTTAAGAACACCTCAAATGATATTGGACATGATGCTAGAGAAGCAACTGAAATGGTCGGAGATTTGTGTTTAGTTCTTTCATATTTAAAGTCCGTTCTGATATTCTTGATGCCTGAACAATGATCTAGGTCAATTCCAAAGATGCCTCTCATGGCACTTGATAGACATCACCCTCCTCTGTGTCCAACTCCTTCCTATCATCGTCCTCGTCTTCTCCTTCCTCTTCCTCTTCATCCATTTCTTCTTCATCCTCAAATCGGATACAATAGATCCAACACTTCTTCTAGTCCAGGATGAATGCATTCGGTCTCGGCCAGCTTTTCCAATTCCTGTAATTTTGGCCACAATGCTGTTGGACTTGAGTTATCCTCTCTGATCGCTCGGACTTCATCCGCTGTCATAGAATTGATGATTTTTATCATCGCATCCACAAGAGAGCTATCAGATTGGAACGATTCCTGTACCTCACGGCCTAGTGTATCATTGGTAGAAAGCGCAATCGTCTTGCCAATTTTGCGCAGTACGGAGAGTCCATTGAATCGTGTCTGTGGGTTTACAGAAGGTCCACACTCTTCCGCAATTGATTCAATGGTATCGACGACTTCCTCAACGACATCGCCCGCTATTTCGTACTGCTTTGAACTGCGCTCGTAGCGATGTGTGATTTTAATCAGTTGCCAGACTTATCTCGAATCCTCGTCGAAGTTGATGATGGTATTTCTCTCTCTCTCCCGGGTTACATGAATGGCGTGGTCCACCATGTTCATGATATCAGGATGGATTTGCGCTGCGTATACGAGAATATTGGCGATACTCTGTTCGTCGAGAGTCTGGACGCGCTGGGAGATTTCTTCCCATGATGGCGTTGTTGTGTTGTGGGCATCGCCAATAGTATTGGATCGCGCGCGTTTAACACTTTGGGGTTTAGCCATGGTTGATAGTTCTTTGCCCGATCACTGAAGTCAGGGGGACAAAGCCTTCATGAGAGGACAAGACCAAGATGAGATGAGATAAAGGATGAAAATTGTCGAAGAACGTAAATTACCCAAGAGACGGACGGATCACCATTGGGAGTGTTTGTAGGCCGAAAAAAAAAGCTCCGGTAGACTCGAAACACTTGCGAGAGACCCGGAATTCTAACAGGATTCAATAGAAAGTGAAGTCGATATTCATACTTTGGATGCTTTTGCCATAAGACTTGATTATTGAATTACATTGTGAAGAACAGAGACCGCACAAGTGGCGGTCTATTCTTGCCTATGATTTGGTCATGGCCTTTAATACACTATATCATTCCTGGGATATTGGGAACATGAGTATAACTGTAAAATCAGCCTGAGAAGGATTACGACTCTATTGTAGTAAGCACATCCATGGGGAGTACGGACATATTTCAAGTCATAATCTATACACTGTGTCACATTGAGGACAGCTGCAAAATCACCAGCAGAGCACACAGAATGCGAGATACGCAGACATCTAATATACAGATCCTTGACCCAGGTATTATCCCAACAGTCACAAAAAGACTAATCTCGAAAAGAGAAAGCGCTGCGACTAACCAACAAACTCCAAAGTAAATGCAAGAAGAGAAACAAATCTCCCCGGTGGGTAGCTCCCCCAAATCAGAGATTAGCCACTAGGACAATCACAAACTTATAGCACACGGCACAAAACCAGCCCACCAAGCTTTTTCTCAACACACTCGCGAGCTTCTAGAATCCCTCGGTCTGTAGAGAGGTACAGACTCTCACCCGGCGAGCGAAGTCCGGCCACAAACCCGGATTGCTCACCACGCACAACTCGGCGCAGTCCCTCCACATCAATGTTCACCCGTCGGGTGGGCTTGCTGACCATCTGTATCTTGCCCAGGACTGACTCGTTTTGCCAGTACTTCAGGCCTAGCCACAGCCGCCTTGATGCGACATTATCACGCGTTATAGTCTCAATGCCTTCGACCTCATCGTTGACTGCAGGGAAACCGAGGATGCCATGGGCTGGAGGAGGAGTCGGGCCTCCGCGGGCTACCGAGGAGATGTAGCCGGAGTTTTGGAGGGCGAGGGAGAGCTTCAGGTGGAGGTTGCTGTTGGGGATAGAGGTGAGGGCGAGACGGGCCTTGGTAGCATTGTTCAGGTGGGAGCAGACAGCAGAAAGGTTGACGAGCGACATCTTGATTTCGCGACGGCAGCAATTAAGCTCTACCGGCGGCCGTTCGGAGAGGAAAGAGAGTGGTGGAATTGAACAATTTCGGAAGAGAAGAAGAACGGAGATCCCAGATAACACGAAAGGGAAGACCGAAAAGGACCACAATGGACTGCAATTGTCTGGGGAAGCAAAGACACGGCAGGAGGTGGTTGTAGCGCCGATTGAAGATGCGATGATTTGGGATGGAAATTTTCGGATAAAAGGTACTTCCGGGTCGCGGTCTTGTCCAGGTACCGGTACTTTCTCGCCCACAGCGGATAGATGTGATAGCCAAGTACAAGTACCGTCCTATCACATCACATCACACTCATCTTCTAAGCGCCCAACTTGCATGGCGGTTGATGCTGGCGTTTCACAGGTTGAGTACCCCTCAGTCCAAGGTATAAATAATAAAGGTAAGTCCCTCTTTTTCTTTTCCCCCAACTACTTGCTGCTCTCGTTGTATACTTGCATTCCATACTTTGAATTGTCAGACATGCCACCATCGGCGGGCGAAGAGCGCCTTGTGACTGTGTGAGTTGAACTGACTTCCCCGCAGATCGATATGAAGCAGTTCTCGGATTGTGTCTAACGGCGGAGATAGTTTTGCGGATATCCACTACTATTTCACTGAGCCAACCCGAAGACCTTCACCATATCACCACCGTTTTGATAAAGGCTCCTATGTTTATATTTACCATGATGCTTCTCAGAACAAGTCCCGGGTTGAAATTGCCAATAATCCTGGATCTCCAGAACAGGATGCATTCTGTGGGGGCTTGAACAATGTTCATATACGACATTCTGCTCAATTCCCGACACTTTGTACATTAACGGTTGATACTCACACCCCCTTGCCCCAACAGCAATATGGACAAGATACCCTTCAACATGAGTGGCGTCTGCCTAGTGGAGACCCACGCGATAAGCCCAAAGATGTCCGCGATTTCCCTCGCCTACATACATTGGATATCTACTTCTGGACCGAAGAAGATTCAACCGACTTTCTGGACACTGTCATCCGGCTTCTATCCAGTGACCAGGTCGAGACAGACCGAGAGCCAGAACCGCTGCCACAGCAAACTATGAGCTCTGTAGTCCAGCAACTTGAAACCGTTGCAGTCTCCGACCCTGCCTACCAGAATGGTCAAACACGCAACTCACGATCCGAGCCTACAAGCACAGCGGCATCAGTGACACAAGCCCTCCCACAGACCATCAGCTTTCCCCCACCTCCTCCAAGCGGACCTCCAGTTGATCAACAACTAAGCGCTGGTTCTACTCCCGCGGAGGAAAGGAAAGAACCAGCTAGCTTTGCCCCGCTCCCATACAATCCAGCCGCCCCAGCTGCCCCAGAGCCAATCCAACACCGCGAGAAGACCCCGCCGCCAGAGGACGGGATGAGCGGCACCGGCCTCGCAGCCGCAGTGGCAGCCGACAGCGGCATGCCATATACGCCCCCGCACCAAATGATGGGGGGCGCAGGAGTCGTGGGCGGATTCGCGTCCCCGCCCCCCTCAACCCCGGGGTTGCAATACGCAGGCCCTCCATCATTCGCCTCACCTCCGCCCAGTGTGGGACAGCATTCAAACTCTTTCTCCACCGCCAGCTCCAGCCCGGGAATGCCTGTGCCTTCATACTCGCCGTCGTTCATTGGCGGACAGGGAGCTCAACAGTACAGTTCCAGCCGCCAAGGTTCCATGTCCTTCGCTCCGCCGCCGCAGGACCCGAATGCCCATCTCTATGACCAACACGTCTATGGGGCTGCCCAAGCCCAGTCGCCGCCTCAATATCAGGCTGGACCGACGGTGCCGATAGGCGGGTTCTCGCATCATTCCTATGACCAGACTCAGGCGCAGCAGCAGCAGCAACAACAACAACACCAGCGTTTCGGCTCCGAATATGATATCCATAACCAATTATACAGACCCACTGAAGTGGAGGCTAACTCTCACTATCAGAAATATGCACAGAAGGCCATGAAGAATCCTGGACAGCGGCCGAGGAAATTGGAGGACAGGGCAGAGCGGTTGGAAGGTGGTGTGAATAGGTTCCTGAAGAAACTTGAGAGGAAGCTTTGAGCCTTTTATTTAATTGGGAGTTTGAGAATCTGCATCTTTATTTTTCAAGAGATCTCTGCTGGTCAAGGTCAATTGAGTGCTTGTTATTACTAGGCCAGCTGTTGAGCAGTACTGTGGGAATATCATCTAGCTTCTCAATTTGATGAGAAAATGAAGCGACTAAATAAGAACCGTCAAAATGGTAGTATGAAAGCTTTGAGCCCCGCTAGATTGATAAATCAAGATGCTAAATTGGATAATGCCCCTAAGCGCTAAGAATAATATGCTCAAGAAATTGGTACAGAGTATGCAAGAGATAAACAAACGATAACAAGACAACCCAAAACACTGATAGATGTGAAAATGCTAGCATAGAGTAAGAGATAGACAGGGAAGAATAGATGGTGAAAAGGTTGAGGGCAAGCCTCGACGAATGGAAAGGGGCTCACGCTTGGTGAGATAGAAGACAATGGGGAGGAGTATTATCGGAGAAGATTAAAAGGTTATTCCAAGACTTTACCAGAAGCGGAGATGGACCAGCGAAATCCATTTGAGATGAACGCAGTGCAGTTCGGATTCAGAGCGTCTAGTTCAATGCCAGATTGGCAATATCGATGGCGACATTGCTCGATTCAGCCTCAGTTGCAGGCTCATCAGTGGACTTGAGCTCGGCGACCTCCGTTAAAGCTTCAGGGACAGTAAATTCCTTCACTGGCGCATCATCTTCTTTTTCGGGAGCCTCGATTTGGAGCTCTGGCTCGGAAATCATGGATTCTTGCTTCTCGCCGATCTTCACTTGATCCTCAGCCGTTGGGATTGCCACGGGCTCTGCTGCAATCTCTTCGGTTGTAGTGGTGGTTTCAGCAGCCTTATCCTCCTCAGCATCCTCAGCGATGGGCTCAATATGGGCCTCAACGGGAGCATCGACCTCGGCCGGCACCTCAGTAGCATTTTCAACTGGGATGGGAGAGGAACTCTCGGTCACTGTCTCCTCAACCTGAGCAGGGGAAGCAGTCTCCACAGCCGCAATCGCAGCGAGGTTCACGGTTTCAGGTTCCACAATGTTCTCTTTCTCAATCTCCTGTTTCTTTTGAGAAGGTTTCTGTCCATCTTTCGGTGGCGCAGTCTCCTTGTTCAGAGCCTGGGATTTCTGACTCTGAGATCGAAGGGCGGTGGTCTTAGGCTTCACTTGGTGGACGCCACGATCTGGCACCCTCCCAGACGACGCCTTGGGGGACCTGGAAACAGAGGTTGTCCTGGCGATAGGCTTTGCATCGGTCTTTTCCTGGGGATGGGTCTTGTTCGCAGAGCTAGCAGTAGGCCGCATCATTCTCGCAAGGAAACCCTCATTGACATGTTTGGGGCTTGTATCACTAGCTGCTTGAGCGGACAACGAAGGGCGAGAAGTTTGTCTGTGAACGCTGGCACTAGGAGTAGTGGCACGCGACTGAACCTTAGCTGCGCCTTTGAGAGTTGAAGGTTTTCTTGTGAGGGTTGATGCACTGGTAGTAGTGCGAGCGCTCGGAGCCGCTGTGCTTCCTGGCTTAGCGGTGGACGCGCGTGTTGACGTATTCATCGAGCCGGGTACACGCGCAGGTTTCGATGGGGATTTGGATACTGGCTTGCTGGATACACCTGCGGCATGAGGCTTTGAAGTATCTTGTGCCGGTGCTGAGCCGCGGGTTGACCGTGCTGTTGTTGGCTTGGGATTCAGTGAGACACGACTGGGCTTGTGGGCGAGAGAGTTGGCGCGCTCTTTAGCCACTTCCCGAGCTGTGGGCTTGGGGCTTGCATGGTGAGAAGCAGCCTTCGCACCAGTTGAAGCTGCAGTAGTTGACACGGACTTTCTGGCTGCATTGCGGGCAGACCCAACGGAAGAAGGCTTCCTCTTAATCACTACTGATGAATCTGACTTTTGCGACGGAGTATCGGAGCTTGGTGACTTGGAACCTGCGGAGGTTGACCCCCCTGTCTGCTTTCGCGGGCTGGTTCGCGACCGAACTTCAGTCTCGGTGCGCGCCGCGGGTTCCTCCTTGGCAGTCCGATTCCGTTCACGCTTGGTTTCAATAGACTCCGCCGGTCGACTCTCAGCCATTATCTGTTCCAGAGTCGCGTTCTCTGTGTGGTTCAGGCGACTGAGTGCGGTGGGGGAGATCATGCCCTGCTGTCCCGACTCCGCATCCGCCGAGTTGATTTTCGGTCCAAACATTCCAGGACTGTCGCTGCGCGCATTTGTTTTCCTCAACGGCGAAGAAGGATTCGACTGAATGACCCCCTCCACAGTGATAAAGCTAGCCCGGACCTTGGACAGCTGCCGAACTGTTGCTGACGAGTCTGAGGAAGTTGGGGATCGGCCACGGAGAGGCGGGGAGGCGATGGGGCTTTGACCTTCAAACTTGGCTAACAAGCTGCGCACGCCAGGGTGATGGGGATTGTTATCGGACATTATTGAGCGTACGTCAGTCGAACAAGGGCGGGTATGCAAATCGAGGGGAATCTGAAAACGCGTATGCGGAGCACAGGGGTGCTCCTGAAATCAGGTCGAAACGGGATTGTTGTGACGACTAATCGGATACAGGCAGATACCACTGCATGTTCCCAGGAGGGTTCGGGTTCAACGCGTCAAAGTCGGATAGAGAATTGGTATGAGACAAAAGGACAAGAGGTACAAGGTGTGAAGAAGGGCCGATCCAAAAACTATTACATACATACGCGCTAGTTCAGGCTAGCGCATCCAATAGGCCAACGCCTTACTCCATACATAACTCCCTGTCTCAGGGGCTTTCATTTCTATGTGACAGGTGATTTCATCCTCTGGGGGTCTGAGTACATTAATTTGCTGTACGGAGTATGAAGTACGGAGACAGGGACCCCCTGTGAGGTCTGAAACATGCCACGATATCTGAACACCTTTACAAGTGGATATTCATCTTGAGTAAGGGGCATAGTGTGCCTGAGGCAGAATATGCACTATTTTCCTAATTTGCTCCTATTCACGAAATAGTTCCAGTATCTCCATGTGTCGAGGTATACATTAGCCAAGGCATGTCCAGGTGTGTTGCAGTATACCCGGCTTTAGAGGAATATTGAACTTATATGAAGGTATAATAGCATAGCCAAGAAATACAGTCTCCCAATTAACGTTGAAAGATAGATCGATCATGTACATCACAATAATGCATTGATCTTAGTTCAAGAGAAAAGGCCAATAATAGAAGTGCAACCACCTTCCTTTTGGCGAATGAGAGGATCTCGGGGCATGTCCGATGGGAGCACGTGACGGGTACCAGATCCTATGTTGTATATGAGTCTTCTCCAACTCTCTTGGCTTCTTTGGATTAATATGAACCTATGATTCATAATTGTCGGCGTGCTCGGAGCAATGGCTGCTCAGTGTTAAACGAGTGAAGGTGAGTGGGTTGTATCCATGCTAAAATACCCACCACTGCTAGCATGATGGCGATAAAACTCGGGAAACGGAAGAAATACAGAGCAAAGAGCAAACCGGGTCAACTTGGTCCATTTTGTCCACTACTCAGACAAATATTGCCAGTATATTCAGTCTTTTCCCAGAAGAAAAGCGAGGTCCAGGCTTATGAAATATCGCAATAGAACCAAGCTAACTTCAAACAAGACGGGTGTACGAGGGCTTTTAGGGACCATCACGACAAGTAAACACTATATCAACAGCTTTAATAACAAGCCCTCGTAGGGGTGAAAGGCCCGTACTTTGCAAAATTGAATCAGCAATGAGCATTAGCTTCTCCGGGTGTGAGTTAGCAAGAACCAAGGCTGAGCCCGCTATGCGAACTATAAATAAGTTCAATGGCCATATTTTTGAAATAGTTGGGACGTCTTCCACTTACTCTGTGACAGCAGACCAACCATACTTCACCAAGAATAGAACACACAGCGTCCAATACTCTTGTTCTTGTTATGGTGCCAGTATCGCCTGCATAAGGGAATAAATGACAATTTCTGCGATGGCAATATTCCGTTTCCCGGTTGAGATTGGCGAATCCAACGAATGGGACATAAGATTGAATGCCATACTGAGTCCTGGAGTCGAAGAAAGAGTTGACAATAAGTTTGGGTGATGAAGCACGGGATCGAAATCGAATACAATCTGAGAAACTAAGTGCCATCTGCACTGCTTTGAATATTTACTCTGAGAGTGGGGTTCAATTTATAAGTGACTAATTAGGTCACATCGTGTGCCTGTGCACTGCCAATAAGTAACATATCAAAGAGATATCCTCGCCTATGGTATGTCCAGCCATCTAATTGATATCAACAGTGATTGTCTTGATCATCACGTTACCACTTACATATTTAATTAAGCGAGCATATGTCGTTGTTTGTCTCATTTGTAAATAGTGGCATAAACCGACCGCCCTCAGGATACATATAAGGTGACCCTGCCCCCAGAACTTCCTCTTCTTTTCTTTCTTCTTCAGCTCTCTTTGCCTCTGGCTTAGATCAAGTGTAGTATCTGTTCTTGCCAGTTTAATCGCTGGTAGTTCTGCATTGCAGAACGTCATGATTATTCTAATATTTAGACCTCGCGACTTGGCCTCTGTGCTTGCATATGCCTCGTTGCACAGTGTCATTGGGCTTACACTACCCCCGATTGACGCGAACTCTTCATCAACTGTTCGGCTTGTCCGGGCGCTTGGAGAAGATGAGGGGTATGTTCATTACATCGTAAGTGACCCATTTGGGTTTAGCGTTGATAATACCTGCCAAGATTGAGCAGCACGATGAAAATGGATAGTTTAAAGTTCGGCGAAGCCATCAAAGAACCTCCGAAGATATTGTCCATATTCAATTTCGCGAGATGTCACCCGTTTGGGTAGTCCGAACGCATATCCATGCAACCTTGGGATGGTTTCCCAGGTGACTGCATCATTTCCTCTTGAACTCAATATTCAAGCAGACACACATTACTTTTTGATCTTGTTCCATCGCCAGCATTTTATTGAATGTGAGCTAGAGAGCCGAGTCTCTAAAGCACTTCGTATGGGGTTCTCCGGAGTATATCGGATCAACAATAATCCGAGCCGTATACAAAATCAAAAGCTCCGATGACGGCGATTGTCGATTTCAAGAAAGCAACTCTGCAAAAAAGTCTATCAAAATGGCTGCTGCCCGGACACTTCGCATTGGTACGATCGCCCTTGTTTTGCGATCTCGTGGCTCGGCAATTGACTGACATGATCGGAATATTATAGGTCTCATCCCCGGAGACGGTATCGGACGCGAGGTCATCCCGGTGGGTAACACTCAAGATCTGATATGCGAGGCGATTCACTGACTGGAGTTGCTTGATGGAATATAGGCCGGCCGTCGGATCCTTGAGTCTCTCCCCGCGTCCCTGAACCTCAAGTTCAGCTTCGTCGACCTCGATGCTGGATACGAAACCTTCCAGAAGACTGGAACCGCTCTGCCCGACAAGACTGTCGATACCTTGAAGAAGGAGTGTGACGGTGCTCTCTTTGGTGCTGTCAGGTAAGCTACGATATCATTCTTTCAGCATGCGCAATTCCGGCTGACAATTGCTACCAACCCAAAGCTCCCCTAGCACCAAGGTCGCCGGCTACTCGTCGCCCATTGTGGCTCTCCGCAAGAAGCTCGACCTGTATGCCAACGTCCGCCCTGTCAAGACTACTGCCGGCAACAGCAACGGCAAGCCCATTGACTTGGTCATCGTCCGCGAGAATACCGAGGACTTGTACGTGAAGGAAGAGCGCACCATCGATACCCCTAACGGCAAGGTTGCCGAGGCTATCAAGCGTATTTCCGAGCATGCCTCGTTCCGCATCGCCAACATCGCCGGTGAGATTGCACTCCGCCGCCAGAGCATCCGCGCGGCTGCCGCCACCTCTACCCGTGCCCAGCCCATGGTCACTATCACCCACAAGTCGAACGTGCTCTCGCAGACTGACGGTCTCTTCCGTGAGACCGCGCGCCGTGCTCTCGCCGCCGAGAAGTTCTCCTCCATCTTCGTTGAGGAGCAGATTGTCGACTCCATGGTCTACAAGCTCTTCCGCCAGCCCGAGTTCTACGATGTCATTGTCGCCCCTAACCTCTACGGTGACATCCTCTCCGACGGTGCTGCTGCCCTTGTTGGCAGCTTGGGTCTCGTCCCCAGTGCCAACGTTGGTGATGGCTTCGCCATCGGCGAGCCCTGCCACGGCAGTGCCCCTGACATTGAGGGCAAGGGTATCTCCAACCCCATTGCTACTATCCGCAGTGTTGCTCTGATGCTCGAGTTCTTGGGCGAGGAGAAGGCTGCTGCCCAGATCTACGCTGCTGTCGATGGTAACCTGGATGCTGCTCAGTTCCTGACCCCCGATATGGGTGGAAAGGCTACCACTCAGCAGGTTTTGGAGGATGTCCTGAAGAGACTGTAAAAAGTAAATCTGTATATAATTCAAAGTTTGCATGATACTTGAGACGAATTTACTGTTTTTTCTTGCATGCAACTACAGCATACCCTGCTAAATCGAGAAAATCACTCGACATCGCCAGATGATGGCTCCGGCTCCCAGTCAAACTTCCCTAGACTGTCGTCACGTTGCTCACTCTTACTATGGTCTTGCTCGTCTTCCGTTCCGCGTAGGACCACCGAGAACAATACAGTAAGATACACGCGTCCGGTTGAAATATCCTTGAGCGTATACCGCAGCTCATGGTTCTTCTCATCCACGTACTTCATGATAGGTAGATCAAATCCAGGAAGACGGACAGAGAAGTCTAATATGATCAGTGAGTCGATGATCCCAATCAAAAGAGCAAATCTGCATCTCACTAACCTTCGAATGCCAAATAAGGATTTCCGAAATCAGCAACATACATCCTCCCAGGTTCAAATTCAAACTCCTTCCTATTCGCCTCGTCCTGGAAATACTTTCTGCGTCCCTCGACTGTATCAGGGATGTTAAATTTGTGACGCACACTGGCAGCATCTTTGCTATAAGCGCCCTCCTCAATAATCTCATCATCGAGCTTTGGCACCTCGTCGGATTTCCGCACCTTATCTCCAATGCGGAACTGGTCCCACGATGCCAATGCCGGGCTGTACAGATACGGCTTATCAGCGTAGACATCGCCGTCTAGGCCAGGGTCGAGGGTCCACTTGACAATCCGTAGTGCTGTGTTGAATCCCGGAGGTAGGAAGTCGCGGACAGGGTGATCGAAGTCATTGCCGAAGTAAAGGTTGTTGCCGTTCACCGGCTCTTTGAAGATAATTGAGAAGCATATGGAATATAGGTCTTTTTGGTGCAGGGGATCGTCAAAGTATGGGCTTGTGGAAGGTGAACTCTCAGGATAGCCTGTTTGACCGATGAGCTCCGCTCTTTGACCGAATAGATGAGAGTAGGGGTATTACCTGTGTAGTTCTTGATCCGTACGCAGAGACTCACAATAGCATGCTCGTTTTCGATTCGGATTGTCTCGCCATTTACAGGTACCAATTGATGAGTCTTGCGGTCGTAGTCTGCGCCTGCCGTTACCTTCAAGCGGAACTTGTGTGCATTGGTGTCCTGGCTAACCATGTTTGGGGTGCGTAGTCAAGTGTGTTGATAAGACTTCCTCGAAGAAAATTCCACGGTTTAACAAGCTGTTGAAGAAAGTTTATTTGAAGTGTGGCCAATGAAGTTAATTTTATATGCTTGACGCCCGACAACGTCATCGTTCTCAAAGACAACCAAGTAAATATTGATAACTGCGTTCTCATTACAACTACGCCTACATAGATAACAATAGCCAGCTATTTCTCTGGCTCCGAAGAGCTATGGGTAATACTTGGTAACACTATCAGTCAGGTCTACTAATTGTTCCAAGGTATTCAAGTGGATTGATCTAGGTAAGATAGCATGCATCTTCCCCAAATGAGGAGAACTGTTTGAAGCAGCCAACATTGCGCTGTACAAGGGACATTACGATCTTCACAAGTATTTCTATTTGTTAGTCTAAGTACTTTGTACTTTGCAGATGCAGACACTCAGCCCCTGCCCAGCTGGCCCCCAAATCTCAAGTTGGAATGACATCACGGCCCCCGGAGAATCCCCAAGCTCAAAGTTGATTGGCTGGAGCGGTACATGGCACCCAAAGAGGTTAGTGCGATATACCTAAATGAGTGGAGATGCCAAGACTCTGCGCCTCTGGGCACCAGATGAGACGAGTTATATAAGTATGGTCGAAATCTCCCCTCTAAAGGATTAATTCATTCCAGATCAAAGACAAGATCAATAAAAACCCAAACATCAACTTTTGTTAAACAAAATCTATGGCTTCAACCGATATCCATCAACCCATCCTAACCTCTTCTACTTCTAAGAATCCAGTCGACTCAGACAAAATGTCTTCATCCAATATTCCCCAAGACACCCAGAGTCTCTCCAAGAGCGCTGCTTTTACAGTAAGCTTTACATGGAAGAAGTGGAAGGCCATTATCTCCGACGCCAACACCGGAACAGACCCCTTATACACCATCCATTATTCCCCATTCAGTCTCACAGCCAACATGGTTTTCAAAAAAGCCCCCGAGAACGAAGTCATCGGCAGTGGCAAGCTGAACGCGGTCTCTATCAACGCCGACTACGAACTACGCGGACAGAAGGCCCACCTTCTAGCCCAGAAACGCTGGCGGACGGTGTACACCCACCGCTCACTCAACTTCTCCGACACTGAAACCCCAGTCACAATGACATGGACCAGTGATACCGGGTTCAAGACCTGGGACTTTATCTGTGTGGATGAGCAGCAGATGCCCGTGGCAAAATTCACTGCCAACGTCTGGGGTATCACCAACCTTGGCAAGATTGAGTTTGTTGGCCCCAAGGCAGATGACAGAGCTGCACAAGAGGAGATTATGGTTACGGGGGTCACCTTGTTCTATTGCATGTTACTTCGCTGTAATAACTTTTTCAATCTCTTTGGGGCTATTTTTGCTCGACCTGGGCACAAGCAGCACATTGAGCCTCAGCCCAAAGCTATGGCTAGCGAGTAGGCTTTGCAATTTGCTTAGTTTGTTTGTTTGTTTGTTTGGGAGTTTATTGTGCTTTACGCACCGAGAGATATACCATTTGATTTTAATGTTTAGGACAAATAGTCATTGAGCATATTATTCTAAACACACGATTTAACTATACACAAGTTTTCCTCCTCTTCCCCCTTTGTGATTTACAGTAGGTTCCAGTCAACTTAGATAATTTTCATCTCACAAAAAATCAAGGGAAGGCAACATCCCGACCAAGCGCACGGGCGACCCAATAGCCTACCGCCTCCCGAACAATGTTGTTACTCGACCAGGTACGGCTGGGATACACACGGTGGGCCATCATGACCATGAAGGTGTCCGATGCGCGATCAACAACAAGCGTGGTACCAGTAAAGCCAGTGTGGCCTCCAGCAAGCATATTGGCCATGGGTCCGGAGAAGTAGTTCTGGTTGAGCTCGAAGCCGACACTGTGCTCATCACCAGGGAATTTGGTGTTGAAGTTGTGGAACATCAAGTCGACAGTCTCCGGCTTCAGGATCCGCTTGCCGCCATAGGTACCGTTGTTGAGGATCATCTGGCAGAGGATTGCCACGTCACCGGCGGTCGAGAAGAGACCGGCGTGTCCGCTCACACCGTTAAGAGACCAGGCATTCTCGTCGTGCACGGTTCCACGCACGGGCTGAGGACGCTTGGGCTCGTCGTCTCCCAGAACTTCGATCTGGTACTCAGTCGGTGCCATGCGCGAGTAGTAATGGAATGAAGGGGACTGGTTGTTTCCCTTGTTGAAGAAGGTGCTGGTCATGCCGAGCTCGCTGGTGTACTCATTGACATACTCATCGAATGGTTTACCGGTGACCTTCTCCAACACGAAGCGCAGGTTCATGAAGTTCAAGTCAGAGTAGGTGTAGGTAGATCCAGGAGCATCCTGGAGGGCTTGCTCGAGGACGGCATTGACACGCTGCTGCATGGTCGTGTAAGATGGATCATACAGACCGGGCAGAGGGTCAGGAGGGAAGCCACTTGTGTGGGTCACCAGCATCAGGATAGTGATGTTTTCCTTTCCATTGGTCGCGAACTCGGGGATATAGGAGGCAACGGTTCTGTACAAGCTGAGCTTGCCCTCGTCAATGGCGCGCAATGCGGCCACCGCAGTGAACACTTTAGTCAGACTGGCCATATCGTAGATGGTGTCGATGTGGTTCGGGGTCCACTTTGCGTGAGGGAGCAATGTGCCATTGGAGTCTGCATACATGTTCGTATGGCCGAAAGCGAAGGAGCTCACAATGGTGGCCTTGTGACCGACGACAACGGAGCCTCCCGGCTGGACGGGGTGAACCAAATCGTAGGTGAATGCTCCATAATTGGCAGCAACAGTGTACTGGCTCAAGTTGAGCGGCATCTCCTTGAGAGGCTCGGCAAGAAGTCCCACTGATTCAGGAGAGCCATGCTTGAGGACACGGTCTGTGGCACTGCACAGCGAGCCGCAGCTTGCAATGAGGGAAATGGCTGAAAGCTTGAGTCTCATCGTGAAGTTTGAATGGTATGAGGAGGCATGAGGAATATTTTGGGGGCTTCCCAGCCTGCAAATATATAGGAGTTCGCTTCCTGTTATCTCGAGACTGTTGAGATTGTTGAGATTATTGCTGTTGTGTATATTAAATGCAACTTAGCATCGTAACGGTTCCATTCTTTTTGGATAAGATCAGCTCCGAAGAGAGGGGGTGAAGCTCCACATATCAGCCGTCCAACAATCGTATCTCCGGGTTGTCCCTGACAGGGGCATAGACGATCCCCGCAAAACCAAAACCTTGGAAAGACTTGGCTATTATGTATGACATCTGCAGGCTTGGATGAAGATAAGATGAAGATAATTCGAAGGATATCATTCGAAGGAAATCAAGAAAGTTGAAGAAATTGGAGAAATTGAAGAGACCCAAAACAAACATGTAAATAAATAAATAATCGAGGTCGTATACAAAAATTAAGCCAAATCACCGGCGGTAACATCAAATCCGATATCGCTGCCGACACCCGAAATGCCATCCTCCAGTCCCTCGGCCGATATCCTGACAATATCCATACGTCGCCTATCCTTGCCACGGCCAACTTCGATATCAACAAATCGGGCGCTAACCGGAGTGATTGGTTCACTCCCACCGCCCACTGTAGTGCCATCTGACATGAGATCGTCCGACTTCAATTCCCAATTGGCCGTGCGAACTTTGGCTTTGCGACGTTCTGAGTTGATGGTCTCCTTCATGTGGGCGAACGATCGCACTTGCTCTGCGGCCCACTTATCTAGGAGCTCATTCCGAGCTTCGACTTCTAGCTGGAGCTGTTCTTCGAGGCCGGTGTTGATATTCTGAAGACGCTGCAGTTCACACTTGGCAGCATGCAATGATGTGGTGAGGTCTGAGATGCGAACATTGAGAGTCCCTGTCTCTGCCTCATGTGTTTGACGCTCACTGGCATTTTGCTCAAGGCTCTCGATGGCTTTTTGATGTTCCTTTTCGAAAAGCTCCACCTGAGCCATCAAGTCGCAAGCGCGAATGCGATTGTGCTCGACTGTTTTCTCTAATTCTCGAATACGGGACTCGGACTCAGAAGCCGTAGCCTCCGCCGAACAGCGCTTTGAACGTTCATGGGCCACTTGCTCCTTGAGCTTAGATATCTGCCGGGCGTAGTCCTCCTTTGTAGCTGTGTTCTCCTTTTCAAGATTGTCGATAAGACCTTCGAGGCCCTTCACTTCATGATTGTACTTGTCAAGGGCTGAACTTAATCTGTCAATCCCAACGGCCTGTTCCTGCCCTTCGCGTTCGAGTTCTTGCATTCGCATCCGCGTGTGGAGCATATCGCTTGCAGAAGATGCGATCGACTCCTCAAGACTGTCAATTTTGCTTGCAGCTGTCTCATATCGGTGTAATAAGGCGTCAAATTGCCCTCTGAGAGCCCTTTCCCGGCCCAGAGAGCCGTTATGATAATGCCGCTCCGTCCCTAGATCTTTTGCCAGTGACTCAACGCGCCTCACCAGCGCACCTAAGGTTGCCTTGCCGTCGTCAAGGCTAACGTTGGCAGTCTCACCAGGTAGCGCACGCTCAAGCTCGAGGCGAGCTGAGCGGAAGTGGTTCCGCATGTCGGCTATCACATCGTCCACGCCGTCTCCGGAGAATCCTAAGCCGGTGCATTCTTGGGTGACTCCTTCAAGAGCCTCGGCAGCATCTGACGCACGAGACAGAGCATTTTCTAAGATCTCCATGATATTCTCGAAGAAGTTCGGTGGTGGAGATGACTGGCGGAAAAGACTACTGATTGTAGGGTCATTGAACCCTGAGATTCGTGATCGACATGCGTCGAACAAGCTTTTCCTCTCCTTCCTGGCAGCCTCTAAATCAAGGGACAGGGAGCGAATATCAGATTCTTCTGTATTGACTTCAGTCTGCGTTTGTGATTCGTCGGATAGCATCAAGCTATCAGTGACCGGTGGATTATGACGCAGGATACCACGGAAATCAGGGGAGCTGGACACAATGACAGCACTGTCATTGAATATGAACGTCTCCTCTTCACTGTTTGTAGATGGAGCGGCGTCATCCAGACTGTGACTGGAAACTACCGATACTTCATCGCAAAATCTAGGTGTCTCTGGCGTCATCCAATAAGACTCAGCCACCGAACTTTGGTCCTCCAAGCCCATTCCACCTTGTTTAATGGCCCTGAGTTCATCTTTCAGAGAATCTCGCTCTTGAAGCAAAGCTCGCATGGTCTTTTCCATGTTCCGCGTCTCACGCTTTTCGCGCTCAATCTGATTGATCTCATCACTCAACCCGATTCGCCTAATTCTTCTCTGGGTCCGTGTGTCGAGGATTTGGCGTAGCGGGGTAAATTGGATCCTCCTCTCGGTGCATGTTTCATCAAACGGCTCCTCCGGGTCATAGGACCGCTGAAAGCGCGGTGTTGGGGCAGACCTGCGTCGGGATTTGCGGCTAGGTGTGCTATCCCCAGATTCTGTCTCGAACGATGTTCGACGCATCGCTGGAGTCAAGCCGGTCGACCCAATATCTTCACCATGTAATAACCGAGGACCTGGGTCGGAAAACCGGACTCTCTTTCTTGATTTCTTGGGTGTAACAGATACATTTTTTTGTTGTTGATTGAGACTGGTATCTTCTTGTGCCACTGCCAAGCTCTGCCTAGTTCGGCGTGAGACTGGTGACTGGCTTGGATTTGAGAGAGAACTCTTCCGTTTCCTTCCTGACCGAGTATCCATGTTGATAAGGAGAGTATATTGGAATAATAAGGCCAAAACAAAGAAAGCGTTTACAAAATAAAAGTGTACGCAGGGATAGGCTTATAAAGAGAATTCGTTATAGATCACAAATAAACAAACAAAGTGGGGCTCTATACATTGTAGTTAGGCAGCAGGGGCCCAGGCGCGTTCCTGGATATTTCCTGTTCGGGCAATGGTAAACAAGACGCTTGTTTGGGTGGTCAGGTGATATTTAGTTCACGTGATATGCTCCGTTATGGGACACAGTATAGGGTAGGTTTGGATAGGGTAGCTGTTGTACTGTATCGGGCGCCCAGGCAAGCATGGCTTACTATTAGTAACTGTACGAGCATCGCCTTACAGTATGGCTAGGTGAAGGTAGACAAGTATACTATTAATATCGTGGGAACCAGGCATTATTCATCGCTCAACCTCGAGGCTCAACCTCTATACTCCGTATCAATCCTCGCGCTGACCCTTTCAGTCGAACACGAACTATGGCGTAGAGACGTACTATGCTGTAGAGACGTTATTGGCTGACTCTGACAACATTGTTTCTTGGCATCTACACATACATAGCCACCAACGCGTTCAAGGGGTCTAGAGTGCAGATTAGTACGGAGGGGAATTAACCCTAGTTTATGTGCCAAGAAATCCTATGTTCTTGTTCTATTTACCAGTACTCTTAACTTTCCTAGGCTCTCCTCTTAAATGCTGTGAAAATCAGCTGCGATTCAATCCGACCTTATCGCTTTGCAATAACACCAAGTTAAGTTGATTTTATGTTTTCTGTAGGAATCATAGATTATTTTTTATATGCTATACGATAATCTATTCACCGGAAGTCCATTAAGAAGATAGCGGCTAGAGAAAGTTAAGCTCTAAATGTCCTAGCTCCAAATACGAGATTAAAAAGCTAGGCAGTTTTTGTCACGATCTACTATAAATCGCTATCACACGCTTCATGTTTTGCTCGCTTATTATTTGCAATTGTTTACTTCAGATTGTTTGCTACATATATTTTTTGTTAGCTAGCTGAGCTAGACGTTCGAGGCTTACAACGTTGACAGACAAAGTGATTAGCAGCTTTATAACAAGGCTGCTTTCCACTCTTTCTTTTCTGATTGACCTGGCGCCTCACAGCTTTCAGATAACATACTCCGTAGTGGCTGGACATAAGTATTTGTACTCCTGGCCCCACACCCCCATGATTATATAATATATTGCCGGCCAAAACCCCATGACTTCATACTATGAAATCTATATATTACGCCTTTTAGGTAGGCGGTATGAGTCTATCGTGACGGTGAGTATGCGGGGGTGCAAAAACTTATGTCCAGTCACTGTATTGGCAATATTAGGCTTATTAGTCTTTCCTGTGACTGGTTCGATCCCCTTTCCAATGTTCTTATCTCCATGCGACTCTGGGGTTCCCAGTGATGTCATTTACAATACTTTGGATCATCTCTCTCTTATAAACCTCAATGAATCAAGCCTCGGAAGGAAAGATGGCGATTACCACCCGTACTAGCCGGGTATGTCTAATTCTTGCTGGTGGAAATACCGTGGACGGCCATGTACTGACGTTTTCATGTCGCAGGAACAAAGCAACGATGGCCCCAACGACCGGTCACTTAATGATGAGCAACTGTCTCCATCGTTCCTTGAGAAATTACCCGCTGAACTCATTCATGAGATTGCATCTTATCTCTCAGCTCCAGATCTAGGTTGCCTCGGTGCCACTTGCCGGGCCCTCGTCGATCATGCATCGAATGACTTACTATGGGCTAGCCTGGTGAACGAGAGACTGCCTACTCCTATCCAGAACTCAGGTCCCTTTGAGTCATTTCGCCGACTTTATCTTGCATATCACCCCTATTGGTTCATTCCTCAGCACAAGATCTGGTTCGCAGACACGGAGCACACAGGGATGCTAATCATAGCTCGATATGATAATCGTCGGGGTGTGATTGAAGCATATCCGGTCTTTGCAGACCGTGGCTTTCCTCAGTTTCAAACATGGATATCACACCCAGAAGTTATGATCCAGTCTTTTGAACCCAGTGTATACAAGGGGTTCGATCCAGTCTTGTTTCTCAGCGACCATAATCCGTCCTCCCGAACAGCTCCAATCCAATCCTTTAAATCAATGCCAGAGCGCCACATGCCAATGTATTCGGATACCCGACATATGTACACCTCGCTGTCTCTTTGCTCTTCATTTAAACATAGCGAATCTAGGGTCAAACCCTATGTGCTTTGGCCACCACGAACCATCCAGACCAATGCACGTACAGTTCGTGATTTGAGGGACTCGTCCCCGCCAATACCGAAATATTTATCGGATTTGTCGGAGTCTTTCTTCCGTGTCAGGAAGTGGGCAAACCAAGAGCTTACGTCTCCGGCACCGAACGAACCGGGTCTAACCTTCTCAACTCTCGATCCTGTCCTTTACACCCCCACCGAAGCGAAACCCTACCAGGGCATTTGGGTTGGAGATTATTCGGCCCATGGATGTGAATTCCTGCTTGTCTCCCAGGATAAAATAACGACCGTAGCACCTGGTTCCGAAAACGAGTCGAAGATAATCGACGCCCAGGAGGATGTTAGACATCGAGGTCCGCTGCTGGCTGTCAAGCTGACAGGTGACCCCAATGTTCCTCGTGGACAGTACTCATTTGTTGCCGACGACATTGGCGCCAGCGGCTTTATTAGTATCGGGACGGAAGAGCCTTTTGTTGGCGCCCGGATTGTGCGTTGCCGCGGTCATGTCGCTGGACTTGGGTTCCACGACGGTAAGCTGCCTTGGTAGATACACCATAACGGTCTTGTCTAACATGTAATTTGCCAGACACCTACATCGAGTCCCAACTGATCCTTATTTCTCCTGACCACATGGCTCATTACTGGAAGGAAATGGGCCATGTCTCTTACTACCGCCGTGTGGACATTGACGCTCTCTAACTACGTATTGTATGATTGACTGGCATGTTTTTGTGGTTCTCGTTTTACTTCATTCCGTTTTTTATTTGTAAAATACCCCCCTGTTTCCATGTTACGTTTATCAAGTTGTTTAGGTTGTGATTGATACGTGAACTGGGTTTAGCCTCCATCTTGGGAGGAAAGATGAGCTCCCAGCAAGGTCCACGATATCGACATAGACCTTCGTCCCGCGGTAATCATTAACTAGTCTCCTGCGGGTGAAACCTGGTCTTTTCAGCAGTAGTTCACATAGCGTACGATGTAGTTCACAACGAAACTCTCGTAGCTCGCCAGCAGTCAGCTTCAGGCATGCAGTGCCACCTAGGTATGCACCAATAGTGACCTCGAGCTATCCGGGTAGCACCGTCTGACAAGCCCGTGACTTATGTTCATACCTACAAGGAGAATATTCCAAGAATTGTCTGCTAATTTCATGGCTGGATTTGTGTGATGATATAGACATGCAGAAAGATAAAAGGTATCGAAAACAGGCAAAACACCATGACCATATAAGCACCGATCGAAAGTGGAGGCTAGAGCGCAGATAAAAATTGGTCATCACTCGTCAATTCGGCTTTAAAGCATATACTTGTGGTGTGCCGGTGATTTAAAGAGACACAGCCACAACACAGACTCAGTCTGTACATACTGATATTGTATCACATTGCCATAGGGCCAAGAGTCAGAGCCAAGGCCAGATATGTGCCGCTAGTCCGCAATCATACACACAAGACGGCCGAAAGTCAAGTCGCGAGAAAGGGATCGCCGATTGTCTCTCCGGGTCGAGTATGGCGGGGTCAATCATCGGCGTCGTTCAAACCAGGCGGACGAGCCCATAACAGCCACCGATTGGTCCATCATCCACTCTCCAACACCAAGGTAGCTATCAACCCATTTCTTGATGTCTTTGTTGTCTGTGATCTTGTCTGAATTGAGGCTGGGGCTATGAAGTTCCCACGCACACACGACCCAACCGGGGGTGCGCAGGAGTAATAGAGTTAGCTAAGAATTCTCTCATGGATATCGAGCGCACCCAAGACGAGCAACAAGCAGAATAAACAATAGCTTGGAAAAAGACGATCGTGAGGGGTAGGGTGCATTTACGTGAGGCCCGTGGAGCGCTTGACGCCTGCGAGGAAGGCGGAGACTGCGGTTGAAGGCACTGGTTAGTCTGTATTCGGAGGTACAATATGGACACTTTAGAGGACTCACGGAGAACCGCATCAAATGCGTAGTGGGTAAGACGGCCGAACTAGATTGCAGCACATCCGAGTCAGCCATGGCATGCTCTCTATGTTCCGAGGACCCCGGTTGTCCAGGATCGGCCAGCAAATGTCACTCACCATGATTCCGAGTAGTAAGTGTCAACACTGTGGATATTGAGTAACCGGGAGTTACCAAAAGCTTAAGAGGCGAAAGTAAGAGGAGACCAGGCATCAAGACCGCCTAAAGAGCGGTCACGTGGATATTCACATGACGTCTCCCGAGTGGCTGGAGACGAGGCTGGTGAAACTGGTTGTACCTGACATAATCCACATTGTGGCTGGGGCCGGATCGAGGCCAAGATTGTCACTAGTCCGGATTCGGTCTATCGATAAGCGTTCTCATCCCACCGAAATCCCTCTGGGGTCTTTGAGCTGGGGCCTGGATCAATTGGGTGTCTGGATTTGTCACATTTACTCGCTCCAAGGACTCCAATCTACAGCGCGTAGGCCAGCACGGGGTAATCCTCCGCTTTTTTGCGGTCAGCCCAGTCCGGAGTTGATATATAATTGTTTTTTTCTGTTTGGACTGTTTATGCCGCCTCTAACCACACCTCCAGCTTTTAGTAAATAGAGAATATAGCTGAACAAATAGAAAGAAATAAGAACAGTCAAATCCTCATATGTCACAGAATTCACCGGTTAATTTGGTAGAAAGATATGGTCTGGTCGCAATAGTACAAAAAAATGTTTTGGGGATGGAACCAATACTCACACCGGCGGGCAACATTTTTCCTACCGCCCCGCACCCATCCGTTTTCTCTTTCCCCTCCATTTCTCATCCTTCTCTTCTACCCATCCTCCCTGATTCTCAATTGATCAGAACTTCCCTCATCCTTTCTACATCAATTCAACAGTTGTTGATCATCTCAAAATGGCGGTTACAAACTCCCTCGACCACCTGAGCAACCGCATGAAGCTGGAGTGGTACTCCAAGCTCAGCACCGATATGGTGCCTGCGAAGAACTTCCGTCGCACCTCCATCATCTGTACCATTGGTATGTCAAAGAAAACATCAGGCCGAACCTATCAGGGAGGTTCTGGTGGAGAGAAAAAAAACACCGGTTACTAACAGCCAATCGATCAGGCCCCAAGACGAACTCCGCCAAGATGATCAATGCTCTCCGCACAGGTATGAAAATAAAGTTTCCGATGGAAATGGGCAGCATTTTTGGATAGTTAGTCTGACATGGCCATAGCCGGTCTGAACGTCGTTCGCATGAACTTCTCCCACGGATCATACGAGGTCAGTATCTCCAATCAACACCCGAATGAAGACCTTCACTGACTTGGCCTGCAGTACCACCAATCTGTCATTGACAACTCTCGCGAGGCCGCTCGTATCCAGATTGGCCGCCCTCTCGCCATTGCCCTGGACACCAAGGGCCCCGAGATCCGTACCGGTAACACCCCCGGTGACAAGGACATCCCCATCAAGCAGGGCACCGTGCTTAACATCACCACTGATGAGGCGTACGCCACTGCTTCTGACGATAAGAACATGTAAGATCATTCCCATTCCGAAGAATGGACCGACAGTCCCTCAATGTCGAGTTTGACATGTGATGTGGACTGACAACTGTGTGACGACAGGTACCTGGACTACAAGAACATTACCAATGTGATTGCTCCTGGCAAGCTCATCTATGTTGATGATGGCATCATGTCATTCGAGGTGATTGAGATTGTTGATGCGCAGACCCTTAAGGTCAAGTGCCTGAACGACGGCAGTATCTCATCCCGCAAGGGTGTCAACCTGCCGGGCACTGATGTAGACCTCCCCGCTCTCTCGGAGAAGGATATTGCCGATTTGCGATTCGGTGTTGAGAACAAGGTTGATATGGTCTTTGCCTCATTCATCCGTCGCGGCAGCGACATCGAGCACATCCGTTCCGTCCTTGGCGAGGACGGCAAGGAGATTCAGATCATCGCCAAGATTGAGAACCAGCAGGGTGTGAACAACTTCGATGAGATTCTCGAAGCGACCGACGGTGTCATGGTCGCCCGTGGTGACCTCGGTATCGAGATCCCTGCCCCCAAGGTTTTCCTTGCCCAGAAGATGATGATCGCCAAGTGCAACATCAAGGGCAAGCCCGTTATCTGTGCCACCCAGATGCTGGAGTCCATGACATACAACCCCCGCCCCACTCGTGCTGAGGTTTCCGATGTTGCCAACGCCGTTCTCGACGGTGCTGACTGTGTCATGCTGTCTGGTGAGACCGCCAAGGGTAACTACCCTTGCGAGGCCGTTCGGATGATGTCCGAGACCTGCTTGCTGGCTGAGGTTGCCATTCCTCACTTCAACGTCTTCGACGAGCTGCGCAACCTTGCCCCTCGCCCCACTGAAACCTCCGAGTCCATCGCCATGGCCGCTGTCAGCGCCAGTTTGGAGCTGAATGCCGGTGCCATCATCGTTCTGACCACCAGGTAGCCGGAACCTTCCTGTCATTTTGTATGAAGATCATACTAACAAGTTCATAGTGGTAAAACTGCCCGCCTTGTGTCGAAGTATCGTCCCGTCTGCCCCATCCTGATGGTTACTCGCAATGACACCGCTGCCCGGGTAAGTCGAATTGTATCGTTCGAATTGTATCGTTCTTTGCTGACAACAGTTCCAGTACTCCCACTTGTACCGCGGTGTGTGGCCGTTCTACTTCCCCGAGACCAAGCCTGATTTCAACGTCAAGATCTGGCAAGAAGATGTCGACCGTCGCCTCAAGTGGGGTATCAACCACGGTCTCAAGCTCGGAATCATCAACAAGGGTGACTCTATCGTCTGTGTCCAGGGATGGCGTGGCGGTATGGGCCACACCAACACCGTTCGTGTGGTGCCCGCCGATGAGAACCTCGGTCTGACCATGGAGTAAACCTTCTGTAAACTCATCAGATGGTAAGCTTTTGGTGATGGAATGGTCCAGTGTGCTTTTTTTACCGCCGGTGTGCGGATGGGATACATACCTCTTTTTTCTTTTCTCGCTTTTGTTTCGTTCGAAGCCAAGTTTGTTCTGCGCTGGGACCATAGCCCGGAAGGTTAATACATTGCTCATGTAAATGAAACGAATTTAATGCTTTCCGGTCAAATTAATGAGTTAGTAGAGACCAGACAATTCAATGAATAGACATAGGACTGATATTTTGCGCTTGAGTCCTTATAGACTTGCATCCGTCGCGCGTCGAGTCCACGAAAGTCGCTGTCGCATGCATGGAGTAACTGCTCTAAATCCCATGCGCGATTCAAACGAGAATGATCCATCCTCTTGGAAGAAGACTTCAGTCAAAAGAATGAAGGGAAAAAAAGAACTTGCACAAAAAAAAACCAATGCGGGGGACGCAGGGACCCGAGGAGCCCGATACCGAGGCCCATCCATGTGCCCGAGGGGATGACGATATCACCCGGGCATACGCCGCTGACGAACTGTACTTACCCCTCTCTGCAGCAGGAAATGATGCGATTTTTGAGATTTTCCGGGCCATTGGCGAAAGAATGAAAAAGAGAATTAGAAAAACAGGGCTAGTAAATTCGTTAACAAATTTCGTGGAGCCTTTGCCGCCCCGATCCCGGTTTTTGCCGATGGTCCCAGAGATTAGCCCTTGGATTATATAGATCTGTGTTCATTGGTATCTCCTTTAGCAGCGCGGACAGCACCAATTTTATGTATAAAACAAAGATATTGTTCGTATTTCAGTCCGATACAAACTACATAGCTGTAACACTTTCAAATTGAACGTTAATTTGACCTTCTATGTACTGGTGGTCCGTGGATGCTACGATTGCTACCCTTATGAGATAGATATTCTTCCTGAACTGTCATTATGCTCCTACTGGCAGCCCTCTACCTCTGCCTCTGCCTCTGCCTCTGCCTCTTCCAGGACCTGGTATGCGCTGCTCCGTCCCCTGCCACCGATTTCTGGTCTCCTCCAGTAAATCCTGCGGAGTTTTACCCTCCGCATTTGGTTGACCCATCAACATAGCAGTTTCCTCCCCAGCAGCCTCCTTCAGAACACGCATTATCTCATCCTGAAGCCTGATCTTATTCGCAGTTGTCACTTCCTTATCCCTCCCATCACATCGTATATGATCATTCAAAAACCCCCGCGCTGCGGCATGAAAGGGCGTCTCCTGGAAAGCATTCCGAGCGCGGAAATCCGCCTGGTGCTCAATTACGAACCTTGCCGCCGAGACCTGCCGCAAATTCTGGGCAAAGACGTGCAATTCCGTCTTTCCCTTGTTCTCGGCACGATTGATATTGACACCGTGTGATAGGAGCAAATCGAGGAGGGTGGTCTTGATAGGGTCACCTTGATGGGAGTGGTATCCTAATAGATGTAGGATGGTACAGCCAGAGCTGCCGGGGATCCGGAGGTCAGCCCTGTATTTGAGTAAAGTGCGGATAGTAGACTCAACGTGCTGGCACATAGCGTGGCTTATAGCAGCATAGTGTAGCGGCGTGGATCTAGCGTTGTCAATAAGGTTGATACGAATAGAATCATGGTCGAGGAGCAGTCGAAGGATCTCTGTGATTCCGAGCTGCTTATATAGGAGTCTACAGTAAAAACCTCCAGGACCGCTAGCTGCCCAGGGTAGTGGGAGTCGCCCATCACTATCACAGGAGGAAGCCAGGTCAGGGTTGGTATTGTTCTGGTAATGTTGATGATCCAAGAGCAAGTTAACAACAACATCAGCATTGTAGAATAGACTTGCTAGATGGAGCGTTGTGACATCATACGCGTGACCCTTTGCGGTCCTGAACTGGAACGGTGCCCTGGCATGATGGAAGTGTTGATGCTTAAGGTAGATATCGGCACCGGAGTCAATGAGCCGTTGAATTAACGGCCCATTAGCCCTCGACATAGCAAGCCCAAGCACACTATCTTGCACCTGACTTCCCCAGGGAGGGATATCATTTGGCAAGGGAGGAATAACATCTGTCGCTGAACAGCCTCGGTCGAGAAGAAGATGAATCAACTCATGGCCCCGCGCAATCCGATCCCGAATCCACTCAGCCCAATGAAGACCCTCATCTTCTACTTCATCTGGGTCTTTATCAAGATACATCAGCGAACCCGCAGCCACGAGGATCGGCGTATCTCCGGAATCATCTCGCTGATGTAAATCCACCGTCCCGAGAGGTAACTGATTTTCTGGACTGTCCAAGATAAAGCGCACTACATCAATATTTGCCGCGCCACATGCGTCGAGCAGCAGACGGAACTTGGGGTTGAACCTCTTGACAACTTCCGGGGCCGTAGTATACACATCCAAGAGAATTTGAAGAGCCTCGGGACTGCCGTACGAGGCTGCATTGAACAATGTGTCCTCTAAGTAGGGTGTCCCAGGGGCGATCACATCCTCGGGATTGCATGAGGCGATGAATCGACGGAGTTGAGGGAGGTCATTTTGCTTTATGATATTCACTAGCCTGTTTCTGCGCCTGCCGATCACCTGAGAAGGAGATCCCGGGGGGTCCGGGGGTTCCGGGGTCCGAGATAGGAGAATCGCCCTCTGCCATGACAATTTATCCTCCTTCCTCTCTTTCGTGTTGTTCTTCTTATTATATCTGCATTTAATCTGTGGAAAGAGAGAATGTGCGTGTGTGAGAAAGGGGGAGGGGAAAGAATAGAGAAAGCAAGCAGACGAAAAGGGAAGTTACGTCCCAACCGTGGAAGGCTGGGCGGCCCCACTAACGGGTAAGTCCACGGTCGGTCCAGGGGTCCAGGGGCCCACGGACCTCTCCAAGGCTTGTTCTAGACTCATAGGTAATTATACACGGAGTACGGAGTAGGAGTATGTACCATTATACCTAATGTATTAAAAAAAAAACAATGTGATTGTATTGGAATTACCACAGCAACATAAACACAAAGGCGGTGATTCCAGCGGTCGGCCTTGAACCGGTTTTATTCTAACTCACCACCTGGACCTCGGGCCTTCGGCCGCCGATCACCACCCGAGTTACCGTCAGCATTATACTTTGTACTAGTATACGAGGTTCACATCTAAAATCCACTGTCTATGTTGTATGCCTATCAAGTATCAACACTACTGCTACCTTCCAAATTGAACAAATTGTTTAGTTATTATTTTTTTTCGGTTCCTGTTGCTTTCGGCTCTTACAATTTGTGGCGCGGCCCGTACATATGCTAAAATATATCCATTAATTCAAAACCAGTACAATCTATCATCCTGAGTATCAGATCCCATTACCTAGGTGGCATCTATGCCAATTCGCACTCGATAAGACTCTCGACTCCTTTCTGGGCATTCCAAATCTTCGTGATTTTCAACCCAGCGGATCCCACCAGTTGGTGCCAATGGGCTTCAGTTCGCTCGGTCGAAGCGAAATCAGCCATCATAATAATATCCAGACTGGTTGTCTCCCAGTACGCGTTGGTATCAGGGATGACATTCTCGTTAATCAGAACCTTGCTGTGTCCGCGCTTCATGGCATTCACGAGACCCTTCAAGATCTTGCGGCAGTTATCGTCTGACCAGTCGTGCAGGACAGAGTGCATATAGTAGGCGCGAGCACCTTTAGAAGAAAATATTAGTTTTGATCTGAGTTGAGAGGGGGTCATAGAAGGGGAAATCATACCCTTGATAGGCTGCTCATTGAAGAAGTCATGCTCTAATGTCTCGATCGACGGATCTAGCTGTCCTGACTTGGCTTGAGCGACCACATCGGGAAGATCCTGGATCACCAGACGCCCAGGAGCATCAGGCCACTTGCGCTTAAACTCCGAAATATCGTGGCCTAAACTGCCGCCGACATCGACGAGGAGAACATCGTCCTGTGTGACATCGGGGAACAGGCTGGGCACGTCGAAGAAACCGACATCCATCCAGCTAGGACGGCCTTGGTGGTAGGCAGACATGTGATTGTTAAACTGGCTAGCGGCATCTAGGTTCTCCTTCATAAAGTCGAAGAAGTGGAGATCGGTTCGGAATCCGCGCTGGAAAGCGCAATCCTTGCCGTTTGATGGGTTGGTATAGCCGTCCTTTTTGAGCTGGGCAGGTAGAGCAAGCACACCGGCGGTGATGCAATTAGTCCTAACCAATGAGTTAATATCATCCTTTTGGATTATATGCCCACAAATTCCGACTTACATGCAAGGGTATGCATCATTGTATCGTTGCAAGCTTAGCGAGATTGAAACTCCGGTTCGGCGGTATTCATTAGGACCAGTCTCGAGGATAACTCCCATTGCGCACAAGTGCTTCAGAATGCGAGCTAAACAAATATGTAGTTAGTAAAGTGTACCGACAAAGCACAGGACGGATGGCAAGTTACGTACCAAGAAGAACTGGGTCAGCACCGGTGGCCTTGGCCAACTCGGCAGCAGACTTGGGCTTGTCATCCTTGGACAAGATAGCAAAAAGGCCCAGATCAACACCTGTTTCCAAAGAAGCGTAAAGGGTAGACTATGATATCAATATTAGTTGCCGTCAACAGCACAAAGGTGTGCCTTAGAAGCACGGGAATTTACCTGAGACCAACAGTATCTGATCATAGCCTCACGTGGGGTCTCAAGTGCGTAGACCAGGGATCGAGCGGCTTCCAAAAGGGTTGTTCGATCGGTGTTGTCTTGCAGGCTGGCGACTTTGCCAAGGGAAGCAATCTGATCAACCAGGCCAGGAACGAGCTCGGGTGTGTTGGCGGAAATTGCTACGCGGTCGACGAAGGCCTCCTCGAGGCCTCCGCTGGTCTGGCAATCTCCAGTTGCATGGATTGTGCCCTCCGTGTGTGAGTTCCCATTAGCTTGGGTGGTTTCACTCAATGTAAGGGTTGCAATGTCGGCCATTGTGAATGTAATGTAATATAGATAGCGTGGGAGTGCAGAAGAATATGAAGTGATCCAAGTCAAAAGTACTCCAGGGGTCTTTAAATATACTACATTCATTATCTACGTATCCCCTTTTTTGAAACAAGCTACAGTCACTGTCTCCTTTTCTTTAATGAAGCTACGCCAGCTGAGCAACGGTTGGACCGGGTTCAATCATATGGATCCGCTATCATGAAGACCGGCTGGTATTCATCCCACTGGAGCACTGTGCTAGAAGATAGGTTCCACCGACACTACGGAGTAAGTCGGTGCCAGTTGGGACAAAGGAAGTGGAGACGCAACGGTTCAACGGTCTTCCTATTCAGGTAACAAACGAGCAGATTGTCTAACGGCTCGCCCAAGCCAAGAATATCACTTGGTATGTTGTACCTATGTATATAATAAGTACCGAATAACTCAAGGATCATCACAATAAAATTAGAGCGGATGGGCCCACATCCATGGATGGATCTATCACAAGATGTCCCAAAGGAATACTCATTATACGTTATAGGCAGTTGATGTGCTAAAATGACCTGGCTAAAGCTAATTCCCCATCCAAGTGCAAAAGTACAAGGCATGTACTTTGTCCTCAACGAATCGCGTAAATATATAAGCGGAGTATGTGGAATTGATCAGAGAGGGCTGAGATTCTGATAGAATCGGCTCAATGGACCGGAATACATTAATATCCACACCAAATACCCACATCGAGACGGCTAATCGCGCTTTTTTGGTGTTTTTTTTAACGATATTTCGCTTGTTCGCACGGGCTACTTCGTGCTCTGCACTCCTTATATTCGACGACGTACTTAACCCCGTAGTACTCCGTACTCCGTACTTTTGTCTATTTTCAACTTGGACTTGAAAAAAAAAAGACCCACGAGGCGAGCTGGTGGATTAGAAACCACCCACTCTCTTCGTATTACGGTGGGACTCGTAAAATCCAGGTTGAAATGTCAGCAAATTTTTAGAACCCAGAATATGATCTAGACTTCACCCAAGATCTACACTGCATGGTACAATTGTTTCTTTCTAGACTACGGAGTAGGTTGGCCAGATATTTCCAAATAAAACCCCGGTTATTCGACATGAGGGCAGTGCACGCGGAGTATCTCAAGCTACTGCCTACGATGCAGGCCCGTCCACCGGGTATTGGGGTCCCATTCCGAGACTGCTGTCATTTCGTTTAGCGGCATCGACTAACTAGCTAGCGTGACAGGGATCATACCCCTATCCGACTACGGAGTACTCCGTAAAAACGAGCTAGCTATAATACTATTGTAGACGATGACCTCGGAGATAAATCGTCAAACAATGATGAACAATGCGCTTACCAAAATAGGACGATCATCGCAACTAAAATCTCGAAGGATTGGCTGTTTAACGGAGTTTCAGGAAAATAATAGTACGGAGTGACTGATCGAATAATGGCACACTGAAATCAATCCTGTACTTACTTCCATGTACATATCTCATGTGAACTCTTATGTGCTATTGTTGGTTTTAGCAGGCCCTTTCCTGTAGGGCTATATATAAACTACTCCATAACGGGGTCGCACTCTTTCGCACTTTCTGGCCTTTCCCCGCTGTTTCTGCATCAAGATTGAGACAATGGTGGTCACCGCCGGAAATCTTCACGATGACAAGGGTCCCAAGATCCTGGCTGTACTGTGGACCTTGACGGGGCTAACTGCCGTTATGGTTGTGGCTAGGGTCTACATCCGGCTCAAGCTACTGCGGAACTTTGGTTTGGATGATTATTTGATTGTGGTTTCCATGGTAAGAGGCTTTCTGTCCTTTCGAGGTGAATCTAACCGGAGCTTGTGTACTAGATAATGGGGTTTGCATATTGCGGAATCTCTACAGCAGGTGTGGGTGTGGGTTATGGAAAACATTCCAAGTACTTGAGTACGGACAATCTGGAGAAGGCCATTCTACTCAATACAGTCAGCTTTTTGTTCGGGATTTTCTCTTTCACTCTTCCCAAGATTGCTGTGACTTCCATGTTGACCCGGATCTTGAACCCCAAACCACTGCATAAGGCGATGCTGTGGACGATGGTTGGAACCACAAGCGTCGTGTCTATTACCTGCATTATAATCTTGTTCACAATGTGCGATCCAGCAGAGGCATTGTGGAAGCCTGAACTTGTCGCAGCAGGCGCCAAGTGCAAAAGTACAGCGTTACTCATTGACTTTGCTATCTTCACTGGATGTAGGTCTCATCCCCTTGAAACATATGTCTTGGAATTAACCCCATACTTCTAGCTATCTCTGCTCTTGCTGATCTAACTCTGGCCGTTTATCCAACAACCGTCTTGTTGAAACTCCAAATGTCTCTACGAAAGAGAATTGCGCTATGTGCTGCTTTAGGGCTTGGTGGAATGTAAGTTGATACCTCCCCAACTCATACCATACTACCCAGAAGCTGACCAAAGTGGCGATGAAGTGCTTCTGCGATGGCAATTATAAAGTGTACCCAGCTGCATGGACTTGCCGACAAATCCGACTACACATGTATGTCCTTATTATCCTTCTCGCTTTAACCAAAGGCTGACCAAACAAAAGACGGTACTGCCGACCTTGTCATGTGGACCAAGTAAGCATCTTCCATCCGATCCTCTTGTTATATGATCTAACCCTTTGTTCTCCGTCTAGTATTGAGGCCGACGTCGTTGTTTTAGCATCGTGCATCCCCACCTTACAACCACTCCTCGAAATCCTTCTCGGCAAACGAGCAATGGGCTCATACAGTCAAGGAAAGAGCGATCAGCTCAAGACCAGCAGCAATTTCCCCTCCTCATTCCATCGCTCCAAGCAATCAAAACCGCACGATGACCTCTGTTTCACCAACATCGACGATCAAGAGAGTCAAGAGAGCATCCTTCATAACGATGACCACGGGAAAAATAGCCTCCCACTGGGGCGTATCCACCGCAAAGATGATGTGGTTGTGGAATACGAATCATCTCCACCGAAACAAGGGCAAGGGTCGGCATATTCTCATTGGTGAAGCGCATGAGCTACCCCCTTCCTAAAAAGGCAGCCCCCTTGGCCTATCGAATAACATTTCGATGGCCGTTCCATTTTCTACGCAAATCAGTGTCTCCTGGTTGCACCTACATACCTTTAATTAACGGATTTCTTTGCCTTTTTCAAAATATATAGACTACTTATGCTGAACGCTTTGGAAGTTGGGCAACAATATAACTTCCTACTTCTCCCCAAACCGATGAGAACTCGAATTAATTGGTGGCATAAAACAAGATCTCATAAATATGACTTCTCATGGCTTATCCGCTTGCACATCTAGAAACCAGTCGGCCCGGCAGTTTGCTAAAGTTCTAATATTAGGGTAACCCGAGATCGCACTGGAAAGCAGGAGATCAAGAGTGACAGGGCTTGCAGGGTGCTGCTTTTCACAACACAAATATGAAGAGAGGCATATTGAGTAGGCAAAAAGATTCGGGACTGGCTATGAGAATGTTGGTATGAAATGAATGTCTAGAGGCAATGTTAAGGCATGATGACAAGAAATTCCCAACACATGAAACATCACCCTGCACTCCGTCTCATGAAAATTCGTCAGGTCATAAATCATTAATGTAAGCAGTTCATGGGCGCAGATCAAAACGAAGACTGTCTAAGAAGCTATCAGTAACCAGTGTCTTCCACAAACCCGTTCCCATCAACAGTCTCAACTTCAGTGTTCTGGTTCTCATAGCGGTACATCGCATTTGATGGGAATTGATGCCAGCAGCTAAACTCGTTAGTATTCAGTCGCACACCCGAGGGAATATATATCAACTAACCTTGGAGCTTGAAGCACATATCTAGCCATTGCCTCACGGAAACGACCCTTATATTCTCTAGGACTTGTGACCGTCGGTCGATTTCGCCCACCGCCAGCAAATCCTTTGTCCTTGATCCAGGACTCGAGCTTTTTGTCCCAGGTGTAGGTGCGAATGCAGTCAATGATCCCTACCACCAGTTCATTGCGGCTTTCATCGATGGCGATCATGAGTGAGTAGTCCATGACGTCTTGACGACCCAAAAAGAGTGTGTCATTCCATACACTTTGGCCAAGAAGTTTCTTTGAATGCTCGCGGGCAAAGAGAGGGGTTTCATAGATGAAATCCACCATGTTTTCGTCCAAGAGGACCTCGTCCCGTTCACCGGTACTCTCTACTTTGCGGTTTCGCATTGAGCCCTTCAAATCGAATATGCGCGTAGGGACACGGTCATAGAACAAGTTCTCCATTAACAACAAGAACCAATTGAACTCGGTTCCAGTGACTGGGTTCTTGATAATGACTTGGTAAAAGCCGAACATCTTAGCGATTGCGGAAGGGAGTTCATGAAACAGGGCTTCGGACATGATTTGGAAATACGCCGGGGCGAATTTGAGGAAAGCCTGCGTCTCAATCGTTGAGAGAGACTTGAGAATGAAACGGTCATCAAGGGTCTTTAGGAACAACGATTTTGTCTTGCCACCCTTTGAGTCCCACTTTGCACACCGAGACAATGACTCGACGATTCGATCTGCCACACCACACTTTTTACGCAGAGCATCAAACTGCTCGGCGTAGAACACTTTGCACAGCATCTTGGCCTGACCTTCTTGGAATTGATACTTTAGGTGTGTGCCCGTAGGTCGCAAGAGAGCATGTTCGACCTGTGCTTCCTTCGCAGCCTCGATGTCGTCTCCGGCATCTGGTTTTTGTTCTTCCGTCTCGTCAAACCGCTGTTGAATGGTTGAAAGTTTTTCTTTGTAATCGGAAGAGTCCAAAGCGAAGGCTACCAAAGAGCTTGGTTCATCCTCGCGAACAATAATATTGCAATCAGCAAAGACATGATCCATGACACTGAGTGGATAGTCAAGAGACGCCCAACCACTTGCAGAACGTTCAGACCAGAAGTTTGTCAGCATTTTCAGAAGCGTGGTACGCTCATGTTTAGGGAGTTCTTTGAAATCAATTGAATCATCCTCTGGTGACTGTTTGGTCTCTTCATGTGAATCTACTGGATGGAGATCTTCAACTATGTTTTGATCCTCATCACTTTGGTGATCATCTGCTTCGTCGCCAGACAAGAGTTCGTCGTCAGGACAGAGTGCACTGTCTACTTTCATAGGCTCTGCGGGAGACTCGCTTGCCAGAGAGGGCTCATTATGAGTTTTATGATCATGCGTAAGTTCATCACTCTTGCGACTCATGTCATCCATTGGGATCCGGGGAGCCGAGGGCAGATATTCATCACTATCAACCGGCGGTTCGCGTTCTTCAACAGCCTCTCGTACATTTCGATAGACCTCCACGATGGGCTTCGAGGACGCCAATGGGAATGCTCGGGACTGAGTGCCCTTGGCAGTGCGTTGACGTCTTTCGCGCTGTCTCTCTTTCTCGAATTCACGACTCAATTGCTCAAAATGCCTGGCGAGGTGAGAAACCTGCGATATTCCCCTTGACCGTGGAATAAGCGACTGACCCGCGGCAAATCGGGCACTCTTGAGGGAACTTAAGCCTAAACGATCGCTCAGCTTTCTATCCGATGACTTTGTTGGTGATTGCACTGCAGGGGTTTCCGGATCGGATGGGTTGGCGAACGCTAGTTTCAACCCCGGAAGTTGAATGCTGTGAGATGATCGTGGTAGATTCGCAGCTGGCTGAGACTGAGTACGCAAAAGCGGAGGAGACCGTATCTTACCGGTGCGTCGAAAGGCTAGCTCGGTAGGCCTCGGTATTGCTGAAGGCCGACGTACTGGGGTATTTGCTATGTCAGGAGATACGCTGTCTTCGGTTCCATTCTTGGTTCCTTGATCGGGAATCCTAGAGCTTTCCGGTGGTGATAATTCCGATGATCCGTCGCCGGAAATCATCACAGGGAGATCGGTGTTTATAGGAGATTGATTCGAAATGCTAGCATGGCCGACAGGAACAGCCAAGTCGAGATGTCGTACTTCTTGTGAGACAGCCTCATCCTGGGGAGAAGACCTCGTCCCACCAATTGCATCGACTGATAAAGTTGCTTCCTCAGCCGACGCTGGAGGCGAGTGCAACTCGACTTCTTCGAGGTCCTCGCGGTGCTTTTTGCCAGTGTGCTCCTCGACAACGGAGACCAGTACATCCTGTGCCTTCTCCGGTGAAAGTGTCATACGTCGCATCATCCGTGGCCTGTCATCTTCCTGGTCGTTCTCATCTTCAACATCCGTGGGAGTTTCGAGGGCATCATCTGTAGAAACCGATGTTGCATCTTTGTCGAGGAAGATCTTTTTGAGTTGCAGTGTTGCCATATGCTTGATATCCTTCTCAGATGGGAAAAAGTTCATCTCGAAATCGGCAAATATCGTGTCCCATTCGACAACCTTTTCTTGAACTGCACGGAGGACCTCATTCAGCGGTATGATCTCCCAATAGCGAGAACTTGTGTATTTGTCTTGTAAGTGCCGGACCAAAGAGCTATGGTCTTCATGACTCTTCTTGATCAAAGTTTCGATTTTCGTCTTGCAGCTCTCCAGTAGCTCGGGAACAACACTCTCGGCATTGATGCCTTTCAGTCGGTCTTGAACAGAGATCATGAATTTGTTGAGACGTTGCTCGGTACGCAAATATACTTCGTTCCTCAGCCTCAGATCGTTGTCCACCTTCCAAGTGACACGAGGCCGTGGAACGATAATCTCCAGAAGACGAATAGGGTCATATTGGACCCGCAAAGCAAGATCCCTGTAGCCAAAATAGTGGAGATAATCCCGCCGCAAATCATGAGAGCAACCTCCAGTACGAGCAAGCAAGTGTCTGCCCCAGAAACACAGCTCCAGATATTTTCCGAATGAATATTTCCATGTGCTCGGGGACATAGGCATAACTTGAGTTTCATTGCCGCAAATTTTGCAACAGCTCCACATCAGCACGGCATTATGGAGCCCACGGAGCTTAGAAGGATAAGGCTGGACCAGGACACTGATCTGAGCCTCGCCATGTACGTACTGGCGGTGGTGTTCGAACATGCGTTTCTCGCAGCCGTTGACGGTACATACGGAATTTGCTGTGTGACAAAGGTCCTCTACATACTGCCCAATTGTGAGATCTGACTCGAAGATTGTGTCATCTCCATGCTCATTATAGAACTCCAAGGCAAAGGTATCTGGCCCTGAGCAGGGGACTGATGTTGTTGTACACACAACACTGTAGAGAATGACCAAATTCTGATGCGCATAAGGATCAAACATGTTGGAATTCCCCGCCACATAGGCTTCCCATTGGCGCTTTTGAGTTTGATGGTGATAAAGAGCCCGGTCGTACTCGGCTTCATGCGCAGCATGCAATACTTCCTTGACTTTTGCTGGCGCATCTTGCGGTGATTGATGGACCATTTCCGGGGTGATGAGGACAAACTTTTGCGGTTTGACCTTTTCATCGGTGATCTGGTTAGAATTGCGGTCTTGATCACGAAGAGACTTCAAATACGAAAGCCTGCGTTCCATTTCGCGCGCACGCGTTAGGAGATACGGAGCCTCGAATTTTACGAAAGGAGAGGCCGACAAAATCTTTGTCTCGTAATCCTTAACCATATCGTTATAGTATGTCGGCATTGGGATGTTGTCAGGAACTTTTGCAGCATCGGCATCAACAAGAATTTGGCTATCAGAGATATCACCACGTTTCTCGTTGGCTCCCTGCTGAGCATTAGATAGGTCGACTAGATGTGCGTTGCCTTCGTGAGTGGTAATCTGCGGATTGAATTTATTGTCTTTGTCGTGCCCAACTGCTGATTCTTCTGTCGGCGAGGTTGATATCCTGCCGAATTCATCTCGCATAAGATTTGTTTCTAGACGGAGGTTGTACACAACATAGACCATGAACTCAGTGATGCTTTTCACATTCCCGAGGACTTGATCATCCCCTCCACGCAGGATAATGGTACACCCGAGCTCTTTCGGACACCCGGAAATGTACATATATGTTTTCTTCCGACCATTATGAACGTAGGTTTTCACGTCGAAACTGCTGCATTCACTATGCAATGTGGTCGTCAAGAGCTTATCCATAGATGTCATAATCCTAGTCTGTGTACATCTCGACACAGCCTCTAGAACAGATGGCTTCACGTTGTATGCAGTGGCAATCCCAGCTTGCTCGAGGAGGCCAAGAGCCAGGCCAGAAACAGTTTTCTCGACCAAAAGCAAGTTTGGACGCAATGCTGCGATCCGACTGACCAAGTTTTCTAGAAACTCACGCTCTTGTCGAATGACAGGTTCGAGACTCATAAAATGTTGTTGTTGACGAGCATATTCAAGAGGAAATGTGATGATCAAAATGTTTGGACGTGAAATGTTCCGTGACATGCCTTTCAGGGCCAAATTTTTGGTGAAAACGAGTCCTGATACATAAGAAGTGTCACCAGGTCGGCCGCCCGGAATCTTCTTCAATTTGACGTAGTGTCGAATGTCCATATCATCTCCTTTTTGGACATCTGGATCAACCTCATCTGCTGCCTTCAACAGTATTGGCATCAAAGCGTTTTCCCAGCTGTCGCAATTTGGCACAGCAGACTCTACAAGCAGTTGATGGAGAAGCTTTCGTACGTGTTCCAGACTCGCTTTGTTCAATTCCACAGGTGGCGCATCAATGCCTCTCATTGATGAACTTCGAGTCATCTTGAACCCACCCTGCTTTACATTCTCGGGTAAAGATATGACTGGTGCTGAGTTGTCATGAGGGGGCATATTGTCCTTAGATGTCCTGGGTGAATGACGCGGCTGATAACTGCTAGTAACGCTCAAGTTTCGACGTCGAGAAAAACGAGGGAGATTCACGGCTCTTGAACTCGTGATACTGGCTTCGTCTGCGTCTCGATTCGTACTGGGAGTACTTCGGTCTCCAAAAGCAGATCTACCCTTTTTCATGGCAGCGAGAAGCCCACCAAATGATGCTTTCTCATTTTCACCCCCACTTTTAGACAGAGTGCCCTCAGAGACCGCAGACAGGAGGCTAGGTTGCTCATCGCCACTGGATGCATCATCCGAGAGATATTGAGCAAGGTCAGGGTCAATGATATTATCTTTATGAAAGGCAGGGAGTCGAGATTCAGCGTCTATGTCATCTGCATGTCGGCGTTGGAAGGGGGCTCGGTCTTCATGATATGGCTTAAAGCCCCGAATATATTGCTGACGAGAGTGGTGACGTTTGTGACTGAGGGAGTGTGGTCTTCCACCCAGCGAAGACCGCAGAGAGCGCGAAGAGGTAGGTCGTGTTAAAGGGCGATCAGAATCAATTTCAAGAATTGCCGAGCGGCGGTTATGTCCCTCTCCAGCACGTCGTGTGGCCGGTATAGCCATCGTCGGGGTTCTCAGAACGTGATCGATTGATTGAGACACAACCGAAGATGAATCATCGTCATCCGCAGATGCTCGTCCAGGACTGGTCCAGGTGAGTTCAGAAACCCGAGGATTGGCCACTATGGGGCTCTGCTCGCTGTCGGAGAATTCAGATGAATCATCATCGTGCGCATTGATCATCTTCTCGCAGGGTTTGCAAACCCGAATATTACCAGGCTGTCCGAACCGTGTTCCCGAAATGAGCAGAGTGCATTTCGAATCAAAGATTTGACCACAAGTTCGACAGTGGTGCTTTCTGCGAAATGTTGTGAAAGGTTCTCCGCAATGAAAGCAGTCTTTGGCATTCTCATCCCGCATCCAAAAATCCCTGCTAAGTAGTTTACTTCTTAGCTGCGATAAAACACCGTCGCCCCCGGCGGGAGGTTGACGCCTGGCTTGGCTAGTAGCCCGATCGAAATCAGTCTTCAAAGGCGGCAATGAGGAGACCGTTGTGGTCGTCTCGGCCGTGGAGGCCCGTGAAATCACGTAGCCAGGCAGCCGCGCTGCTCGGATTGAGGGCGTTGACTCCTCATTGGATCTACCGGGAGCTGTGACCTTTGCAGGCTCATTGGAGTTAGAGCTGTCACGAGGAATGGTTGTCTCCATGTTGGTTGGGAGTTTTTCAGCATTGTACGGTACTGAGTCGTGAGAGGAAAGTTTTGATAAACTATTTGACGTAGAAACCGAAGCTTTCGGCTCTTCAGAAGGGAAAGATGCTCTTGATTTTGATCTTTCTGCCGGATGCTGAGATGCATGATCCTGAACTGGCTCAGATTGCTTGGTATCTCGCATGTTAGCTGATTGAGACGAGTGTTCAGGCAGCTTTTGTTGATCTAGAGTAGAGACGGACTTCCGAGACTGGTTGTCAGGAGTATATGTTGCTGAGTCTGTGAGGTTGAATTCCTCATGATGGCTTTCATGCATCTTTGCAGACAAAACTGGTGAATTAGAAAGGTTCTGACTCAATGAAGAGGATGTTTGACTCATGGGAAGATCCATAGAGCCTTCCTTGCTACCGATACTTGTCGATCCTGCATTATGGATTCCCTGGAAGGGACCATTAATGGAGCTGCTTCTTGAGCAGTCAGCTTTCCCGACTACGTTCACATGAAGTTGAGTGACTGCAGGGTCTGCCACAATGGCGCTACCGGTGGCTTTCGTTAACGGTGCGATACTGGGCTTGATTCCAAGGGATGGTGACACGGAGGCCTTGGAAGATATGCTGCCATTTTTCGAGGATATTCTTGATCTCTTTCCTATATTTGCTTGTTGCACAGGTTCTTGATAAGTGTGGAAGTCTGGCACAACAGGCGAGTGTAGCCTTGATCCTTGTGACGAGTTGGGCTGTGATGGCAGATAATCAGCGGAGCTTGTAGCCACGTCCGAGACTGGGTTTGCCAGCGAATTCTCCGAAACAAGACTTTTGACTGCAGGAGTCTCTGTCGGATTTTTGTCTGCAGTTTTTCCGCCACCGCTGACAATATCCCTCACCCCTCCGACGGAAGTCCTAAAGCGACTATACAGACCGCTTAGTCCACCTTGTAATTCGTCAGACAGTCTTTTCTCATCCGATATGGCAGCCGGGGCTGGCGGACTAGTAAAATCGTTGAAGAGAGTGAGGGACTCGGACTGATACGCTGCATTATGGTAGTTATCCAGAGCTGCATTCATCGATTCTCGCTCGGTCTGAGTCGTGGCCATAGAGCTGCGTGATCCGCGTCGCTCAAGAGGAAGCGAATTGGAAGACGCCGATGGACTTTGTGAGTCCTGGGAGTGCTGAGAATCCATCGCCAAGTTAGGCAGAAAGGTCTCAGATCATCTCCGCACAGGATCTAGGCACCTTTATAGCCGACCATTCGGGCAGAACTGCGGGAAGGTCTCAGGTTTGGCGAGTTTAGCGAGTTTGGCAGAAAAAAGAGTATCGAGGGTCGATAAGAGCGTCTGTCAGACTGATCGGATCAAAGAAACTTCTTTCAAAAAAAAAAAAAAAGAATAGGTCCCTTTGCCCTCCGCACGTTGAATGACGTGTTGGTGCTGAGTAAGCTAGGCGCGTCCCGACCTCCCGAGGTCGGTCTTGGCAGGTCACAATCGATAAGACGCGGTTGAGTGGTGGGTTTTTTTGACGACCTTCGCTCTTTTTCTACAAACTCCGGGGCTACAAACATCCCATGCCCACTGTCTACTCTTACCAGCTATGACATATATGCTGTGTACAACATTGACTACAAGGCTGGATTCGCACGATGAATCCAGTAAGTCCCTGGATCGCGGCTTTGGCCGACCAATGTCTCTCATTTTATATCGGTCAAAATGATCAAGATGAAGTCCAGGTGGAAGATATCGACGGATGTCTCAGCTTCAGTTTCTGCAAGCCGACACTCAAGACAGCCGTTGTTGTATCGGTAAAATACCCCGAGCGAATGCGAAAAAAAGGAAAGAGTTGTTGCTAACTATATGTCTTTCGTCTGTTAGTGGGGAGAAGGAGAGAAGAGTCATTGCGCCACATTTACAGATTCAAAGAACCAGATTGATGCGATTATTTTACAAGACTCGCCGGACGTACAGGGAGCAACATCACCCTGTCCACCGTCGCTTAAAGGAGGCCCTAGGCACCTAGTTGAACTTTTCGACATCAAGCTCATTTTAACGTACTCAGCACCTGCCCCGGATGTCTGCCTCCAAATTAAACGGTTTACTATCCACCCGAATGCGGTTCCGAGAGGGGATGTACCGAAACCAAAGCTCAAGAAAACAACGGCTCTTAGAGCCCTGATGACTATGGCATGCGACAAAATCCAAAAGACGCGAGGGCATGCTAGCTCCAACGATCAAACAAATGCTAGATTGACCGACCCATTTGCTTCTCAGCGTGATCGAACTATGCCGCTCAATCATTCTCAAACCAATATGGCATCACAGTTGCTCTTCTCCCAACCCCCGTCTAATATGCGCCATGGCGCACCGAAGAGTAATGCAATGACCAGTCGTGTTTCCCTCAACGGGTCATCAGATCTTCTAGGATTGCTCGCTCCTTCTCATCCAATTCAAACAAATTACGCAGCCACTAGAGAGGTGCTCGAGGCCCACGGACTACCTCTTGGTGAAAGTGAAAGCAGGCATTCTCCCTTGCCAAATACAGGAATGTCAGTGGCACCAGAAATTGGCAGACCTTTCACCGAAATAGAACCCTCGTTTCGGAGACTTGATAGCAACATTGCTAATTCGACGCGCTCTAGTGAATATGTTACCAATCAATCTTACGCAGATATTGAAAAAGAAGTGGTAGACTTTATAGCGGAGTGTACGGGCACACAACCTCCCAATGAGTCGGATGATCATGGCCCGGCTCGCAATGTTGGAATGGGGGACATTCAGCCGTCAAAAAAAAGACATCGTGGTAGTACAGATGTGCTAATTCACAATGATGGCCTGAGCTCGCAGGGCCGGCAAAGTTCAAATACACCACCCTCCAAAAAGCGACAGCGCATTGATGCTGGTGAGGTGATTCCGCCAAATAAATCCGAGCGAGTACAAAACAAGCTCATGCAATCGCCTCCTAGGGTACAGATCGTAAACACCAAGACAGACATCGGGTGCCCGTCCGCAACAAGTCCATGGGATGGAATGATGAAAATACCTCTGAGCGAAGTTCATATTCCAAAAGACCAAGCAGAACTTTTGGAAGGGCTCAAATGGATCCCTCAGGACCCCGGTATATCTACACCTCTATGCCATGTACCGCCTCGTCTTTTGACGCAGTGGAACAATATTGCACGAAGAAGACAACATTTGGCAGAAGAAGCAGAAGCAGAAGAGCGACTATCTGAACGTGCGCTTACCTCTACACCGCAAGAGCCCTCTACATCTCCCATACCATGGTCTCCGTCCCCCGATAGGGCCCCTGCTCGAGATGTTCTTCCACGGGACACCGCTTCTCCCCCAAGATACATACGGCCTATCAGAGGAGCTTCTCCGCCAACTGGCACTCAATATAGCGTTGATCAGTCTATAAAAAATGGGGATGTAGACATGGTGAACGGGTCTTGCAGTGCTCCTCAGCCAGGACCGGGGGATATTGTCTCATCAAGAAACGATACTAGAACAGCAGAGCAACAATGTTCTCCATCTCCCGAGGAAGTAACAACAAAACCCAGAAGTCCATTGCCTTTGGACCATGATCCTGACCTACCCCAAGAGCACAACGCTTCAAAGTCGGTCGATGTGGTCAATGACCAACCCCCAAGCATAACACAAGAGCATGACCAATCACCCGCCAAAACTATCCCACTTAGATCTGAAATGCGTGATGAATCAAGCAGCGATGAGAGCGATGAGCCAGAGATGGAAACATATGTTCCTTTCGCTCTGGGTGGAAGCCTTCCGTTAAGCAGCCAGCCTGAGCAGGAACCTACTAGCTCGGGACCGTCGCTTCCAAGATTTGCAGGGGGGACTATCCAAGTGGTGGAGACACCTGCAGCCAATAATACACGTCTAAATCCCGGGAAACAAAGCGAACAGAGAACTGGGGTTCAGCTCCCGAGCTCTCAGCAGCCATACTCTGAAGCTACTAAGACATCCCCCTCGTCCCGAATTCCGAATACCTACCGCTCGCAAGATAACCACGGGCACAGTGATTTATCCCAAGACGAACCACCGCTAATGGATGTGCTGGGTACTCAGACTCAAACAAGCAGCGTACATGCACTCTCACAGGCTACAGTTCAGTCGTCCCCAGACGTACTTGATTCATCGAGACCTGTTCAACGACACCGTGGGTCGTCTATCTTCCGTTTAGATCCCTCAGACAACCCATCATCTTTTCCTGATGTCGGGTCTCACTCGCTGTCCACGTCTCAACTTCATGAACTAAGCCAACATTCTCCGGGAGGACTCGACGGAGGATCGCAGTTGCCGGAATTGTCGCCTATGGAATTCACCACCTCGGTCGCTGCCCACGGAGAGTCCCCATCTAAACGCCCTAAATATTCACGCCCTCCGGGCTGCGAGGGTGTTGATACTGGCCAAAAGGCGGCTCACGGTCCAAATGTCGAGTTGGTAGCACGGCGACAAGGCTCTATCGGCAATTCTGACGAGTACGCCGAAGCACAGACAGTCTATGAAAAATTCTGCAATGATTATTCGCCGTACGCTGGTGGTTTTGCTCACTTCACTGAGATGTGTTCGAAATTGCAGGCAGTACGACAAAAGGGCCAACTCCAACGATCGTTCCTATGGGATGACTTTGTCATCCAATACCTGGAGGAGTACTCGCGCTATCTTACAGAGCATATATTTGAAAATTCGAAGACACTAAATTACGAAGATTTTTTTTGCTCGAGATTCTCACGCCCTCACCACAAAAAGAGAAGCCTAACAGCCCACGGAATTGACATAGTCGCCTCTCAGTTTGTTCCGCCTACCAGTACCGAGTTAAGAAATTCGCCGGTTCCAAATGAAGTGACAATCCAAGGCGATGTAACCCAGGATAAAGCGATACAAAGCGAAGTGGCCAATAATTCTTTCACGGCCAGTCTTGTGGGAAGATTCTCAAACCTCCATGCTCAGTCCTTTGGTGATGCTCCTGTTCCGGATGTCTGCATGCCAACAGCAACGCAGTCATCGTCATCCTCCTATCCTAGCACCGGCTCGGATTCAGTGGTTGTGAAAATTGAAGCAGATGATTCTTTCAATGGACAAATTGGCTCCCAAAATATCACCAGCAGCGACGATCAAAAGCCTGTGTTCTTCAGTCATGACGAAGAGACAACCGATGCAACGCGATCCGACGCAGAGAGCGTTCGCTTCGCGCCTGATCCGAACGACGTTGACATGGCCGAAGCCGACATGGACGAAATCGAGGAGACACAGGAAGGAGATGGTACTCACCATGAGACTGCCAGTATTGAACTCGGCGATGACACTGACGATCGCCGCATCTCTGTCTCTCCCGCTCCGCCCGCCCCGCCTGCGGCCCTGGGCGCTCTCAATAATTCCGAGCCCGAGCAGCCAAGGCGACGAAGACCCTGGTTCCGGTCTCTTCGGAACATATGGCCCAAAGGTCCTGTGTGGTCCGATGACCCCGACACACCGTTCAAGCGCTGGGCTCGCCAAGACCAGAACGTTCTTCAGGAACTCAACCGTCGCGGTGGAGTTAGGGTTCTAACCGATGAGAAGGGTGTCATTCGTTACCCCACCTACAACCGAGATCAAGACAAGAACCCTGGCCCCTGAATATTATAATATTCACCAAGTATCTCCATTTTCCACGGGCCAGCGGCTGGCTCAGCGCAACGGCAAGCATAACAACAAATACCATTTCGTTTCATCCTTATTCAAGCAGAAGGAAGCATAATATGAGATGGTATACCGTCTTATATAATTTTATTTTTTTTTGTACGTTATCATTTATCTACTCTGAATATTGAACCAGAAGACCTAAGCCCTGAAACCCCCTTTCCTACTCCGTAATACTAGTGATAATACCTATATTGTATTCCATAGGGAGTACTGCGTACTAAGCCCGACAATTCACGGAATAGTAATCTTGCGCATGTTTCATATGTAAAGTGAAAAGTCAGACAACTCCCCCAATCGGATTCTTATGCCAAATTCCCCGTGGGGCCCAACTCAACGCCTCTGACAGCATCAAACATCGGTCCACGGGTGCAAATAGCGAAGTAGAGATCGGCAGTACTAATAGTAAAACAGGGCTCGAGCCTCGCTGCAGATCCTAGCTTTGCCCCCCTAACGCTCTCCACCTCCCTCGCAAGGGTCACTGTCTGTCTTATTTCACGATGGTGTTGGAGCTATGTATATTTGGACCCACAAAGAAATGAGCCTCATGAGCTAGAGGAGCTATTTCCATGCTGCAATGTATATACATACAAACTAGGTCAATACGAGTAGGATTGGGGACTCCGAAATTTCTGATTGTAAGCTGTTTGTGATTGGTCAAATCAGGCATTTAAGTGGTTCTACAAAGTTAGAGGGATTAAGCCAGATGTTATTTGGAAGTGGATTTTGTAGTTGAAACAATTTGCAGGCAAATAGATACTAATGATTCCTTCGTAAAGGATCATAAAAATATATACAAAAATGCAGATGTTCCCTCCCATAGAGACCGTAGTCTCGCTATGCAAAATGGCGTGATGATCATCAAGAATCAGGAAAAGGACATGGACATTAAAAGCATGCAAAAAAAAAAAAATAACAAACACGAGAACGCCTTGGTATCGCCAATCTAAAATCGCTTCAGAAGGGGTGCACAGTCATTGAAAGCCCAATCTTTTAAGCATGGCGGAATGGCTCGTAGGCGCTTGACTGCTGGTTGTTGTGGGTCATGGGGATATCGTTGTTGTGGGTGGCAGCAGGGTAAGAGGTGCTGTAGCCGTGTTGGGGAACAAGGGGCTGCTGAGAACCGAAGGGTGGGTGGGCGGCACCGATGGGCTCATAAGTGTAGGGGGCCTTCTCTGCGGTGATGCCGCGGGGGCTGCGGTCCCTGTGGCCGTAGGGCGAGCGGCCGGAGCAACAGCAGGTGCTGAGCATCCAGAAGAAGGTGGCTCCCAGAGAGAAAGCGACTGCGAGCCAGGTGGCGGCGTATATGTTCTTACCCAGGCTTACATCGATACCATAGACCTCGAGGACTGTGCCGAGGGAGCTTTTTGCGATCGAGAACATGATAGTCGAGGTAAGCGATGCGCCAAGGGTGAAGAGGAACGAAACAATCGAGACAATCGTGGTGACGCAGCTGCCCCAGCGGCTGAAGATGGCGAAGATACCAAGCAGGACCTGGGCGCAAGTGGCAATAAACGCGACTAGGTAGGCAATGAACATCCACTTGGAGACAGCCTTGTAAATTTTCATGGTCTTCTTCAGGTCGCTGCCAATCTCCTTCTCAAGCTCGGTCTCGCTCACTCCTAGGATTGTAGACGGGTTGAAGTAGAACTCGGCCTTGGGGTCTGTGCAGCTGGAGACGGTATCCGTGCTGTTGGTGATATTTCCCTCGCAGTAACCCCAGAGACCGATGTCGTAGAAATCAGAAATATTGGCATCAGCCTGCAGTGTTTCGATGGTCTCCGAGACCTCATCCGCAGTGACATCAGTGATACCGGCAGCACTGAGGCGATCTGTGATTTCTGATGTAAGTGCCGATCCTTCACTTATGTTCGAGAGGTCGAGCTATAGATTATTGGCATTAGCGGATGCAGTAACCATGTAGAATCTTTGATCACTTACACGAATGAAGTATAGATTATTCAAGGTCGAAGAACTGGCTTTTGTGCAGCCCAATCCCACCAAAATGATGCAGATCAATGATGCGATGGTCAAGACATAGGGCGTGAAGATACACGCGACACGACCAGCTTTTCCCATGATGAAGATGTATTTATGGAAGATGGGAATATAGAGAAAGAGGTGAAAGATGGATGAGAAGTGGAGAGGTGAGATGGAGGGAAGACTTTAATATAAATGCCCCTCCGCCCCCAATAGACCTCGTAAACAACGTTCAACCCTGGGAACGCACAGCCTCACACTAAACAGAAACTCCAGCCTCCCAGGGAAGGAGGCGCAGGATCAGCGGGCCAATCAGGGCTGAGCGGTCACGTCGCCAGGGCCACGTTTGCTTCTATTTCTGGGCTTGACTAGTCCTATTTAGGTCTAGCGGAATGGTCCTTCATCTGCTTATCCCTACATCCACAGTCGACACAGTCAGATCAGATGGAAGAACTATATTTTGGATATGCTTTTGATCCGTAAAGATTATATTTTTCTAAATAGTGTAGGCAGATTACACTGTCGGAAATACCCCTAAATAAAACGTAGACAGTGTAGGTACACACGAGATCCAATCTATCAAACTTCGTCATATCTAGTTCTGACCGCCCCAGGATCTTCATTCCAAGTGGCCAAAACAGGCAATTCCCCAATCCGAGCCTCGTCACCCTTTCGACTCTGATCAGCCTTGTGGATCATTTCAAATTTTTCCCTCTCCGCCTCAAGACTGCGTAAGCCTGGGTATGGAGTACCGTATGTACGGGATAGATGCCAGGCTCCTCTATTTCTCTCTTGGCATTATCTCCGTATCCCCACCTTCCTGTCCTATGTTGTATACCATTCCACTCGCACTCCGCTGTCTCTGCACAGGGCAAATTCCACTAATGGTGATGCCTTGTTCTATATTTATGATTTCCAGATAAACTTCTCTGAATTTGGGAACCCCCCCGCTCTGACAAACCTACCCATTTTTGCGCTGCCCGACAAGACATCTGATACATAAGCTATGGCCATCGGAAATTTGAGTCTTTTTCTCTAATACTTTAAGAAAAAGATACGTTCATTTCGAAAAGCAGTTGCTTTCTTTCTTTCTTTCGCATATTACAGCAACCGAACTCGATAACTCACATGCTGCATATGGACTATGTGTGTATGTTCGCATTTGCCTCAATCCAGAGATTTTACTCCAGATATGGCTCAAGCGTCGACAACATGCCTGTGTACGCTGCCCCAGTGGTAGGTTCCATACTAAAGATATAATCACCCCACCAAGGTCCGGCAGCCCACCACAATGCCCCGAGCCACACATCCGAGTTGTCACCCAGGTAATCAAGCATGCCTGTGATCGCCGCCTTGCAATCATCATTCACACCACCGGCAAACTCGCCTAAAACCCCAACCTTACCGTTATCCTTCAGCCACTGTGTCGCGTCCGTCACACGCTCTTCTCCGATCGTCGTCGAAACACATATCTCGCTCGTGCCTGACCCGTCCGAGTCGAGGTACTGGTGCATCTCATAGACAATCTTGTCTTGGGGGTCGGTCAGGTCCTTCAGGTTATCGTTCACGTCGACCCAGGTCCACGCGCCGGTCCAAGAGTTGCCCTCGACGAAGATATATTGGCTTGTTGCTCCTGCTTCGCGGATGCCGTCAATGGCTGCCTGGTTGAGCTGTAGGACGAGGTCTTGGTCCATGTCGTGGTACTCGTTGTCTATGCATGATGCGGTTAACAGACTTTTTGTGATACGACTCAAGATCTGGGGTACTAACTTGTGTCGAAAATGACCAGCTCATTAGAAGCGAATTCGCCTGCGACGTTCTTCCAGAATGTCTGAAAGTCGGATGTGCTCGAAATGATCTCGCCGTTGCTATGTACACTCATCAGCTTCGATTCATTCGTTGGTTCGATGGAATATTTACAATCTTCCATAGTTGTGCGGATCAAGAACGGCGTGGGATCCTGCATCGGTGATGGCTTTGACCGTCTGCTACTAGATCAGTATGCGCTTGTTCCCTTAGGGATAGATACGGCACAACATACCGTGGTCAGATTGCTAAGGTAGGCATCGTCAAACCCGCCTGTCATGGAGTCCGGTACCAGCCGTTCCATCAGGAAGTCCACCCGGAAGATGTTCATTCCTTTTCCAGTCAAAATTTGAATGGTGCTAGCATCCGGGAAGATATAATCGGTTCCCTATTCCGATTTTTATCAGTGGAGCTTCTCCGAAGACATGTTTGGCCAACTCACATAGACGCCAGGAATTTGGTCCTCGCCAAACTCAGCTCCGGACTCGCTTGTTCCGAACCCTATACGAGAAATTTGGTCAATGGATTGTCAGAAATATCTTTGGAACTCATGGACTCGCACATTGAAAGGGCGAAGCTCTCTTTGCATGGTTCTTTGTAGGAACTGCTGCTGCGGGTCCAGCCACAACGGCGAGGAAGGCAATTTGACCGAGTCTCATATTGCCGAGTCAAGCTCTTTGCTGTATGGGATGAATGGTTAAGTCCAGAAAAGAAGAGGAGTGATGTGAGAGAATGCGAAATGACACCAACAGCAGGGATCAACTTGGATATCTCAGGTGTTTCCTATTGCTAAATTAATGTATATCGTCGAATAGCCTGCAGGATATCCCAATAAGTACAACCATATGAAAATTGGAAATCGATGACAGAAAAGGACACGGAGTTTCATGGATTTTCAGTCCCTGATACTAAAGTGGTGTCTGTACTCCGTGCAGTAGCCCCGTGAAACAGCTTCGGATATTACAGTGCCTAATAATACTTCAATGCCAATGAGGATCCACAACATCATGGGTCATGCTGAGAAAAGTCCTTCTTGGCGACCTCATGCGAAACGGATAGCCAAGAAGGCAATGTCCCCGAGTCTTTAGACTAGAAGAAGCCTGATCCATGTTCAACCAAGAAGAATTATCACTGTACATCCATCGTACATACCCCGCTCCAATCCCCAAGAAATAGTTCTTCAGACACAGGTGGCTTTCAAGCCCGTGGTGCTTCCAGTATCGATCGGCATTTAACTATGATTCCTGACATGCAGGGGGTAGTGGAGTGTAATATGCGTGAATAATCCATATTTATTAACTAAGAATACATTCGTTTTGAACATAAGAAAACCAAATGTGTGAGTCAAGTAAGCGTGGCAAGTTGATTGCAAGCTGAACAGGAACCATCGCGGTCAAAAATATCGATATTCACTCGCAAAGAGACAGGAATACATATTTATTGAGCTTTGAACCTTACCAGTCTTAGTCCGACATACAATCCTTCCTAGATCATCCAAAAGAGTCTACCAAGCACCGAAAGAGTGCATGTGCTCTTTCATATCCGCTGCCTGCAGCTTGTGGTAAGCATAACCTGGGTGGTAGGAATTCCACCAGACACAGGTAGCACCATCGTCACTGACACAACTAGCATTGGTGAATCCATATGTTGTAGGGGCGTCGAGGACCTTGCTCATGAAGGTGAATGTATTGTAGAAAACGGTTGTAGTCTGCAGCCAGGTTAATTGTGCAAAAGTATATAATCAGCTTGAACATACGCCACTGTTATCTTCAATGAATTCATTGACCATTGTTTGAAGGGCAGTGTTGAAAGCCGCGAGCCACTTAGCGTGGCCGGCTGCAACGGTTGTCCCTTGATCGGCGATTTGGGGAGATCGGCTTGTAGGCGGGACATTGAGGAAGATGAACTTCCGTCCTCCATTTGCGTAGATATTTTCAGCTTGAGTCTTATACTGGGCCATGATCTTTGGAATCAGAACACTGGCATCGTTGCTTGACCAAGCCCAACCAATGCTGTAAATTGGAGTTAGTTAGCTGTTAGCGGGAATCCAGGGGACCGTACTCATTAATTCCAATCCAGAATCCAAAAATTGCGTTGTCTGAAGTCCACGGTGCAATATCAGGCTTCTGACTATATGTTGTCTCGAAGCTGGCGACTTGCGTTACCATATCTTCGACGTTGGTATTCACAAGGGAATTATCGAGAGATGCTCCCCCAACAGCGAGGTTATAACTAAGGACTAGTGAGGCATTGTTCACGGTAGTCAGGTATCCCACCCAGTTGACACCGCCGGTGGTTGTTCCGGTACCTATTGTCTTTAATCAGTCAAGCCTGCTTGCCAGATGGGCGAACAAAACCTACCCAGTGCTGGATTCCCCATTGGATTGCTAGCAGTTGGCTGCGTGCCATCGATATCGAAACTGGTCATGGTGTAGGAATCCCCACTGCGGGTGCTCTTAGCTCCTTTCCCAACCGGCGATGAATAAAGGACGCAGTTTATCACTTACAATGTGAAGAAATAACTGTTCGTATCGCGAGATTGCAAGGGAGCAGCAGCAGCCAGCCCAGCGACGGCGATCATAGTAATGAAATGCTTCATGATGTGGAATAGATGCCTATTGTAGTCTGTTGTAAAGAAAATATTCACACGTCCATAGTTCTTTCCTTATATAGTCATCCCGTCTTAGGAAATGCTGTTTTCGTCTTAGTCTAGAGCGGAGACAAATAATTGAAACCATTTAATTGGAGTGCCTATAACAATACCCTTTGATTAAATCCTTTTGGGAATCATTTCCTCAAAAGGGGTTCGTTCCGCCTCATCCATATTGGTGCAAAATACGGCGAACTCTCCGAAACTGCACGGTATATATGGATTAGTATTGGAATAGTCAAGCTTTCATTTTTTAAGAGGAGCTGGGTGGTTTGACGAATTCACGAAGACACTATGTTGTCCAATCGTATGGCTCCGCTGAATATTGAATATAGGTTTGTCCTGTAGCTAGAATGCATGCCCTAATCTGCTTATTGGTTACCCGAGTAGTTCGCTAGAGTTTTCCTCTTGCCCGGTTGATTTGCTATCGCCATCCCTCTCAATGAGTCTGTAATCTCACATGGTATCATCTATGTTCATATTGTCACATTGAAATCTTATCTATATTCAACATCAAATCGGCATCATGCAGATAGGACTCGATCCGATTCGGCAGCGAACATCTCCATGCCCACACCGCAGATAACCAATCGCAACTGACTAAACGCATGGTTCTCTGTGAAGAGGCCATTCATAGGCCCACGGACAAGCCCCATTGATGATATATCAGCCACAGAGCTATATGTATCCAGTAAGAATCTCACGATAATCCCTTTCGTGTCAGGCTGTGTAGGGTCCACGGCGATTGACCATATCTTGATTCGGTGATCGTTGCCAGAAGATGCCACAGTGATTTGAATGGTGTCTGTATTTGATGTAATATCACGAGAGATTTGCTGGTTGAGAACTTTGACTGTGGTAACTGCTGCAGCGTGGGCATCTGGGATAGAAACCGTAGCTACCTGTGCATTTGTGCCGGTGTCGGATGGATTTGTTCGTAGGAGAGACACGGAGAGAGAGTTATCATCACCTCCAGCCACAATGACAGTGGCCGTGTCAGAGATAGGAACCAGCTCCATCCCCTTGATACTGTTGGAATGGATCTGATACCGACTTTCGCATTTGATATTTTCCGGTGAGATGGAGGAGCCTTCGAAGGGGTGCTTGGCCTTCAAAATGGATTGTGTGATAGTGTAAAATGGTTCAAGTGTGCTTGTTAGATCCCATAGTGTGAAGTAGCCATCAGTCGCAGCGGTGATAAGGCTCACGGAGGAGCTCGTGACCAAGAAGTGGGCTTGTGTCAAACAGTTGGTCATGTATTTCCCACGAGCCAAGAGAGTAAATTTGCCCCCATTAGATGGTGAAAAGTGGAAGATCTGCAATGACGTTAGTATGGCCGTAATATTTGAAAAAAAGAACTACCCTTACCTTGAAAATGGAGTTGGAAAGAGCAAGGCACAGGAGGAAACCTTGCTCCCCGTCAACATCCTCTACTTCCAGCAAATCGAAACTAGGTATCCGGAGATCTGAGTTCGGGTCGTCCTTCGGACTCGCAGCCACCAATTTCGTAGAAACGCCGAATATAGGAATGGTGCGAACTCTCCACACGAAAAACTCCTCGTATGCAGCACTAGTGAATAGGTATCTTCCATCCTTGGACCAGGTCACCTGCTGGATGCCAGACTTGTGTGTATCCAAGACGCGCAGACACTCAAAGCTACCCCATGGACTAGCAGCCAATGAGGAAGTCGGCGTAAAAATACGAACAGTAGTGTCCTCTGCGCCAGTCGCAAAAAGAGACCGATCTCCATCGGTGGGGTTGAAGACATCCATCGCTTTGATTTCCCGTCCGTGACCTCCGGCTCGAAGCAAAGTACTAGCACCAGCTCGTACACGAGTAGTCATCAAAGAAGTTCCGTCCTTCCACGTGAACAGCGCATTGTTATCTTTGTCTCCTGGCATAAAGTCCCAGCCTCGGCGAAAGCCGCCCGAAGCAATGGATACGATATCCGTCAGCTTTGACTCGTTGCGCAGGACGAAATCTTGAGATCTGAATCCGTACAACATGAAATCGCCGGTTGTTTTATCGAAGTAGGCACCTTCAATATTCCCACCGGTGATAGATGCTGTACGGTGCACTGTCTCTATCGTTACAACATTTTTTCCATTCCCGGAAAGCTGCAATTCATGGAGACAATAAGTTCCATCTCGCCCACAGGTCAAGACGAAGTCTGATTTTGTGATATCACTCGTAGTAACGGATGTCACGACGCTGATGTGATTCACAAACTCTCGGCCATGAACACGACGGTTGACCAATACGGGCTCGGCCTCGGAGGTGTTGTATATTGCAAGGGCGCCGAATTTTGATCCTATAATCAAATATTGGCCATCGAAGATAAAAGCCGCACTGCAAACCACAAATGAGGATGGTAGGCTATAGGTGGTTATTTCGGCATTTGGATGATCGCTGTTCCAGTCTGAGACGTTGACAACTGTTATTTCTTCTCCGGTAGGGTAAAAGACAAGGAATGCAATGTTTTGAGAGAAATTCAACATATCCATTTTGGAAGAGTGAGTCTGAAGGAAGAATATTCCAAGGGGTCTGTTACCAACGTCCGTGATGCTGATGACAGATTTCGTAGCGTGATTATAGAGCCGAATGAATCCTCGGAAATTACCGATCAATGCTAGACCTATCTGGGGTAAAGCAGCCATGACGCCAAAAGAAGCAAGGTCAGGTGCTTCGCATAGTGTCTCCCAAGTAATGGCAGTCTCCTCCGCCTGGGTAAGATATCCAAGTTGGATCTGACCTTGTGTAGAGGTGCGAAGAAGGCAGTCTTGGGCGACAAATGCGAAGGCTTTCGTTCCATCGGCTGTGGGATGCTTGTTCTTCGCCTTTACTTGCAAGCTAGGTAATTGCTGGGAAGAAACACCAGAGCCATTGCCCAGATGTTCGTCGTCGTTTTCTTTGATGGGGAAGCTTTTCAGTGCACCATCGGCGCCTCCGGTATAAACCACAGTCTCAGAGCCAATTCTGCAAAGATCTAGAGACCAAATGTGCTTTCCAATATGTGTTTGTATTGAAGTAGTCTGGCTGAGCTGATAGTCATTCGTCTCAGCGGATGATGAGTGCCAGCTTAGGTCCCACAGAACGCATGTGCAATCCTCTCCACGAGAAACCAATCCCATATGAGTTTGGTTATTATGTTTGATGGCCCTGAAATAAACACTCCAAATACGAGCCGCATGAGCAAAGGCCTGGACCACACATGATTCAGATCCAACGCTCTCCTCGCCTGCCTCAACAGGACCAAAACCTGTGCTTCGCAATTCAAACCCGTCTGTGGAGTATGCGGAAGGATCTTGGGCTGTCTTGTGGTCACAATCTGATATATCCCAGATCCTCACAGTTCTATCATCACTGCAGCTGGCGAGTATCCTGCCAGACTTGCCTCCATTCAAGGACGGGATCTGAGGAGAGATGCGGACACCGAATATTGATCCGTCATGACCCGTGAAGAAATGGTGGATAGAGCCAACTGCATTAGCTTTGTGTAATCCATTTTTATTCAAGAAACACGACCACACAATGATTTCTCCGAAGACGGTACCAGCGGCAATGAGGACATGAGAGGAAGACAGTGCAATCACATCGGCGGAGTAAAGGATGGACTTTACACTTGTCGCCAGTTGATATATGGATATTATATTTCGCCCAGGCATCCCGCTGTCGAGCACTTCGAGACTCAGGAGGGCATTATTCGCGGTGATAAAAAAAGCCCCGTGATGGCCACCGGTAACAGCTGCGCACCCACTCATGATCCAATCTGGAGCAATGAACTCGGCACTAGAGGCCGACAACGTGACTTCATGATCAGAGGTCAAAACGAGGTCAACCGCTCGCACTGAGCGACCACCCCAGACGATTATTTGGACATGGTTCGAATCTTGATCCTGTGGTCGTTGATTCAAAGGAATGAAACCATGAATATTGTTTCTTTTGAATATTTGGATTTGAGCAGCGACAATACCGGTGATTTCATCAACCACCCGGAAGAATGTGCCTTGACTTTGAAAGATAAATCGTCTATCACCCAATACAAACGTCTTCAACGCTGTTATCGGGAGAAAAGCATCAATATGCTGCATCTTGAGTCAGCGGGACAGCATTTGACTACAGTATAACAACACTGACCTCGAGCGAAAAAGACATCGCCAACTTCTACGCACATTAATCAGAGAAGCGATTACCCGGATTGTCTCAATTGCCTCAGATAAAAGTGTATCCCACCAAACGCCAAAAAAAGCCCACCAACTACTTTTTCGATGGTTTCCCCGGCATGCTTATATAATTCAAACGCTAATCCATAAGAGGCAAGATTACGCACGTGATCTCGCGATCGAGCGCGGGAGCGGAATGACGACTTCTCGGCAGAGCCTCTATCGCTAATCAACCACCTGGGAGCAGCTCTCTCACTACATGTGGATTTTGTCTTAAGTGCCAGACCTCCCCAATACACACCCATGATTCAATACCCCTTTGACTAGCCATGGGTGTCACCGGCCTCTGGACGGTCGTGCAGCCCTGCGCTCGCCCTATCAAACTCGAAACACTGAACAAAAAACGACTAGCTGTCGACGCGTCGATCTGGATCTATCAATTTCTGAAGGCGGTACGAGACAAAGAAGGCAATGCGCTACGAAATTCTCACATCGTCGGATTCTTTCGTCGCATATGTAAGTTGCTGTATTTCGGGATCCGGCCTGTCTTCGTCTTCGATGGCGGGGCCCCGGTCATGAAAAGGCAGACAATCGCTGGCCGAAAGAAGAAACGCGAGGGTCACAGGGAAGATGCTGCGAGGACCGCGGGAAAGTTGCTTGCCGTACAAATGCAACGCAGTGCGGAGGAGGAGAACGCTCGTCGACGCAATAAGACCCATATCCAAGAGGAAGAAGAAGTGCCAGATGCTCCGGTCTACGCAGAGGAGGCTTTTATGACAGAAACGGAAAAGCAACAAAATCGCAGGTTCAAGAAGAAGGATGCGTACCACCTACCTAACCTAGACGTCTCTCTTCAAGATATGGGAGCGCCAAATGATCCACGCATTATGTCCCAGGAAGAACTGGAGGAGTATGCTAGACATTTCCACCAGGGTCAAGATATCAACCTTTACGATTTTTCCAAAATCGACTTCGACAGCTTGTTTTTCCTTAGTCTGCCCGCCACTGATCGCTACAACATCTTGAATGCAGCGAGGCTAAGAAGCCGACTTCGAATGGGTTATTCAAAAGAGCAGCTAGATACCATGTTTCCCGACCGCATGGCATTCTCGAGGTTTCAAATCGAGCGTGTCGCAGAACGTAATGACCTTACGCAACGATTAATGAATATAAACGGCATGAACGGAGACGAAGCATTCTATAACTCTGGGAAGCGCGTTGCGGGAGAACGTGGCAGGGAATATGTGCTTGTCAAGGATAGCGAACATGAAGGTGGCTGGGTACTAGGTGTTGTGGGAAACAGGGAAGGTCACGAAGAGAAGCCCATCGATCTAGATCGACCTGAGATACTGTCCGATGAGGATGAGGTATCGGACGAAGATGAGTTCGAGGATGTTCCAATCGAAGGTCTGAATCGACTTCCCAAACTTCCTTTCCTCCAAGAGGGTGTATTGGACCGGTCGCTCCAACTTCAAACGAATGAGGTTTTAGACATGAGAAGGGCTATACAAGAATCGCGTCATGCTGCACAGCAACAGTCGGTGAACGACCGCCGTGTACAAGAGGTTGAAGATGACTCGCTTTTTGTTGAAGCTGAGGGAAATATTGCCGCACAGCAGCAGAACAACGACACTGATGAATTCTTTAATGGCGATGGCGATGACGATGACCTTGAACGGGCTATTGCCCTTTCATTACAACCAGATAAAGTCGACGACGAAGATATGCCTGATATGCCCATCAATCGACCGGTAGAATCAGCTCCACCCTATGAGACGGTGCCAGATCTTGATTCCGAGAGCGATGATGGAATGGACTTTGCTGCAGCCATAGCAAGAACAAAGGTCTCGAAAAAAGCCTCACATGCGCCAACTCGATTCGGTGGTCCTCTCCCTTTTGAATCTATCAAACTCACTAAAGTCACGAAAGATAATGATAAAGCTGGCGAGGTTGGTGAAAATGCGGGGGGCTTCCTAAAGGGACCTACAGAGAAACCAAAACAACCTGACCCACTTCCTCCTTGGTTTGTTGGCGAACGCTCAGATGTGGGATTCATCGTTGATCCCATTGAAGATCCTGAAAAGGATGATGAGCGATCTGCGGTGCCAGATCATATGTTCCTCTCCAATCGTCGCTCGCCGGACATAATCGATGTTGACGAAATTTCCGCTACTACAGAAGTCGTTGATCTAGAGAAGAGGGAGGAGGAGGAGGCGGAAGAGGAGAAGGAGAATTCCAAACAGATCTTCCAGATGGAGGACATTGAAAAGATTTACAATGAGCTTCCTACAAATCTCCATGAGAAGCCATTGAGCGAACCAGCTCCAGCGCAGGTCAATAGAAATCTCGATGAAACGGCACTTGGACGCCCTGAAACACAAATCCAGGATCAAGTTCCCGCGGTTGAAGAGCTGTCCTCACGCAGCGAAAAATCTCCCTCACCAGAATTCGAAGATGTTGTCCCTCAGCTGCCCACCCAAGGCCCCGAGATCACTGTTGTATCCCATCAAAAGGCCCAGCCCCAGCCTCAGTTCTTCGAAGAGGTTGAAGACTTTGTGCAGGACCAAGCCGACTATAGTGACCCGGAAGATGAAGAGCTGTTCAAGCAGCTTGCGGCTGAGGGTGAGGAGCACGTTCGATTTGCCAATACTCTTAATTCTGCTGCTCCTAGCCAGGAGGCCTTTGACTACGAGCAAGAATTGAAGCAACTACGGTCTCAGCAGAGGAATGAGCGTCGCGATGCAGACGAGGTGACTACTATTATGATCAATGAGTGTCAACAGCTCTTGACGCTCTTCGGATTGCCCTATATTACCGCGCCTATGGAAGCTGAAGCGCAGTGCGCCAAATTAGTCTCGCTAGGCCTTGTGGACGGGATTGTCACGGATGACAGTGATATCTTCCTTTTCGGGGGAACGCGAGTCTACAAAAACATGTTCAATCAAAGTAAATTCGTTGAGTGCTACTTGACGTCTGACTTGGAGAAAGAGTACGCCCTCCATCGACGGAAGCTTATTAGCTTCGCCCATCTCTTGGGCAGTGACTACACAGAGGGCATTCCCGGGATTGGTCCTGTCACAGCCCTAGAGATACTCACCGAGTTTTCCAGTCTCGAAGAGTTCCGCGAATGGTGGACCGAATTGCAAATGGGTACGAATAATGCAGAAGACGCCCACCTTGCCTTCCGGAAGAAATTTCGAAAGAAGGCATCCAAGATATTCTTACCTCCTTCATTCCCTGATGCTAAAGTTGACGAGGCATACCTGGAACCCGCGGTTGACGACGACCCTTCCCAGTTCCAATGGGGTGTTCCTGATTTGAATGCGTTACGAACCTTCCTCATGACGACAATTGGCTGGAGCCAAGAGCGTACGGATGAAGTCCTGGTGCCGGTTATTCGCGACATGAACCGGCGAGAACAGGAAGGAACACAGTCTAATATCACGCATTTCATGCAAGGTCCTCAGGGCGCGGGTGCATTTGCGCCTCGCGTTCGTACAGGTGGACCCAGCCGCATGGAAAAGGCATTTAGTCGACTACGTCAGGAAGCTCAGACGGGCGAAACCTCGCGGGATGGCGAGCCAGCTAACAAGGACGGAGAGAAAGAAGCCCCTATTTCGCAAAGTAAAGGCAAAAGAGGTGGCTCAACTACTAAAGGCAAGGCCGGCACGAATAAGAAGCGAAAGACCCGTCACGCCACCTCGGATTGAGCTCAGGACTCGGAGATTCCCGCACGGCAACATATGTCCGCTACCGGAAGTTGGTTGATATTTAGACTTGCCACCTCGTCATTCTCGGTTATTGGAAGGAATATATTGCTTTAACCTTAAATGTTGTAATGTAGCTACGTCCTGGAGAGGGAAGCTCGATAGTAGTTGGATCGACCTGGCAAAAGCAAAACCACGCCACAACGCACTTACGGATAGCCCTGCCCCTAAGCCAATCATACTAGTGATCTCGGTGGTCTAAGGCCTCCAGATAGTCGTTGCAGAGCGAAGCGACTGGTTCTAAGTTCTAAGGCTACACAAAGCCGCTCTCTTATTGGCTTATTGGCTTGCCTATTTGCTTTGTTTGGGTGTGAGATAGAAAGTCAGTCACGTGGATCACGATCATCTAGCTAGATTGGGCCTAGTGCATATGTGTTCTGCCGGCTGGGTCATTCTGCCACATCTCACCGTCCATTTTTACCGCATTAGAACCTCTGGATTTTGGGTCCATAAGAAAAGACCCTCACGTTAAACACACACGAGGCTTATGATTTAATTGCTTCACTTTGTTCCGCATTCATATATCTATCTACCTTGGTGATCTCTAGAGCCGACGTAAGGTGGCTTTCATAACCAACTTCGGCTGTATCATCGGCGCCATCCTTATGGCAGCATCTTTCGATTTGCCCAATTACAGGTATTCGTCTCCACCATTTACCTTCAATCTACGTACAGAAATCGTGTATGAAGACATACATATGTAATTTGGAGACAATGTGAGTAAGCAATACTACCACCGGAACTATTAATATAGATTACGTCCCTGCTGCAAAGTGTTAAAAGACCAGCTTTCTTCCATCACTATTATCATGGCATTTGGTATCCCTCCTGGCTGGCTCTGGTAAAGACCATGAGTTCGCCTGACCAGTATAAAATGCTTTGTTTGCTCCTAACTCTTCTACCACGTCTCTACACAACTTCTAGATCTTTATGCCATGTCTTGAAATCATGATGATCTAATACGACTAGCTTAAAACCACACATTAGTGCAAACTGTAAAACAATCCGATAGAACGCCGAATTCTGTCCGGGCGATGTTTACTTCTCATGAGCTAAGCTCTGTTATCGTAGTCAATGACGTTATATGAATGGCTGACGTTTTAATGATGAAACTCTATCCACTCGCGGGATGGCCCTAATCCGGTCATAACTATATCGAGTGACAGCTGTGTTGCGGTATAAATATCCGGAGGAAGAACTGTCGAGAAACTCATTTTATCATCTTATACTGTCCTCAACATTGAACGTTTCATCAGTATTCGACAATGTCCAAGCCAGCCCATTACAAATCCATCAACCCGGCAACCGGTGAACTGTTCCAATCGTATAAGGATACTACCGACCAGGAGGTGTCCAATGCACTGGATAGAGCACAAGAATGCTTCACCGACGATTGGCGACGGCGTACTATCGCTGAAAGGTCGGAGGTTCTTCACCGTGTTGCGCGGCTCATGAGTGACCGATCAGAGCACATGGCCACACTCATCACCAAGGAGATGGGTAAATTATACACCCAAGCCTTAGCCGAGGTCTCACTCTCGGTCGATATCTTGACATATTATGCAACGAACGCCGAGGAGTTCTTGAAAGGTACCACGATTCACGAGCACGGAGCTAGTTCTGAAGTCATTTGCGAACCGTTCGGCATCATTCTCGCCATCGAGCCATGGAACTTCCCATATTATCAATTGGCACGTGTTGCGGGGCCCCAATTGATGGCTGGAAACGTGGTGTTGCTGAAACATGCGGCACGCGTGCCGCAATGCGCGCTCGCATTTTCTCAGCTCTTCGAGGATGCCGGTGCGCCTGAGGGCGCGTGGACGAATCTCTTTTGCACCAGATCACAGATTGAAACGATCATCGACGACTTCCGCGTGCGTGGTGTAACACTTACCGGCAGCGAGCGCGCGGGTTCGATCGTCGCCGAATGTGCTGGACGAAACCTGAAAAAGGTCATCCTTGAGTTAGGCGGGTCGGACCCGTTTATCGTGCTCGAGGATGCGGATTTAGATTTCGCAATCGCGGAGGCCTGCGCTGGACGTATCTGGTGTCTTGGCCAAGTCTGCTCCGCGCCCAAGCGCTTTATCGTGGTTGGCAAGGAGCGTACAGAGCGCTTTATCGAAGGCATGAGACATCGGTTCAGCTCTCGGGTGGCCGGTGACCCTATGGATCCTCACACTGCTGTCTCTCCGCTGTCCTCGGAAAGTGCTATGAAGGTGCTTTTGGATGAGATAGATAAAGCCAAAAGCCATGGAGCCACGGTACTCTTTGGGGGTAATCGTATTGACCGGCCGGGCTTCTATATCGAGTCTACGATGATCACAGACGTCACTCCGGAGAACCCCATTTTTTATGAGGAATTATTCGGTCCAGTCTCCATGGTGTTCTCGGTAGATACAGATGATGCTGCCATCGAACTGGCCAACGCAACTAAGTTCGGCCTTGGTTCGTCTGTTATTAGCGAGAATCACGAACATGCTCGCGCCGTGGCAAATAAGATTGAGGCGGGCATGGTTTTCATCAATTCATTCTTTGTGACAGTTCCCGAGTTACCATTTGGAGGTGTCAAGAACTCCGGCTTTGGCAGGGAGTTGTCTGAATTGGGAATTGGAGAATTCATCAACAAAAAGCTCATTCGAGTGGCGCCTGAATCCAAGAAACTTGTGAAATATGATGACTAAAGTGTCTATACCTTTTTTTTAGCTTGTTCCATAAGATTGTCAATCTCATTTTTTTCATAATAAGAGTTACTATAGCAGAATATCACTGCATTCTATATGGTCTGGTCGTCTTGGGAGGACCAACGCCCAACGGTAATAGCCTCTTCGACGGGTAGTTCACGAAGGTTAGAAATGCCTACTGATGCATTGGGGCTTTTCCTGTCTTCCTGCCCGCAGGTTGACAAACTGTGACCCTTTGTGGCTTTTAGGCCTTTGTCTCTCCATGAAGCTATTTAGGGAGCTTCATAATAATTATATCATCATAGCAACTATCTTCTGTTGATCCCTTCTTGTTTCGTTAGCATCTAAGTCTTGTTATCCAGCTTATGTCTTTCTCGATACCGATGAATCAGGATGCATATATATTATATTTAAGCAAACGAAGGGTAGCTTGACTTCTCGGTTTGCGATAGAGCTGGAAGTGATCCAATACATGAGAAGCGTGTTCACCTAACCAATATAAAATGCTCTTCCTTGCCCCTCACTCTTCTTTCTCTTCTACCACGTCTCCACACAACCTCTACCTCTCTATACCATATCTTCTCCATCTATTTAATGACATTCAAGGTGAGAATATGACGATCAGATACGACTAGCTTGAAAACACACTCACTGATAGTCTTCGTCTTAGTCCCACAACCATGCGCCTCAAATACCTCTCCTAACCTACACTCTCTCGCCACAGAGCTAATACAAATGCCGCTGGTTATATAATCTGAACTGTTTCGAGTATTTGCTTGTTGGCCACGGATCTTAACATCTTCGAGAGTGCAGATATGCTTCTCTTCGGGTTTTTGATATCCGCGATCACTCACCAAATCTCTAAGGAAGTGGTCCCAGGTTATGACGCAGAAAAAAGAAGGAAACTCGGTCTCCAATTAGTTGGAGATGAGACCGGTGTCCAAAGGCCGAATCCCTTGGCCGATCAGTGATATCGCGTGGTCGTTTATCATAGTGCTGATCTTGCATTCATCGAGAAGCAAATACGCCATGGCTCCGGCAGCGCTTCAGCGTGTGTCTGCGTTATTCTGCACGCATAAGTCAAGCGTTCAAATGCTCGAGATGAACCCATGGGTCATATCCATGGATTGTACCTATAAGACAATTCGGTACGGTCTCCCTTTACTTGATAAGTCGACAACATGAACGTATAATCGGAAATTTCCGTACTATCGTTCGTTTCTTGATATGGGATGTGCTGTCACTAGCTCGAGTGCAGCTTTTTGAAGCTGGAAATGAGGGCTCATTTTGTCGACCACTTGGTATGATATACACTATCCTCACGACTTACCAATGTACTAATATTTATAGTTACGGGCTGCTCGAGATCACATGACCTCTCCGCTCTCCCAGCACTTGGATAGTTTCCTTTTCCTTCTTACGCAACTCAAGAGACTTTCCAGACCACCTACGTTTCATCCCGTAGTACTCAGATTCTATCTCTCGCAGGGACACTACGATGAAACAATTTTCCTCAGAAAAGTCAAGAACCGAGAAACCTTCACCATCAGGAGATGACCGGGCAAAGCTGCTTGAATGAACGCCTTGGCCGATTAGTGACTGCGTCCCTTCAAGCCAAAAGCCATTTCTAACCGATGTCTCATGAGTTCTCAACTTCCATAGCTCTATGAATCAAACCTCTGTCATTATCATCAGTTACTCTTGCAAGGTACAACCGTGCCCCGGGTGGAATTAAAATCCGAGACCACATGGGTTTTCCCCACGAACAGGCGTTCCACGATCTCCGCGATCAGCGAGTGGAACTGGGGCACCAATGGTATAGCTCTATACAGTATGCAGTTTCAGTTCCTCGATCTCAAAGCCGTGAAAAGGGAATCCAGGCACTTGTAGCTACTGTCGGATTGTAGCATATAGCAGTATCAGCGTATATAATGCAACCTTTTCATAACTCCATGACATCAGGGTGGAAGTCAATGACGTCGGGTGATCGTGAAGACTTGAAAAAAATGGAAAAATTTGCAACGCGATGCGATCGGCCGATTAATAGCTGGAAGGAGTTGGCAGAGGCTGATTTTATGCAGTGAATGCTCTTTATTGTCCTAGCGTCGTCGAGTTTTCGCGCTCGTCTGGCCAATCCCGAGCCCCCAAAGCGTCCCCGATCAGTCCATTCCCCTTGGGCAGAAATAGTCGACGTCACATCCCGAGAGCTTCCAGGAGAACTTCACCTTTCTCCAGTTTTCATTGAAAAGGACTATACCTCCCCTGTCCGTTTGCAGTTTATATTTCTCGTCACATCCAGCTCAAGTACGTACAAGAAAAAAAAAGAATTCCCCTCTTTAAGCTCACGTCACTACTGCGCAACGGGAAAGTCTTTCTTTTTTCTTATTTCTTTTTCTACAGGAACAAGAATCTTACATCTCTACCTCTCTACAACCATCTTCCCATACTTCACTTTCCTCTCCGAGCCATATGATGCATCGCACCTATTCCATGCGCCAGTCGCGCATCCCGACCGCCTCGCAGATTGAGAGCCCACTACCACCAGTGTCCACAACCAAGACCGGGAGATGGCTAGGGAAAGGCGGAATCGGTGAGTGCGATTGAGATATTGTTGCGATTGGCTTCGATGGAAATCTCCGAGGGTGTTCGTCGCGTTGGAGGGCTGCCCAAGATCGGGCCGCTATCGACTTTCCCCCGCCTCCGAGAAACGACAGCCGAATTGGAGACCACCAGTCGCAAGAGAGAGAGGAGATATCGCTGCGAAAACTGAACTAAACTAACATCTACAATCAGGTCATGCTTTCCGTAAGAATGCCGCCGGTGCCTTCGGACCCGAGCTCGCCAAGAAGCTGTCGCAGCTCGTCAAGATGGAGAAGAACGCCATGCGCAGCATGGAGCTCGTCGCCCGGGAGCGCATGGAAGTCGCTGTATGTTGATGACCCTGAGTTCGCGATCCGCGTTATAACGAATTGGAAACTGACTCGGTCGCCATAGCAACAACTCTCCATTTGGGGTGAAGCATGCGATGAGGATGTGTCGGATGTGACGGACAAGCTCGGCGTGCTGATCTACGAGATCGGTGAGCTAGAGGATATGTTCGTTGACCGCTACGACCAGTACCGTGTCACCATTAAGAGCATCCGCAACATCGAAGCTTCCGTACAGCCCAGCCGAGACCGTAAGACTCTCCCAGCAGTGTTGAACAACTCCTCAGCTTTAACTAAATTCGATCTCCAGGCAAGCAGAAGATCACCGATGAGATCGCCAAGCTGAAGTACAAGGACCCCAACTCGCCCCGCATCGTCGTCCTGGAGCAGGAGCTCGTCCGCGCCGAAGCCGAGTCCCTAGTCGCCGAGGCCCAGCTGTCCAACATCACCCGCGAGAAGGTCAAGGCCGCGTTCCAGTACCAGTTTGATGCGCTCCGCGAGCACTGCGAGAAGGTGGCCATCGTCGCTGGTTACGGCAAGCACCTCCTCGACCTGATCGACGACACCCCCGTCACTCCTGGCGAGACCCGCAACGCCTACGACGGCTACGATGCCTCCAAGGCCATCATCCAGGACTGCGAGGATGCCCTCACCAACTGGGTCTCCTCCAAGGCCGTGGTCAAGTCTAGTCTCTCGCAGCGCTCCCGCACCCTCTCCCAGCGCCACCGCTCCAACCTCAGCAAGAACCGCGAGGGCGTCGATTTGTCTGCACAGGACCAGCCCTTGGCCGGGGATCGCGACTCTTGGCTTCCAGCCGACCAGCACCCCAGCTACGAAGACGCCGATGATGGTGTGAGCACCATTGAGGGCGAGGAGCGCGGCCGCGAAGAGGACCGCGAGTCTATTGCCGCATAAGAGATGGGCGAGAGAAAGACTGTTACCTTGTTTCCATCACGAATCTGACGGCTGAAATTTCTAGGGCAGATGCATGGACACGATGATTTATTCGTCTGTCCGGTCGGTCCTCATCTCCACGTTCCTTTTGTCAAAAATCAATTCCCATCCCCCATCCCTTGTGCTTTTGATCTTTCATATATGTTTTTGTTTTATTGATTCCGTGCTATTCTCGAAGCAGACGCACATCAATCACGTCATGCAGCTTTGGGACGTTTTGACGCCTTTTCTCTTTTTTTTTCACATGAAATGTCGTGATCTAACGGCTATGAATCGTGCTTCGGGGGGAAGTCCACCTCTCCAAGCTTTTGATCGGACGTGGGTCTAATTTCCCCTTTCCCTTCTCCACGGAGTTTGGAGATGTCACTCTGAGATCCAAGTGCGATTGGGAATTGTCTAGTCTTTTTTTTTCTTTGTTTTGTTCCTTTTTCCTTATTTCAATTCCCTGTTTCTACTTAATCGATGTAATACCATCTTATGTTGGCTTGTTTTGGTTCTTTTTTTTGTGTTTTTGAGGATTAGGATAGTCCAGGGTAATCAAGGGTGTTCTAATGGATTGTTTGCAGGAATTTATATTACTCCATCCAGTATACCTCCGTATACTCCGTACGGCTAGGCTAATTTAAAAAAGTGCTGTCTGTGTGGCTGTTCGTGCAGTTCGCCTGAATAGTGCAGCCCTGTAGGCTGTGGGGAGACCCTTACCCCGGAAAACTGACACAGCACATCCGATTCTCCAATGGCATTGGATCTCCGTGAGGCAATCGCTCTGATATAGCACGCCAGCTGGAGCACGTCACCCGCCATTGCTTTTGCGTCTTTGCGATTACGTATGTGCAGAATCCGATAGAAGAACAGTTGTTACGGAGTACGGACTCCGGAGTAGAGATAATTCGTATAGCAAAAGATAAACCCCGGGGGGATTTAGATTGTATTCCAGTCCACAGATAGCTAGCAAGGACGGAGGAAACCAAAGAAACAGGAAAAAAAGCAAGTCCCAGAGCAATCAAAAGAGAAAAGATATCAAATATAAAAAAACCAGTACCATATAAAGCAAAAACTAGAATTGACTTCCCCGAGTCTGGACCACAACACCGCCAACTCATCTCCTTTCCCGTAAACCCCGGGGAAAGAGAGAAAAATGAAACATGCCTTCGCAGCACACGATCTGATGGAAAGAGGATAGGAAGGGTTGAGAGGATGTATAGAAGGTATAGAGCCTGGGCAGGAGTTGTAAAGATAAAGCCCGATGGCAGGAAGGCGAGCGTAGAGAGAGGATAGCGGATTCAAATATCAAACGAAAGTTGCCAGATCTGAAGTGCAAAAACAAAGACCATCCCTAGAAGTCGAAGAAGCCACGGTCGGGAGATCCGGGCAAACGAGAAGAAGAGAAGGGTCGTGACGTCGTCATTTTGTCTGCGCTCATCTACCCTGCCAGAATGAAGGGGTAGATGAGTGTAGACACCATAGCAAAGCAAGTAGACGAAAAAAAAAAACAAAACAAGACAGAATGCTGATTTGGTACGGACGCCTTGTAGAGGAGACCGTACGGAGTAGGCTGAGGAGATGATACAAAGAACGGCGAACAACAACGCAAACAAACAACAAAAAAGCACATTCTTCCATTTTGGATCATCACTCCTCGGTGCCGACGCCCTTCTTTTTGGGCTGAATATGTTTTTGTCTGGTATTGGCGCCAGGACCTTTTAGCTCGAGGGTCGAGCTATCCTTAGCCGGAGCAGGCAGACGAGAAGAACCGGCGTCGTGCTTCTCCGTGAGGAGGTTCTTCAACCAACGGTTCTCCATCTCGAGCTGTGCGACGCGAGCCTCGAGGGAAGCGTTCTTCTCGGTGGTTTCACGCACGGTGCGTTCGAGGATCTGCTCGCGCTGCTTCTTCTTCTGACGGAAGCGAGCGCTGGCGGCGGTATTTCGACGACGGCGATCTTCCTCTGCGGCACCGCGCACGCCCTCCTCTTGATCGAGGGCGGCGGCGATGCGATCGCCGGAGATGGTGGTGCTGTACTTGGTGTTTCCCATCTGGCCGTTGGGCGGGGAGATGGACGAGGACACATCGGACGGCGTGAGGGCCCCCTGTGCGTGGCCGAGCTCGTCGGGCGCGTATGGGACTGGTGGGTAAATGGAATGGGCTGAGTAGGGCATCATGTGCTCTGGAAGAGTATAGTTGATGGACTTCTCGCCGGCAGGGCCTATGGATGGAGTAAGCGATCGAAGTCGATATAACCCCGAGGGAGTGAGCCCCATGGATCGGGAAGTGTAAATCATATTCCGGAAGGATATAAGCTCAAGAAGGGTCTCAAGGGGATGTGCAGTTCAGCGTAAGCTGGCAACTGGCCGTTGTCATTTCATTGCGGGATTGCGTGCTCGTGCATTTAAGGACCACCGACGGTGATCTCCTTCCACCATTGGAGATGGAAGATGCATGTCACAGCTCACATCCTGGGCTCTGCAGCCTTTTTTCTTTTTTTTCTTTTTTAAGCCCTCGAAATGAAATTGGTGAACATGATTGTGTAGGGGAAGAAGAGGTTTCAACCTGGTTATCCAGGACTTTTTTTTCTTTCTTTAAAAAAAAACCAACAGGGACAAAATCATCAAAGAAAAAAGACATCCAACTTCAATTTTCAGACTTGGAATTTCAAGCCCCAAACTAAAGCTCAGACGCAGAGGCGCGATGGCGTAACAAATGCAACGTTGGGCAACAAAAGTCTCAAAAGCTTGACACGTACCATGATAGGGATAGCCTCGGAGATCGAGAGAGCTGCGATCGTCTTCTATACTCTCATAAGAACTGACAGATAGACCGCCCATGCCTTCGGTCTGGTCATAATCCATATTCGCGTTGCCAAACGGGACCAGCCCAGTATCAGCGTCAAATGAGTACTGTCGGGTCTTGGCTGCTGGATCGTGACGCGACATCAAAAAATTGAAGTTCTCAAGTTTGTCGAAGACGGGACCCGGGCCTGGTAGAGGTGGTTGTTCCCCCGGCATGGTTGAAGAGGGAAAAGAAATAAAAAGGAAGTTCAGCCCCCTTGGACCTTTAGGGTTATGGGAGAAGAAGAAGAGGGGCTTTCTGATGTTTAGAGACACCCCAGATCCGGGATATTTTTTGAAGCAAATCAGAATCACCCTAAAAAGGAATTGCCAATTAAATATCGACGAAAAGGCCCCAAAAAAGAAAAAGAAAGCAGAGACCAGAGGAAAAAAGACCGGGAAGGTTGAGCTCTCGGCCACACGATCTCGAAAAAGAAAGGTCACTTCATCGTCGCATGCCGCGGGAGTTCCACCTGAGCGAATGAGAAGAGGAATAAAAGGCCGTTGGTTTAAAAAAAGGGGGGGGGCAAAGAGAAAGACCAGGAAAAACGATGCTAGTCGATGATCTGATAGAATGGAGAAATGTCGTGATCGCGAGTTGTGGTTCGTGGGGACATTCACCGCTTTGGATGTACGGAGTATAGATCGATCAGTGGTTAGTTACGGGGTATAGAAGGGATAGTTATACGATATCAGATATAAATCTATATATATATCCAGCTTCTCCGGATTCGAAATATCAAGCTCTTCTGGAGAAAAACAAGACTGATATCTCCACTTGCCTCGGAACCAGTACCTGAGGCGAAGTACGGAGTAGAATATATGGAGTCTCCAGGTACATGCAGTGTGGGAGTATGTAATCGTATCAGAGTGCGTAAGTGTATTCTATATTCAACATCATTCGTCCACTTTTCAATTCAGCGCATCACAGATGACGCGGACTGGTAATCAACACCTTGGCAACCGGGCCCGAAATCCCCTCCCGCGTCGTCTAGAAACATTCGATCGTCCCTATGACATATGTTGCTGACTCCCACAACTCAAGCACCTTTCCTCTGAGCTATGATCTGGGCGGCGTCCTCAATCGTTATACCTCGCACTCGGTGCTCCACTCTTTCCTCGCCTAATACGGTATATTCCGCAATGGTCCGATAGATCTCAGCAAAACCTCCATAAACATCGGCTCCGACTCCATTCCATCCGCCTTCCGCATCAAACATCTCCCCGATCCCACGCATTTCATCCTCCCACCGGTATGCCTTGGGACTCATGCCAATCACCCCATTCGTGGCGAGCGCCGCAGTGCGTGGGGAGTATTCCTCCAGCAGCGCCAGCAACTCCGGCAACATCGACTCCCTCTGCGCAGTGGAGAAGGACAGGATAGACAACGCGGTCAGACCTTTGGTCAGCGCCGCGAAGGATAGTTTGAGCGTGGATGCGGCGCCAATCCGAGATGAGACAAGCCTTATATTCAACACCCCGGCTAGTGTCGCAAACCCAGGGGCCAGATCCACCAATCCAGACAGCACCACGCTAGGTTTCTTCCAGCTCCCGTCTTGCGTGCTTTGGGACGGCGGCGCACCAATGATTCCGCCATCGAGGAAGTGGCACCCTCGGCCCCCGTCCGTTGTGGTTGGCTCGTCGAATTGCGCCGCCATCTCCGACGCCAGTCGGGCGGGGACTGCGTTGAGCTCGAGGTAGTATAGCTTGGACCGTTTCGGCGGGTTCTCTACGTCCTCCACCGCCTCCCGGAGACTGCCCGTCGACGGCAGTGCGCACGCAGCTGCGATTCGTCCCGCCGTCGCCACTGCATTCCGCGGAGGTACGATTGACAATACGTAGTCGGCTTGGATTACTAGCGCTTGGTCCGAGGGGAGGATCTCGATGCCGGCTGAATGGATCCGTGCCAGTGTGTGTTCACTGGCCGAACAGCGGCCGTTAGTTTCTCGGCTTTGGTTTTCGCCTCCGGTGTTCGTACCTTCTTCCTTCTGCGACCGTGACAACTCGGTAATCGTGGGCTTTTAGGAGCCTGGCCATGCCGAGGCCCATGTCTCCGATCGACACAATTCCAACTGTAACGGGTCTCATGGTGAAGAAATTGTTTCAGGTCTTAGATGACAGTAGACTTTTTTTAGGCAAACTAGCAAAACACCGAGTTCTTATTGACTTCTACTGCGGGGGTGCATTTGCTTCATTTGTCAGCCTTCCAACCTGGTTGGTTGTAAGTCTGTATAATGTGATTGCCCCGATTCCCAGTACATATACACATGGCGAGTGACTGGAGGATTTAAGCTTATGTTCACCTCTCAGTCTGTGTAGGGAAGTCCTTCTGAAAAGGGGTCATTCCTAATTCACATACGGAGTAAAAATCGGGAAATGGATCGGGATAACTGTGGCATCATGTTTACATCAACTGACATTCATATCCCAAGATGACCAGGTCCTGTATACTTGAGACATATCAGGTACATCCACCTGTCAACCCACAAAATCATAAGGCACAAGGTTTTAGGGGTCACGTACAACATACTAGTTAGGTGCATGGTGAAGCATCCTGTCGATTTTAGTCATGGAATTCGGTGATCATTACTACATGTGTACTATTTCCGGCTCCAATTTCTTGCTCCCCACTGTTACAGAAGGATTACTATGTGTCAATGAAGGCCCGAGAGCAAAATATATTCACTGGATGAGGATATGTAGTTTCAGCAACTATTTTGGTAAGAATATTGCCTAGGTGGCCTTCTTATGAATAGCCTCTATACTACCTTCTATCCGTCATACCACTTCATATCATCGCCCCATATTCTTGAGGTCTCGTTGTGGGTTTTATCCTTCTGCCTCCCTATGGTCGCTGTTGGTAGAGAGTGACTCCAAAGTGCCGTGGCAGAATACACCCCAGCATTGACCGCCTTGTGTATACATCACTCCATCTCACGTTGATGATTTCTCATCCTCTGTCTTTCCACTCTCATGATCTCACCATTTCCCCGTAGGGATGAATGCACAAACCCTAACCAGGCGGCACGATATCATACAAATCCTCTATAGACGAGTCAACGACTGTGAATTCATCTTTCTCTCCCCTAGAGATCTTCAAGGTATCGGAATCTAAGCATCTCAAGTGGGGATAACAGATGCCGGTAATCTGCAATTTCACCCATGTTTTTTTCGGCCTTACCCGGAGCGAGTCCTCCAAATATATCCAAAGGAAGGAGGCTGCCTTCCAAAGCTGAATAACCGCCCAGACTTTGATTCAATTCTGAGAGATGTCCTCACAGAATGTCCAAATGTACAAGACCCTCTCAGATTGGCAAGGGATTATTATGACGAACTCATGTCACTGGCGGGGCCGCAGAAGTGACTTACCCATGCCCGGGAATTACAGTTCTATATGTACTGCCAGCATTGGGCTCGCCGGAAGGGACGGCCGCCATGCACTTCTCTTATTGGCCTTGGTTCTCTTACACTGCGAGAGATAGTAAACAGTGATTATTTTCAGGAATTTGAGTCTATATGCTGAATATCAAGCAGGGCGAAAAGAAAGATGAACGACCCCCCGCTTTCCGGGGACCACTTTGGGGCATACTGGTGCATAATGGATCTCCTCGAAGGCGGTGACGAAAACTTCCCTATGCCACATGCGATTATGGAAAATATTGCACACGTTCCAGCAAATCATGCCGACCAGTGTCTCACTCTCCATGAAGTAAGAGCTATAGTGAACATGGTGCTCATTCGGACATCCCACAGGCCCTTCCGGAAATATCCTATCCACCCAGTAAGCAACCCACATCGCATCCATGGATTATAGCCAAAGTCTTCCTAATCCCCTGTCTCTACCTATCTATAGTTATTGGTTCTCTCCTATATGGGCGAACAGCACGGAAGGATCATTCAAGCTTCATTTGATGGAGAAAGTTTGATTCTACAGTATTCTCAACTGTGGAGCTTCGAGGACGATGATACAGCACCGGTGGAGCTCTTCCTTCGCTACAATATAAGCCAACTAGTTGGGCTGGAGAGACCGTACGGATGTGTTCGATCACTTGCGAAATCGGCGGCATCAATGAACTTAAATAAATATAATACTAATAACCTAGTCCAGTGAAACTCCCAGGGCCTGGCTTGTGAATCTCCAAGTCAGTCAACAGGGTGCGTTGAAAGATACGTGTGGGTTGCCTAGCAGGTTTAGCCACACCCTATGATAGCTAACTAGCAAACAAATAGTTCTAGGTGTTTGTCTCCTCTATACTAATATGTTATGATTGCTAAGGTCAACCATATAAGCAGGCCGCCGCTTCCCACTTTGCAACTTGCTTCTTCTTTCTCTCTCTCTATCTTAGTTATTTTGAATTGATACACTCTTCTATCCTTGCAAGACTTGGCACGTCACATAATACAGCTCTCTTCTGTCTCTCACCATGCCCTCAATTCTGACAGCTGTAGAGGATGCAGAATGTCCATACTCTCCAGAACGATTGACGAGCAGGTAGCTCATGAGTCACTGATGAACCTCCTCAGGACTCTTACAATCAACGTTCCGGTGTGGACTGTCGATAGACTTCCTCCCTAACACTGTGTGTCTCGGTGGTCAAGAGATGACTGCCTGCACCAATGTTTATCTTGAAGGTTCCCATATCCGCGAAACCTTCGCCATCATCGAAGTGATAGCGGCGCGACGAGGCTGGAGCGCACGTCCTGAGGTCCTATGGCAGGAAGCAGCACAGATGGTGACATGGATCGTGACTGATGCGAACTTCCGGAAGTGTCTTCTTGACCGGTAAGCTAGATAATAATATGCCGTTGAATGTTTATATGCTAACGAGAACTTATAGGCGCCTGCTGATCTCACAGGACGAAGACGATATTTATTTGACACTTGCCCAGTACCCGCCAGAATACCCCGCATACCTACAAGGAGATCTCTGTCCTTCGAGGGGAACTGCACTGCCTTTTCTCACCATGCAAGATTATGGACCGTGGGTCATTGAAAGCAAAAGCAATATGCGTCATTTTGCTATGGTGATTATGAGCTACTGCCTTCAATTGACGGATGAGATGGAAAAGGTTCGAGCGAGAAAGGCGTCCTCATCACAGGGAGAGGCGTCTTCGTCTAAGGGAAAATGTCGCTGAACTCACTCTTGAGAGGGTTTGCATACCCGACTTCGACAGTTCAAAATCGCGTGCTGCCTTTCTCCTGTCACGATCTGAATGTTGGATGACGCTGGAGATCGTTGATAGTTTCGTTTGCTTCTTTGCTTCTTTGCTTCTTTGCTCCTTTCCTACTTTTCGAGATATCGGGATTTGCATTGGTTCTCTCTCCTTCGCCCCCGTTTCTGTTATTTTGAATCTATCACAGCTCCTATTCGAGCAGTTGTATCTCTGAATATATCAAAGTTAAACGAGACTGAGAGCTTTTTTGAATAGTTTATCTTTTCAACCTCAGGCAATAGTGAAAGGCCAGATGGGCCAGGCACTGAAGGATACTACTACCCAGTACTAGAGTGTGTCGGGCCGGCCCGAAGAGTGATTTCGTCCGATTGGACGGTGCGTCGGTCCTTCCGTAATCCGGTCCCGATGGGAACTATGTCATCACTCCTGACTTGCCGAGGTATGAATTCTACATAGACCGATGTGGTTGTTCCAATATCTTCACCCTAATTTGTATACGGGCTTTACGGGCTTTATGGGCTTTATGGGCTTTATGGGCTTTATGGGCTTTATGGGCTTTATGGGCTTTATGGGCTTTATGGGCTTTATGGGCTTTATGGGCTTCCAGGGGTTTGGTGGGTTTCCAGGGGTTTGGTGGGTTTGATTGAATGGTCGCTGTCTCAGTAGTTCCTGTTTTAGAGTTGAAAGCCGAATCATGAGTATTGCTGGGAGCTACTTGATCTATGGTTTAGGAGATCATTGGACGCTCCGGACAAACCTTACTAACGTACGTACAGGGGATGTAGACTGAGCCCAGGCTGGTCTCTCAAAACGGCTGATCCCAGAAAACCCAATCTGAAGAGTCGAGACCGCCATTTAAAGACAGGCCTGTCCCATCCATGTCGCCGAAAACTGCATCCGATGCATCATCCGCAAGCTTAGTGGTTCCACCTATTACATCCATGCTCTCCCGCTGCTCGCTTACTTTCGGTTCGTACACGCAGTGATGAAAGTCGGCTTTGGGGACGACTGACTTAGGGGATTCACAAGCCAGGCCTTGGTAGCTTACCGATTGTGAATATAGGGGTTTTCTGCCTTCGACAAGTTCCTCGTGATTTGAATAGACACATGCGATAGCATCCCACAGGAATGAAGCTTATATTTGCCATCAATACTTTTGCATGCTAGGGCTGCCGTAGATAGCGTTGGTTGTATCGAAGATTCTTGCTGCAAGCGCACAAATATCCCACCTCTGCACGGCCATGACAAATCAGGCATTCGTTGCTCTTGGAGGCCACGGAAGGTTACTCTAAAATGGTATCGACCATTTTCGCGACAGCTGGAAGATGAAGAACCTTACACAGAGGCTCCACGTTTTGTGCGTACGCATTCCAGAGCTTGGACGCCTCCTCATGGCCAGGGTGTTACCCGGTGATGCTATGCGTGCTTCCGAGTACGGCCCCAGATATTGTGTGTACTGCGAGGACACCCAAAATGCCCGTTTGAGGTATTTGCATAGCTCCAATATCATCCTGGTCGGAATCGGATACTTCACATAGGCCGCCCTCTTCATCATCAAGAACACTGCCGACATAGCGAGACTTGCCATCAGCGGACAGAAGCTTACCCGAGCTGGCGGTTTACAAGTCCGGCATTGGGTTGGGTTTTGTGTGCTGGCCGTTGATGTCTCCGTCTTCTGGTCGCATAGGGTCAATGCAGAGGATGTATGGAGAAAATTGTTGTCGTGCAAGATGCGCTCAAGAAATAACGGCTGTTTCTTGCGGTAGTATTAGCCTCGGCAGTCACGGTTCTCGAGATGCAGGGTGAGATATGTATAAATACACAACATATCTATGTCTTGCGAGGAGCCATGCCAGGAAATTTTGCGTCCGTTTCTCAGAAGGATTAAAAAGGTTGATAGTGCCAGATGTGGTGATGTGACAAGTGGTAAGTTACTCCCAAAGACGGTGTGAAGGGTCAGAATTGGGTACGACTTTCTCCTATTGGCACTTCTCTAGTAAATAATTATTTTTTGGCTATAACGCTGAGAGGAAAAAATACAAATAAAAAGATATCTACCAAAGGGGATTATCTCTAGCTAGCAAACAGGTAGTTCGGCGAGTTCGTCTTCTCATCAACATATGAATATCTCCCCTGTCTCTCCAACTTCACCATTCTTTATGCTCTCCCACCACCCTTCAGATCCTCAATATTACGACAAACCAATTCCGACTTCACCCCTATCCTAGCCCTCGGTCTAGGATGACTGCAGCAGGTGTCAGCTCTAGGCCCAGTCAGATCTCACCACTTACCATTAGTTCGGCACTGACCAGTTAATTCTGACAGCTGCGACATAGAGTGGACCATATCCTACAGAACAATTGACGAACAAATCGTTAACAAGTCTCCGACGAACCTCCTGAAAGCTCTTACAATGAGGATCCCAACTGTGACCGATGTACTTCTACTCCGGCAGTGTCTTTTCGGCTAGTAAGCTAGATAATAATATTTGAAGGCTTACATATAGCGCTTATAGATACCGATGATCTCACAGGATAAGCATGAGATCTATTTGACACATGCCAACTATCCTAGGAATACCTCGAACACAATTAAGGGAACCTTGAACTACATTTATGCTCCTTTCAGTTATAACACCGAGATGCAAGATATCTAAAAAAAAAAGACATCAAATGACACGTACTCCGTGCTCCGTAAAATGAACATCCCACAAACTTGGCCGGAACACAAAGTGAACGGAATCCGAGAGTCCCGAAATCCGTGGTCCTTGATTATTCATCTCCTTTTATTTTCTCTTTCCCTTCAGATTCTGAACATTTGCCTATGAGTAGACATCAAACAGGAGAGATCGAAATAAGGAACAAAGATCTCCCGCTAGTCCTCGCCATTTCCGCTCGGGCGACTTTTTCGAAAAGTCTTGGCACGCACGTTCATGACTCCCATCCACAACCGTCCGCCACCAAGGCAATGAAGCAGTCACCTTCCCAGAACGCATTGCCCATGGATTCTGCGCTTTGGAGAGGACAGCACCTGAGGGTTGGTCTTGTTTGTCGTTCCGAGTTCTACTATCCCCGCGGACTCCGGTTAAGGGGGAATCCAGCGTTGCTAACGGCGATATAATGTCTATCTAGGCTTGTGAGATGTGTCATCGCAAAAAGACCAAGTGTGAGCTTGAAGGGTCGAATTCGACTTGCGTGCAATGCATGCGCCGTAATACGCAATGTGTCTTCCCCGCCCAGCATGAGAAGCGGGATAATCAGCAAAGGTACGGCGATGTCCATTGCCATGTCCCGATCGGCTTTTTGTCGATCATGGCTAATTATTTCACAGTACTGATGAATATGTCAAGTCTTTGAAAGACCGCCTTGTCAGGGTTGAGTCGTTGTTGAGGACGGCAGGCATCTTGCAAGAAAGCGATATGAGTCATGACGACTTTTCCGACGAAGATGATGATGATGGACCAATTAGTCAGAGCATATCATCTGCTTCCAGTCCAAAATCAAATTTCGGAGCGTCTCTTCGCTCACAGGGTGGGTTCATCGAAGGTACACCCATCTTTCCGACGGACCAAAGAGATGATTCTCGATATTTCGGTAAGATAGACAGTACCGCCCATGTGATAAAAAAAACCGTCCAGACTAACTCACGGATAGGAACGTCGTGCTCAATGTCAATTCTATCGCGAACAGGGATAGAATGGATCAAGAGCAAAGCAGGCGATGTGAGCTTTTTGCGAATGATATCTCCTGAATCCCGTCATGAAAATCCATGGAATCAATGGCGACCGGACGTGTTTCAGGATTTGTTTGCCTCGAAGGTTTTTAAACCTTTGCCCTCGAGGTCAGAGGTATTCTCTCTTATCAAAGATTTCTTCCGGACGGCCAACCGTCTATTTCCTATCTATCTTGAATCGTCATTCATGAAAATGGTCGAATGGCAATATACACAGCAAACCTGTGATGATGCTGCGCGCTGGGCTAACATCAACATGGTAATCTGCCTGGCATATGAATATCGATCCTCGAGTAGCTCCAAGTCAGAAAAAGACAAGGAGAAATCCGAGTTATACTTCAAAAACGCGATGTCGGTCTTCACTGAATTAGCCTTGAAACGCACCGATCTGCTGAGTATACAGGCATTGCTTAGCATGGTACGTCTCCTCCTTCTTTGGCACCTATGGAAGCATCTAACAATTTTGCAAAGGCGTTCTTCCTTCGGGGAAATGCGGGAACCCAATCAGCACTGCCGCTCATTACTGCAGCCATGCGCTCCGGTCACCGAATGGGACTTCATCGAGATATTCCAAGACCGGAACTTAGTCCGGCTGAGCAAGAGGAGAGACGGCGCGTTTTTTGGGTTGCATTTGTCATTGACCAAAGGTAAGAGAAGTCCATTCAGACGCCGTATCAAGTACTAACCCAATGTTCCAGTACATGCCTAAGAATTGGAAATGCCCCATCACAGCATCAAGATGATTTCGATGTCCCCCTTCCAGAAGAACTGGAGGGCGATAAGCATGGTGAAACCGCAAGCAACATTCCATTCTTCCGCGAGCTCTGTCTGATGTCGCTCATCAAGAGCCACATCTACAGTCGATTGTACTCCGTTAAGGCATTAGAAAAATCCCCCGCTGAAATCTACAAGACGATTAAAGAACTATATGCAGAGCTTGAAGAATGGAAACGCAAATCCCCAACTCTCACTGGGCCGAAAATAAAACATACTGAACGTGACTTCCTGTTTGGCTTTGCCTCTATTGGTCTGCATTTCGTCTATCACAATGCTGTGATCATGATTCATCGGGTACCTATATTTCTTAACTACATGATAACAGCCAGAAAGGAATCAGAGCAGGTCAAGTCAATCAGCAAAGCACATGCCTTAAAATCGGCAGCCATTGGTGCACAGGCTGCCCGAGATACCCTGAAGGTTGTCAATAACATGCCATGGGGAGATATCGCATGGACCTGGTAAGTACAACAGTCTTCTTATCAGCTTCATTTCTCACACTCAAGTCTTAGGTCATTATTATACTACGTCTTCCTGGCAGCATCAACATTATTCTCAAATATTCTGCGGGATACCCGCGATTCAAGTGTGCGAGCAGACCTTCAATCCCTCAACATGGTCTCGGCCTTCTTCGCAACTCTCACCCCCCCAGGTGAAGGATCAAATAATTACGCCGGTTTCATGGCCCGAATGAGTGCGACCCTCGAACGCATCGCCAGAGTAGCTATCGACAAAGACGAGAAAAGAGCCCGCGCCCCAGACGACGAAGACCAAGATTATAAACCACCAGGAGGCAAGAGGCATACATCTCGGACACAGCCAGCACCACACCACCAAAGGCAGCACCGCCGACCAACAACCCTCCGCAAAACAATGACCCCCACCACAGCTCCGCGGTATCCAGCATCAAGCACCGCCAGCCCCACCACGATGGACAGCAGTATTCCCGACACCTTAGAAGGCCTTCCACCGGTCAATTCCTCCGGCTACGTCGTTCCCATGAGCCCAATGCCAGACCCGGGCGACAACACTCAAATACAATCCCCATATCTCGCCAACCCACCTAATATATACTCACCCTCAACCACATTCCTTCACGAAGCAAATGAGAACACCTTCGCACCGTCAATCCCATCCTGGCAACTATCCCAAGACTATCCCACAACCGCAACCCAACCCCCAGGGTCATCAGGCATGACTCCCAATCCCACCGACTCCCCAGACTCCTTCAGCAGTACCGCCAACTCAATCCCCGATTTCTTCCAGTACCCTGTGGCCGGCGACTGGACCCACGGCGGAAATATCTTCGCAGGTCTCTACCCGACTGACTACAGTTTTCCGCCCTCTATCCCAACGGGCACTCAGCCTGTCGATGCATATCCTTCCATGCCGATTCTATCGGCTGAGTCGTTTATCTATGGCGCGCCTGCTATTGACGGCCAAACGGCTCAAGCTGGTGGGTTCGATCCTCAAAGTCTGGGGTATGGTTATATGCCGCAACAAGGCCTGGAGGATCCGAATCAGGGGGCGGATCCGGTCTGGCCTAATGGGTTCTTGGGGTTGTTCTAAGGGTCGATTGATCGGGGTGTGATATTTTGATTTGTTGTTATCGTTATCGTTGTAAACACAACCTCTCTACTCTCTTGTTTGTATATGCATTAGCAAGAGTTCACGAGTGTTGATGTAGCTACTAGTAGTGTAATAGAAAACAAATGATCAATCAGTGGATATGAAAAGAAAGACTAGGTATAAAAAATAACGCCCAGCCAGATCCCGAAGTCAAGATATCCCATTTCCCCGCGCCATTGAACCCAAGAAGGGCATGAAAAAGACTCATTCTGCGCCTTCCTTTCCAAATCCAGAGCTAACCCATCCAATAACCAAATCATAAATGAGAACTAAAACACAGATCCCGTGAGTATGCGCACTGCTTTGCACCACAAGCCGTTTCCGAGCTGAACATCACCGTCCTTTTCCCGACTAAGGCCTTTGCCGAGAATGCTTTGCAACTCCTTGTCTGGAAGACCAGACTTGCTGCCTGGTCCGAACCCATAGACCTTCGTCGCCAGGACGTCAATATCAAAGTCCAAGGAACCGATAGTGTTCTCTGCATTGGCTTTATCGATGCGGGTACGGACAGTGAAGTCAACATCGATTCTCTTGGCACCATTGTTCTTCGAGGCAATGCCTTTACGGCCAGGTGTGGATACGGTAGCGTTACCGAGGAGCGTACAGCGTGTGCGTAGAGAAAGAGAGCCCACATCAGGCTTGGACAGGGTGAGGCGGGTAACACCACAGAATTCCAGCATGCGCGCCTCATTTTCCAGCCCAACTGTGCGGTCCCATGCGCTAGAGATGAAGCGCAAAAGCTGCTTAGGTGCGACAGTGGATTGCTGGATAGTAGCCAGGTAGTGCTGCAACGAGTGGAGGACCAAGGATGCAATAGGAGAAATGTTGGCATTCTTCTGGGAAGCCAGTTCCATCGGGTAGTTCTTTCCCTCGTCCTGGCCACTTTTCTTGGAGGCAAAAGCCCCGGGATAGAACTCTAGTTGGAGCTTATCCCGATAAGCCATCTTCAATAAAGGTCCCTTCGATGCATCATCCGAAGGAATTGCGGCCGAAACGATCGACCAGCCAGTTTGTTGCTGAATTCGTTGGACGGAGGCTAGTTTTCCCAGTCAGTATTGCAGCCACAAAAAAAGAAACTCCATAGGGAAAGCTCACCCTTCAGTTCGTTGATCTCCCGAGCACTCCAGCCACGGCACTCTTCTTTGACACGCTCTGCCTCCTGGATTTGAGCCAGGAACTCATCCCGCATTTCGGCTCCAGCCTCGATGAAAGTCCCCTTGGCCTGGACTTCCTTCTGCAACTGCTCAAGTTCACGTCTCTTGACTGCAATCTCGGAGTCCACCTCGGACAGCTTGCTGCGCGTATTGCGCAACTCATCTTGATCACAGTTTTCCATCTCTTCCACCAACTGTTTCAGGTTGGTTGCTTCTTCCTCCAGGGAGGCGTGCTTCTCCACGAGAAACGGCACGTTCCTATTAAGCAACTCTTCTCGTTCAGATAGCAGATCGTCATCTGCTTTCATTTCCTCCACGTGGCGAATGAGCCCTTCCTTCAACCCCTCAAGCAACTTCATCCGCCATTCGTACCATGTGGCCTTACTCAGCAGACGGGCATGTGTTTTGACGTTTCGGAACTGATTGTCCATGATCACTCGGATATCTGGAGGAGCGGTGATATACTCTTTGAAGAGAGCTGGATTTTCGGCATATGTTTCTGCCTCAATAGAGCGAATCACTTGCCGACCTTCAGAAATATAGGACTTCAACTCCCGACACGACTAGAGACAGTGTGAGCGAGAACAAGAGTGTCAGGGTATAGTATCACTTACATGCTGGTATAATTCAAGCATTGGCACGGTACAAAAGCCAGCTGCCACACAATCATCAAACGTTATCGAGCCTGGTTTAGGCATGCTCTCACCAGAAGGTCGTGTCAGCTTCTTGGTGGCACTCCCGGGGGCAGTTGTGTGTCTTCTCTTTGTCGTAGTTAGTTCCATGAAATGAATATTGGTCATTTTCAGGAAGTCCTGCAGCTGAATAGACTCAATTTCCACGGGGGCTTCTTCGGTAGGAGTGACCTCTTCTTCTTCTGGTTGTTGGGGATCAGAAGCAATATGAAGAGCATCAATCCCATGATTGAGAGGAGTTGTGGACGTTTGGGAAGAACTCCGTGGTTGTTGGGAAGGCGTGGTGCTGCCTTTGGGGGGTGATGAGCTAGCAGCTCTACGGACGGGTGACAGAATTGACCGACGGATATTGGCTTCCCTGAACATCGGCGTTGGCAACTTGACACCTTTGACTGGGCTGACATTATGGCCACGCAGTCGCTTGGGCGAATTCTCCACTTCGTCTTCATCCAAGTCTAGCTCGACCGGGCGCTTGCCCAAAACCCCGCGAGCAGCCCCAACATGGAGACTCTTACGATTGCCAATCCTAGTCTTCTTCGGGCTCAGGTTTGAAATCAAGTCCTTCAAGCTTGGGGTTACGTCCCGATCTGACTGCAATCCCCTGATATAGCCATCCTCTCGGAGTTCCTCTTCTTCGCGATCACGTTCTTCCTCGGCCTGCATTTGCAGAGGATCCTCGAAGCGTACACCGGATCGGGGCTGTTCTTGCGGAACGAACTGGGGCGTACTATCCCCAAGCGACGGGCGCTTGTCCAGTAAGGCCGCCACGCGAGGAGATCCGAGACCTTCTTTGTCAATCCCTAGACCGGAAGAGCGACGACTCTCGCGTGGTTGCAATTTGAAGAGCGGGGTCGACTCTCCTGTTGCTATGTTATGCTCAAACAGGCTTTGGCGTAGAGACTTGCGCTTATCTGCTGATTGCTGGAGTTCGGGTTGGAAGAGCTTCTTTGGCGAAGCACTTCTAAATGTGACATTGCTGGAGGGGGGTGTCTTGCTTGGAGTGGTAGGTTTAGCTTGTGGGGTAGACTGTTTGGGCGGAGTCAATGGCTTCGTATTTGGTGATCTTTGCCGGCTGGACGATCCTGGGGTGGAGCTACGCCGAGGAGGCCTAGGCCGCATAGTTGCCGAACTGGGGCTCCCATTTTCAGATGCAACAGCAGCAATCTGATAAGCCAGGGGTGATTTGGCAGGAGACTGTCGAACATTGTCTTGAAAAGGCGAGCTAGCAAGCTGACCCGAATCGGTTTCAAGCTCCATTATCATCTTCGCGTGCACTTTGTCATTGGCTTCGATCCCTGACTGTAGGATGCCACCAATTGCACCAGTCATCTCCATGTCCATACCATCGTCAGACTCATTCTCTTGATCGAAGTTCATGTGATCAGAGTTGGAGGCATAAGTAGGCTGGTTGCCCAATATTTTGCCGACGGCTGATGTGAATTCCATTGTCATTCCTTCATCTTCGTTGCCAATCTCGGAAAAGTTGAATGGCGAATCCACCTGCGCGATGCCACCGACGACATTGGTCATCTCCATAGTTTGATCTCCATAGTTGGATTCTTCTGCCACGGACTGGCGACGAGCCGTGCTCTGGCGACGGCCGGGGGACTTGCCAAGAATGCGTCCTACGGCATTCGTCACGTCCATGCTAAGGTCTTCGTCCTCGTCGATATCATCTGATTCTGGTGAACCTTGAGTAGTGGCCGCCTTGGATGGATCGAGGTTCTCCTCATCATGTCGTGCGCTAATATCTCCCCAGTCAAAGCTTTGCCTTTGGCCCTTTTTGATCCACGGCTGAAAAGCACCGGTTATTTCTTGATCCACAATTTCCATTGACATCTCTCCGCCCTCATCAAGTTCGGTTCCTGCTTCCTGTGCGGCCTGACGTAGTGCTTCGTTGAGCCTGGCACTAGAGCTTGAGCTAGAAGTTGCATCTGATTGGACACTCATGCCTGAGCGCGCGGTCATATCATCCATGCTCATTGCAGTGCTCTCAGCATCAAATCCATCGTCGGAGTCTGAAGAATCGCCATCGTCATCTTCTCCGGCCAGACTTTGGGCGCCGGTGTCTTCGCTTCCTACTGAGCTTCCGCTGAACGGACTAGAAGACAAATCCTGAACGTCATCATCCCCAGATGATGGGCGACCTCTTATCTGGTTTAGATCTTGTGTGCGGACAGGTGAGAATTCGAATTCCGATTCTGCTGGCGAAGATGGAGCGTCTTTGGTGGGCGAGGCAGGGGCAGGTTGGTTCTGAGAGCTTACGGCAGCAGATGCGCGTCTTGTTGAGTTTGCGGCAGAGGAGGAGGTTGAGTCGTCCGGAATTTCCACCACGTTCCAGGTATGTAAGGTTGCCTCGGGGGCAAAGGATACTCGGCGATTCGCTGTATAAATCTGTGTCAATATTCACTTCTATGACAAAGTGGAACACACTGACCCATTGATTTCCTCCGCGCGGCTCGTTTCTCTAAGATATTCTGCCGTTCTCGATCTTTCCGCTCCTGTTCGTCACGCTCCTTAGTAGCAGCCATCTCCTCGCGAATGGCAGAAGTCGCATTAAATGTATCAAACGGGTTCGCCGTGTCGTCATTGTCATTATCTGTCGTGGGAGGTCCTGGTGTTGTTTCGAAGTCAATCAAAAGACCCTCTTTCTTTTGGTCTGTTTGGCCCTGTCCGTCCATCATGCCGTCGTGTGTCTGCTGTTTACTACGAGCTGGTGTACGTCGGCGCGTTTCCTCGAATGACGGAATGGTTCGCACTGGAGACACAGGGACTGTGGGTTTGAGAATAGACTTTAGTGGAAAAGAAGCTGTAGACTATAGATATTTTAAGTCAGAATTGTTCTGCATATGCGCCCGTGGTCTTCCGTTTGATAGCTACCTGGCGACGATTGCCGTTAGAATTCTGGAGGGCATCTAGTCCACCAGGCCCCAAACTCTTGCTCCGAGACTTCTTGTCTTTCATAGCAGGCTTTGTGTTATTCAAGAATGGCTGAGCTGCGCCAATCTGAGTTGTCGCATTCTCCTTGTCCAAACTAGACGTCATCCTAGACCGCGGGACATGAGCGATAGACCGACGAGATCGCGGCGGCCGCAAAGCCGCGGAGTCGGGTCGAGTTGACATTGTCGGCGAGCGAATCGGCACATTCACAGATCAATTCAAGGTTGCATACTCGGTAAATCTGAGCGTCGGGATCTTTAGATCAAACAGGACTGCCCAGGTGAGCCTGTAATCTACTCCTATCGCACCTGCCCAAAGCGCGTTGCCTCCGCAATCACGTGATGTAAACAAAAGCGCAGAGCCCTAACCCCAATTAGCCTAGTCCCGATTAGGACTAGTGTCGCACACTACGAATTACCAAAGATTCCAACGGACAACGAATCTTCCTCATCTTCGACAGCCGCCAACCCGACATTTCCTCGACACCGCTTCCTCGTCGAACAACACCGCAAAAATGGCCACCGAGTTGACCGTCCAGTCGGAGCGCGCTTTCCAGAAGCAGCCTCACATCTTCCTCAACACCAAGGCTAAGGCTTCGTCCAAGAAGACTGCCCAGGGCCGCCGCTGGTACAAGGATGTCGGTCTCGGTTTCCGTACCCCCAAGACCGCCATTGAGGGAAGCTACATCGGTATGCACGACCTCCGTTGAATTTTTATTCGAAATATTGTGGCGGGATATATATGGGTGGGTGGTCTTTTCATGGATACAAAGGACGAATGGAGGATCGCATGGAGCAATTGAGGGGCCTGGAATCTCCGTCGTTTCCCTCTCTCGCCAATATTCGCATTCATCACTCAAACTCTCGAATCACGAAAAGACCACTCATGCCAAAAAAAAATCCCCGCAATCACCAAAATCTTTCCGTGTCAGATTACTCATTTTTGAACCTTTACAGACAAGAAGTGCCCCTTCACTTCCCAGGTGTCCATCCGCGGCCGTGTCCTCGTCGGCAAAGTCGGTAAGTTGAATTGGAACTGTCTTTTTTTCACCAGGCAGGGGGACTTGCTAACTGATTATCTACAGTCTCCACCAAGATGCACCGTACCCTCGTCATCCGCCGCGAATACCTGCACTACGTCCCCAAGTACAACCGTTACGAGCGTCGCCACAAGAACCTGTCTGCCCACGTCTCCCCCGCTTTCCGTGTTGAGGAGGGTGACCTTGTTACCGTTGGCCAGTGCCGTCCTCTCAGCAAGACTGTACGTTCATCTAGTGATCCTTGTCAATTTCCGTCATTGTTGGCAAAACCACACACTATTGCATTACTGCAGGACATCGAACCTGACAGCTTACTTTGTTTGCTACGGACATGACGACTGACTAAAATTTCTCTCTAGGTTCGCTTCAACGTGTTGAAGGTTCACGCCAAGACCTCGCGCGCTGTCAAGTCTTTCTCCAAGTTCTAGGTTAATAAACCGGGTGTTTTGAAGGCGAAGGAAGCGGTATGGACTGGATATACAGGAAGTTCTTGGATGGGGGTCGGGATAGTTTATGAGTTTCCATGTCCCAGATACCTCGCACATGAACGTGTATCCACGCAAAAATCAAAATGATTTGTTCGGTCCTCCTGCGATGGAAACTGTACACCAACTCCGGCACAGGGCAAGATTGACCATAAATGGCAATCTAGACAAAGCCTCTCAATGCGCATCTCGAGTCATCTCCTTGCTCTTCCAAGTCTACATTGATCCAGTAGGACCTTAATCTGTGTTCTCTAGTAATGGCAAATCACATACCTATCTAGGGCATGGGTTGTCGTTTGGCTGTCTGTATGCGTAGTTTTGATATTATTTCGGGCATATATGGTTATATTACTAGTTAGTTGCATAATACCTACTTGCCTAGATATCGAAGGAGGTAGGATCATGAATATGCCAATTATTTACTTTGTTCGCAATGCACATATTAGAGACAGCATTGCCAGGAGGTTTATTCTATATCACAAAGGCAAATTGACACATTGACTAGTTACTAGTTTTTCTCGTCTTCAGATAGCTGCGCCAAACAAAGATTCTTCAATGTTCTCTTCCATGCCAAGCATGGATTCTTCGTGACCTTCACATATCGTCAGTTTGTACGCTAAGTCCAAAGCCGGAACTTTTCAAAAAAGTCCATGTCCATCTGTCCATTGAGTACAGGGCGGTAGGTGGCTTTATTGTCCGAGTGCAGTGAGATCTTCCCTCGGATTTTGGTGGGCGTGTCAGGATACATGTATGTATCGTCATCTGACGGCCAGTCCCGCTGCAATGCGCGCTGGGAACTAGTATCTTCATTATCAGAGGTTAAGTCAATTGCCTCTTGACTATGTATATGCGCCAAGAAGTCTTCGGAACCATTGTTCTCCGGGAAGATTCCACTAGACAGCGTCTCATGTGTTGAAAAGTTCCCATCATCCGCGGTCTCTGTCTTGTCGCACATTGACATAGTTTGAGAACTGGACACACCTTCCGACTCAGAGGTCCCTTCCGACCTTTCGTCGGTCTCGGGTGGTTCGTAGTCTAAGTCGGGAACACAGTCGGGTGAGAAGTGCATCTTTTGGGGGGTCTGCCAAGGCGTCTTTCGAGGTGTGGGCCATGGAGCCTCACTCTCAGAGTCCGTCAATTCCTCGGGCAGGTAAGGAGGTGCACTTTTCACTCCGCTGTAAAATATTTTTGTCTCTCTCGCATTCCTCCAACCCCATGCCCTGGCGAACTCAGATGCTAAGTTCGCCCAGTGGATCCTTGGCACTTGGAGAAGGGTCAAAAACTTTCCGAGCGTTCTACCAGATTGGAAGGGCGACTTTCTCCTCAACGCCAGCATGTCACGAAGAGTATCACTGCAGCGTAGAGAGCTGCGGATAAGGGGGATCTGAACCAAGCGGTTCAAATCACGGTGTGACTGTGTGATGCCCTCAAGACTGACGATATCCACGCTGAAAGCGATTGCCTCAGCTGGGACGCGACCCCAGATGAGGTACTCCCCGTAGCCCTGCCAGCCATTGTACACAAGCGTCCCGGTCCGAATAGCCAGCGGATGGGCATAGAAGACTTTGGTCTCCAACTTGGACGTGTCAATAACGGTCACTATGGCGCCATTCTGGCCAGCAATGGCACGGTGAAGTGGTGCCAATGGTGATCGGAAGGTAGAGATGAAGGGGGTTCTGACTTTCTGTTTACTTACATGGCTCCGAAAGAAGCCCTCGAAACGGTCCCCGGAGCAGTCTTCGGAGTCAAACCAATCACCGTTGCAGAAAAGCCCGGCTACAAACATGGTCTTCGAGTTGATTCCTTGGGAGTCACGGTTTGACCACCGAAACAGCAATGGTGGCATTTTATCGGCCGGAACTCCTTGCATAGCCAGCTCATGGTCAATGTGATGGCCTTGTCTGCCATGATGCTGCTGTCCGCAACCTTGCTGATCTTGATGTTGATATTGAGGCTCTTGGCATTCTTGATGGTCCTGCTGGTCCTGGTCTTGGTGCTCTTGGTGTCTATGTTGGAACTGTTGGTTTTGATTGGAGATTATGGCTTGGTTGGGACGAGTGGGCTGGCTCTGGTCATCACGACCATCTGTTCCGTCGATAATCAATTCACGGTTACACCAGAGGCAGATCTTTCCATGGCTGGTAACAACCGACTCGTTGTTTTCAAGCTGGTCGGTTCGTTTCCGACTGCGGCTGAGACTCATCATGGTGATTTCATCTGCTATTCGCTGGGACAGTGAAAATGGCATAGGGTGGGGTGTCTGCGGGGTTAGGGGTGGTTGAAGGATGAGAGTCAGAAGGGTAGGGGAAGAAAAGTAAGAGAAGGGTATAACAAACGATAAATTACTCTTGGGGCTCAGACTTGAATAACCAGCCCGTCCCTCGAACATTCTGGGAATGGACATATCTTCGGTCTCATATGTGACTAAATCTTCTTCAAAGATGCTAGCAAATAGAGAACCTATCTTCAGCCCAAAAGTAGATCTGGTCCTTTAACATATTGGGATAAGGTAGAAGTTGAAGATCTCACTATTCTAGGTACATTTTTGCCCATCTCGGACGTTTGAGGCAACTACGTACAAGATAACTGCTTCTCTGGCCAGATAATTGATAGAATCAAGGTCGTTCAGACCTTGATTCTTATTTTGTGACTAGCTTGGTTCTAGCATGATCCATAAGTGGAGTATTGTATAGTTCTTTAGTTCAAGTATGAAGCCCTAGATCTACGTCAAATACCAGTAGTCTTTTACTTGCCTAGTGGGCTGTATTCCGAAATGGATGTTATATATCTACTCTTTCCTCTCTTCATTCAATTCGATCTTAAAAAGCCAACAAAAAGGTTGCTTCGTGGTGTTTTCCCCAATTGTGCAAAGCAGGTTCCCTCTGTGTTAATGATAACTCCTTGGCTGGCTTACGGTCACTAGCTATCTATTATATTATATCGTCTAATACAAGATATGCCACAGTCTACATCGAAATGTTTTCAAATAAACCCAAGGATACCGTGATATATAATCTCTAGATATAGGAACGAAATCGCAATATTCAAATATTACGATCAACGGATATATCCAAGATATGGTCATCCAATTATAGTTTATATAGCCTATAATCTTTCATATATAATCTAAATACCAGTTCGTTATGATATAGTACTCGTATACTCCAGGGCTAATCTGCACGAGGAACTGCCAACATGCGCTAGTCCCAATTTAGGTTGCCTCGAGGAACATGCACTCCGCCCCCAGGAACTCCCTTTGCCCTCACCCTTGGGATTATCTTATTTGCTATCCTTATCCCTCAATTTGCTTCTCAGCCCATATTCACTCAGTGATCTCAAATTCTCGCCAATCCTTAACCCGGCCGTTCCGATCGGACTTCGAACCCTATCCCCTAGAAAATTGCCCACTTGCCCCAGGCTCACAGCATGGCTCAATGAGCCACGTCATGAACGATACGGATGATTGAGGACTCACCCGGACACTATAAGGGCATTGATTCTCGGAGCAGGCTCTCCAGTCTTTCCCACTGTCTTCTAACAGACTTCTATTCTCCTGAGCCAAAGTGGGCGCCGATTCGCGACTTATAAGAACAACATGCCGGGGGGATTTGAGAAGTCAGTAAAGGGGGCTACGAAGCTCAAGGTCAGTCCGAATTCTCAGCTCATTCTTTTTTCTACATGCGACAATTATTAAATATCTGACGTGAACAGCTTGCGGCCCCTAAATCCAAATACATAGAGAATATTCTTGTGGCAACTCATACCGGCGAGGCAGGAGTCGCAGAGGTATTTCGAACCCTCCAAATACGGCTTCGAGACTCGGCATGGACCATTGTTTTCAAGGCACTCATCGTGCTCCATCTTATGATCCGAGAGGGTCAACTTGATGCTGCGCTGGGATACCTGTCCGATAACCCGAAGAAGATCACGCCCAGCAATTTCTCTGAAGGTTAGACCAGTAGTTCCCTCATATTGATGTGATTGCAGTCTACTGACTGTTCTTATAGCCCAATCACAAGGGCATAATATCCGACGATATGCCGAATACCTTATCACGCGTGCCAAGGCGTTCGAAGCCTGCAAGACGGACCATGTACGAAGCGGACCGGGACGGCTGAAGAGGATAGGTGTGGATAAAGGCCTTTTGAGGGAGACGGAAATCGTACAGAAGCAAATTCGTGCGTTACTGCGATGTGATGTGGGTGAATTCCGAATTCAGGCCTTTTATTGGTGACTGACAGTGTACAGTTGTTGACGGATGAGCCCGAGAACGAGATCAGTCTGACCGCGTTCCGTCTCCTCACACTTGATCTATTGACTCTATATTCAGTCATGAATGAGGGTACGATTAATGTTTTAGGTAAGTCAGCAGCTCCTCCATTGATCGGCATTGGTTTAACCCCGAAATAGAACACTACTTTGAGATGTCGCGGCCGGATAGTGTACGCGCCTTGGCAATCTACAAGACATTCACAAAACAAACGGAAGAAGTGGTCCAGTTTTTGGGAGTCGCAAGACATTTCGAGTCTGCTACTCGCTTGGAAATTCCGAAGCTCAAACATGCCTCCACAGATTTGGCGCGCCTTCTCGAAGATGATCTCAACGATCCTGATTTCGATCTTCGCCGGCGGGAGTATCTGGCCAAGAAAGGCGTTCGCGTTCCACCGAGCATGGAAGCCAGTGCGACCACAGATGTATCAAAGCCCGCGCCGAACCCAGTGTCAAACCCGCCGGCGTCAAACACACCCAAGCAGGCCGAACAACCGAAGCCGCCAGCTGTGGATCTGATCGACTTTTTTGATTCAATTGACCCGCAGCCAATGGGGCAACAGAACTCAATGCAATACCAGCAAACAGGGTTCCAACAGCAACCGCAGCAACCTTTCTATCCCCAGCAGACTGGCTTCCAGCAGCAGCCTCAGGCGATTCAGCAGCAGCCCTTGGCAACTGGATATGGCCAGCCGACCCAATATGGAGTGCCTTATCAAGCACAGGGCCCAAATAATCCATTTGGGCAGCCGCAGCAACTACAACAACAACAGCCACCGCCGCCGCAGCCGCTTCAAGCTATGCCAACTGGCGCTGGATTTGGAGGGTACTCTCCACAGCCGCATTCATATGGCTTCCAGTCGCAATTAGCTCCTATTCCGCAGGAAGGCATTGCCGCCTTCCCACAACAGCAACAGCAACAGCAACAGCAGCAAGCACTTCAGCCCTTGCAACCCCAGCACACGAACCCGTTCCGCCAGTCAATGATGCTCAACTCTCATACAGGTGCTCAGCCACCCGCCGCTCCTCTATCGCGACAGAACACGAACCCCTTCGCGAGACGACTATCCACAGCAAACACGCAATATAATCCCTCAAACGAGCAATTTCAGCCTGTACAACCCCCGCAAGTACCGCTTCAGCCACCACAAGCGCAGCCGATCCAGCCTCAGCGGACGGGAACCAATCCTTTTGCGCGAGCCTCTCCTGCTCCGCAGCAAGGTCTGCAGCCTCCAGCAGCAGCTCCCTTGCGGCCTAACCCAACTGGCAGCACCAACCCTTTCCGACAGAGCCAGTTTATCAATCAGCAGACCGGACAAGGTTGGCAAAACAGTGGGCAGAGTGGTACAATGGGTGGGTTAGAACAGCTGGACACGATGCCGATCTTCCCGCGCCCCGGTATGACCTAAATTTGGGGGCGCAACACGATCTGCACGGCGTCGGAATGAAACCGACGTCCGTTGTATGATTATCTTCACTTGACTATCTCATTCGTTCTATCTCACTTGCTCCCCACATCGCCTCCACATCGAGTAGACCACGGATATTTCCGTTGTACAGCTAGCTCTTCGATACTATTACAAGTAACTACATACCTTGGGGAGCTCCCTCGGATCCAATATTAATGCATTCTGTACTCCAATAAAGCAATTGAACTTCATCTCGGGCTATGCGATGCCCACTTTAACAAATGTAAGGCTAGTGCTGTCAGGGGCAGAAAATCTTGACTTGACGTCTAAACCGTTGGATGTTTTTCAGGGGCCAAAATGCAGATCTATACACACTTCGTCGGCTTGTCTCCGTGTATCTCAACGTGTTTCATGAATTTGTGCTGATCATAGTAGATCACGATATCGAGGTTCCCCCTGTACCTACATACACATGTGTTATTACTCTTTTTCAACGCCACATGACCTTAAAAAGAACAAGCTCGGTGAATATAACCCCATATTCTCAAGGTCAAGTGGATATTGGAACATGCGACTGGTGTAGACTTGTAGTCCTCGAAAGGGGCGGAAAAGAACAAACAAACGAATCGTAAATCCCCCTAAATCCTTTAAATCCTCTAAACCCCTTAAATCATCTAAATCAAACCTGTCAATTTCCACTAGAACTCTTAGCGGGGCCAGTGATTCGTTCTGCAATGTGAAGAATCCAAAATTCCTGTGATTTCTACCCCGCCGGTCCGGAAAGGAAGTTTGTCCTCCTCTTAACCTCCAGGTCTCCCTCCTCCTACATAGGTAATGCCTCGAACGTCTAATTAAGCTCGATGGATGCCAAGGACCTTTTACCGGGTTACGAGCAGACCTTGCCCGTGCTGTCTCGGCCATCGGCTGCGGCTTGGGCGGCCGATCCGATCCACTCCCCCTATGCAGCTCCCATCCACTTCGATCCCAATATACACCCTATACAGACCATGGCCTCAACACCAGCTCCTACACCAGCTCCTGCACCAGCTCCTCCCCCACCCAAGGCGTCTAGTCGGAAAACAACCACCAGAGTACGCAAACCCCGCAAAGCCGACAATGCATCTACGGGGAAATCGACTTTGTTCTGGGTCAACAGTGATCAACAAACGGCAGCGGCAGGCACAACGGATGAGACCTTGAAGCGGATTCGGTCCCATGTCATGTCCGAACATAATCGCAAGAAGCGAATGGGGAACGGGGAGCAGTCCAATAAAAGCAAATGGAAGAACTCGCCTTGTCAGCCGACGACGACGACGAACACCGGGGCACTGGATACCGCTGGGCCTGTCGGTTCGTGTATTGGTTCGTCTGTCAACTTGTCTAGCAGTCAAATCTCAGATGAACAAGAGCTAGAACAGGTCGAGGAGCTTGTGACATCAACAGCCGTGGGATACCCTGCTATGCAAGCCGCATCATGGAATGACTCTGGCTTTGGTGGGGCGGTGGCCTATCCCTCTGCATGGTCTTACCTGGGACAGGGAGCTAATGATCCTTTTCATACTGGACATACACATCTCACAGATAGAATGATGCGACATTTGCGAGTCTGTGAGTGTTTACACCCCGATCCTGATATGGTCGAGCTCGTATACTGACACGGGTATAGTCCTCTGGGATCTGACACAAGAAGCGCATCCATTGCAAACGCGGTATAAACCCAAGTTGCAGGCTCATTGGGCGTCCTTGATCCAACGCGACCCGGCCATTCTGCATGCGACAATTTGCATGGCTACTTCCAATGATGCTATGCGTGCAGGCGAGCTACCCATCCGAGATCCGAATCAAAAGCGGAGTCAGTTGGTGATCGACACGTTCCACCACCGTGGCGAGACTATTCGGCTGGTCAACGAGGGCCTGTCAGACCCGGTCAAGGCTTCTAGCGATGTTCTGATTGCTGCAGTTTCTACCTTGTTGACAATTGAAGTGAGTATATTCTGCGCACCAAGCTTGCGATTACTAAAGCTTATACATGATTGTAGATCGCGTCGGGGAATCCCGATTACCTCAAAATCCATCTTGCAGGTTTGCGACAGATGATCGCACTACGGAAGAACTTTGACGATGTCCCTTCAGACGTGCGGTTCCAGATCTCATGGTTCGTATCCTCCTTCATGATTAGCTGCAAGGCTTGCTAACCTCGCAATTAGGACTGATATCCGAGTTGCTTGCATGGCTCACGCCAAGCCTATATTCCCCTTTGTCCGCTACACTCGCCCAGCGCGACTCTCTCTCATTCCACCCAACGACGACGTAGCATTACTTTCCACCCGCCTTTTCCCTCTACTCAAAATACCAGGCATCTTCGGCGAACCCATGGCACAGATCGTATATGATCTCCTCGAACTATCCTGGTATGCAGAATGGATCAAAGGCAACACCGGCTACAAAGAGTTTAACGAGGAGACCGAGGACTATTTCAACACAGAAGTGCTGCACGTAGAATACCAACTACACACAGATCGATACACCATGACAGGCCAAGTAAAGGGCGACAACTCCATCGAGGGCTGCACCCGTCTCGCTTTACTGCTATTCCACAACAGCGCTATCTGGAACTTCTATCCAATGATCGGCCAGTTACTGCCCAAGCCAATCCAGGCTCTGCGCATTGCCCTCGAGGCGACCATCCCGTCAGGCTTATTCGCGCTCTGTCGCGACCTGCTCCTCTGGCAGCTTTTCATGGGCGCGGCTTGCAGTCTAACCCTGCCGTCAGAGCGGGCCTTTTTTGTATCTGAACTGGCCAATGCTGCACGGCTGCAGGGAATCCACTCTTGGCAGGAGGCCCGTTCTATCTTGCTGGGCTTTTTCTATGTCGATCGCATTCACCTGCCTATGCTTCGTCAGATCTGGGATGAGTGTCAACTGCTGGTAGAATCGCCAGTATGAACCTGGCTACATGGCTCTGCCGTAATAGATCGAACCCATCCAAGTCGGTTATATACAACCGCTTCCATCCAGTATATTCCAGGCTCCGGACTTCTCGCTATCTACGCATGAGTGAAGATATAATGTATATATTCTATTTCCAATGATTCACGACTACTCCTCTCCAAACAGCTACAGCCCATCTATCTACTACTCCGTACCTAATTGACCACTTCTTCAACCCTGGAACTAAATGTACATGCTATGCCAGGTTTGTTCCTACCCAATCCCTCCAGCTCATATATCCTCCCAACCTCAAAACAGCCAAGCCACCAAGCCAAGCCAAGCACACAATTCCGATCAAACCCGACATACTACATCCATTCCCGGCGTTGAAACCGCCCATCAGTCCACAAACCCAACCTCGGCATCCCGAAATCCGAAAAATCTCCGGCACTCCCTAGGCTCGACGAAGCTGATACGCTGTAGAAACCGCCCGCCGAACGTGCACCGAACTTCAGCCGGGCAAAGATCGGCTTAGACTCGGCGATGCGCGATTTTCGATACAATATAGAAAGGCAGCTCTTCCTAGATTGCTTGGCCCTTTGTGGCTTTGGTTGCGTGATTTTTTTTTTCCCGATATCATTTCATTTCCCGCTTTATTGCGTACCTTTTTTTTTTCTCGCGATTCCAACCGATTCCAACCAGATGTACGTATACTTCCTGCGAAAAGGAGGTATGTAGGAGAATGTTATGCGACATATCTATACATGATCTGATGTAGTTGCGTCAACCGGTGTGAATTAGAATCCTACATTCTTGGCTTATGCTTATTGTCAACTTCAAGGTGGCAAGTCGTGCAGACCGAGAAATTTCCGAATGATATCAGACATCTCCACTCTCGGGTGGCTTGATCCCTGGGCATGAGAGGGAGAGGTCCGAGGTAAATAGGCCCTAAAAGACTCATTTCGGCGGTATCTATATACTCCCGTGTCCCCCTGGCACCTTTTTCCCCTGTTTCATTCTCCCGTCTGTTGAAACAAAATTTTTTTTGGCCCATACTATAGGATATTGGGATTTCGTCTTCAATCCTCGTTCACCTTCAATGTATATCCTTACATGAATCTTATACTAGGCTATGGATGGCTTGTCAGCCTCTTGGCCTTCCTAGGTCGGGGTGCTTGACTAGCCAGACATGCTTGGATGATTGGTGGCAGGTGTTTTCTTGCGCAGAATGTTACTATCTGATGAGGGTATACAATGTCTCAAGCCCAACAACAGCATGTCTGCGATACAACCCGGACAACAGCAAGCACTGGTGTGAATTCGACTTCACCTAGTAGCCTAAGGACAACAATCTACAAGATGAAGGAAGGTATTGTGAACAATGTCGATGATTTAATTACTGAGTCACAAGAAACTCGCAGGTAAAAGAGACTAAATACAGCAAGGAAAAAAAGCAGAAAGCACAAGAAATCACCTCGGTGCTCCTCGAAAAATTACAAACAGCATCAATCGACTCGGACAAAAGATTTTTTTGCAACTGCACTAGTGCAGAATCATCGATCATCCATGCACACAACAGTCACAGGCGAACAGACAGGCCTCCAAACCGGAACACAATCGACAACTCGATGAGAACGCGGCGGATGGAATCTCAGTCTATCGCCTACACATACAACGCTGGGTATCAAAAAACATTACAAATCACCAAAGCGGACACTTCGCATCCCGGCTGTTTTTCCGATGAGAAAAAGGAAATCGCTTATGCGAGCTCACGGTCGGTCTTTCCACGGCGAACACGGCCAGTGGGAGACCAGGGGAAGTGAGCGACGGGAATGATGAAGAAGCTGTTGCTGTTATCAGCAAGACCAGCCAGGGCGTTGTACCAGGCCGAGAAAGCAGCCAGGAAGCCGAAGAATCCACCGGCCATCTGGACGTTGGTGTTGGGGCTGCCGTCGGGACTGCGCTGCAGGTAGGCGATGCCGAGCAGGAGGAAGGTCAGGTCCAGGGTGAAGAACAGCATGAAGAAGGCGACGGTGGACTTGAGGGTGCAGAACAACATGATGGTGGTGAAGATGAACCAGCCCTGTTACATTGTCAGCGGGATGATTTCTTGCACATGTCTTGTGAAGAAGGAACACTTACCAGCAGGAAGAGACCCATGGAGTCATAGAACTTGGAAGGGTCACTGCTTGACTCGCCGAGAGCCTCACCAATCTCGAACCCACCAGGGGTCAAGACGATAGCGAACGCGATCCAGAAACCACCGTAGGAGGACAGAGCGGTGGCACCAAAGGTGTTTCCGACAGCCATTTCCCTAGTAAAGAAGCGCGTATTAGTCGCAGATCTCATGTCAGGGGAACCTCAGGCCGAGGCCACGGAAGCTACATACCACATGCCAGAGAGCAGCTGAACAAGACCACCGTAAGCAAAAGCAAGACCGACCACAATGTTGGGGCTGGAGATATCCAGGGTGCCCATGTTGATGGCGCTCAGGACGAAAGTAGTAAGGGCGAAAGCGCACAGGCCGAGAGGAGCCGGATTGGCGAATTTGCGGCCTTCGACGGGCTTGTACAGACCGGGCTGGAACTCACCACCGAAGGGAGGCAGGGATCGTTCGTTGTTGTTGACTTGGGCCAGGGGTCCGTAGCCGAAGCGCGCGGCCGCTTGTGCTACCTGGTGCTCTTCGACGGACATCTGAGGCTGCATGGGGGCGCCGTTCTGGCCAGAGCTGATCTGGGGAGAGGGAGGAGAGGGACCCGCATCCTTCTCCAATGCGGCATGGTCCATTGTTTGAGTGGCAGACATAATGAATCTGATTCGTTAAAAAGAGGAAGGTAAAAGAGGTAGGCCGTTATGTAAAGCCGTATCACACGTTATAGGTATAGGGGTATATGAGATTGAAGCACAGCACTGCTGGGCTAGAGATATAGAACAATGAAGCTGGGGAAGAGAAAGGAAACCGGGGAAGGAAGCTGGGGAAGGGGAAGAGAACTATTATACTCTCTCCAATTGGAGTGAATGCAAAAAAAGCAGATTTGAAAAAAACTGGGAAGCGATGGTGGAACCAAACTTACCAGGTATTTTGGTATTTCGGTAATATTACAATGATTTGCAGACCCGTTTTTAAGGCTCCACTTATGGACCGGTTCCACGGTTGATAAGAGTCTGGTCGAGTGTGCTAAAGTGGAGAAAAGAGGAAAAAAAGATGAGATGGGAGGGGAATGTCTCATATAATTATACAGAATATAACTATCCAACTCCTATTGTTTTGAATCGCTTCACAGGGGCAAAAAAACGAACTATATCAAATCAGCCATGCAGGGACGGCACGGAGGAATGGGGGGAGGACCGTTCACAGGTTAGGTAATTGGCAGGTAAGGATCCATGGATGAAAGGAAGAACTAGCCCGGGGAAGAAAGTGGGGAGATGGGATATCCGGGGAACGAAGTTATCATTGGAGGGAGAATAAACGAGGGTTTGCTGACTTGCCTGACTCCAATGCTTGGCTTACCTGATGCATAATTCCATAAGCTTATGTACCCCGTGGACGTTAGCATCCGGAGTGCGTTCCAGTAATTCTTATGCTGTAGGTCCCATGGTAGCAGTTGTATAGACGGAAATTTACTGGACTCTGGAGATATTAATCTTTCTATCATGTAGAGTCCAGTCCACTCTATTCCGGATGGAGAGTATTGATTTACTCCGTACATCGTGCATATGTACAGTACTTTAGTGCAAATGAAAATCAAAGCAAGCAACAGGTAGCAGATACTTGCTGATAGTGGCTGAGCCGGTGGTAAATCCCGGTATCGAGTACACCGAGCCGAGACTGCGTCATGACCTCGGTATAATTGTGGAATGTATTTTGCCTCATACCAATTGTTGCCCATGTGACGGATTATATGATTCAATCATTATTCTGCATTCGCCGTGGATGTACGGAGTAGACCCTTAGGGGTTACGCACTAATGAATTCATAGTAAGATATAGTCACCTTGGTAAGCTGTGGTCGTTATACACCATACTCTGTATCTTTCTTAATATTATTGTCCTCTCTTCTATCCATTGTTCTCCACTTAGCGCGGGTCTCGCATAATATGCCCCCTCTTGCCCCTTTTTTGAGACCGAAGCATGATACACATATCATACCCACTAGCCACGGATGATGTACCAGACATCGCATGCTGTCATTCACATTCAGTTTAAGAATTGTGCTTCTCAAGTCTCAGGGTAATAGACAATATGCCATATCCAGGTTGACCTATTAAATAAAGATATAGCCGAACCAGTCTGCCCTCTTCCCGTGTTCCCTTGTCCGGGGGGAACCTAGATCGGCGTACTACCTAGTACGCTCGAGCCTCTTCTTTATTTTTCTTTTCTTTCGTAAGCTTGTCATGTGCCAGAAAGTACCCCGTAGAAAGTGCAAGCGAGTTAAGCTTCAGCTCCACACTGATTTACGGCTAATTATGGTGGACGTATCAGCCGTGCTCCATACGGAGGTTCTGTGCTCCGTACGGCGTACGCCGTACCAACTTGAGATTCGGCCCGGGTCAGAGATTTCCGCTGGATTCAGGACTAATGTGCTCCGTACAAATGGAGTATACAATAATAGCCATCTTTTTCTTATTGCTTCCATGTTGATATCGTGCCAAGGACCTGGATTCTTTTTTTTCAGCTTCACTAATACATACCGGGCAACAGCCTGGAGTTGTGGCGTACGCCAAGTAATAATAATAAACAACAACACACACACGCCACAGATTACCTGCAGGGTGCTATGTATGTACTCCATAAGTCAATGCGACGTTAATCCTCTTGGCCAAGTGGCCCTTTAACTTCCCCCCCTTAAAGAGTTTATAGCTTATCTTCATGTTGGATCGTGCCTTTTTTGTTTATGAGACATGAGTGGAAACTGTGCAATCATTGCTAATTCTTCCTGTTTCCTGGTAATTTGATCCATTCCTCTGATCCAGACCTGATCCGAGCGCAAACTCTGCTATCAAAGGTGGCACCATACACCTGGGCATCTTATATTCTTCCTGACCAATAATAGCCACCTCGTTTAACCTTTCCCCATGTCATCATGCACAGATCAATAATTGGCCATATGGGGATGCTCCGGACCAATTTCAGTCCAGCTACCTCCCCCTAATTCGAGATACAAATGCCCCGGGGACTTGGCGTGACTAAAGAGCATAGTGCTGCACATCGAAATACGAGCTTCCATAGTGCAGGATATACATTACTCATAGAACATACGATGTTGCTTGGCGAATGGCGTTCGTCTTTTTCCCCACATTTTCGTTCATCTGATCTGATCCCCCACAAAAACCATTACATACCTACCCCAAGACGTGTAGAATCCACGGTTATGGGCTACCAACGTGTCGATTTACCCTCGGCTTGGATTTTTCGGCTCGGCGGACCGGAACATTTTCTCGGCTTTTCCAAAGTGGTGTTTGTCTCCGTGCCAAGTCGGAGGAACACACGTTTTGGTAAAACCGGCTTGTGGGGAAATCCTTTAGGTTTAACATAATCACGGAATACGGAGTAACTAACTACCGAGCTCTGCTTACAAGGTGCATACGCTTCCTGTATATACTGCATTTCCCCCGCTTTTTTTTTATGAGGGCTCAGGTTCGCATGTTTTGCAAAGTCACGTGTTGGTACTCGTGCAAGTTCCAATTTGCTTTTGATTAGGAGACTCATGTTGAGCCAACCTACTCTAAGAAATGGGAATCTGGTATCTCGGCACCAACACAGCCTGGAGTGAATTTGATTATGTTCAAGCACTAATATATATATGCTAGGTCCTCTAGGGCTGTTATAAGTCTAGCTCTATACATCCAATGATTTACACAACCATCGCTAAACAATCAGGACATCAAGCCGCCGCCTCAATGGCCTTCTGGAACTCAGCACTGAACGCATAATCAGTGTATCCCTTAGGGTCCTTAGGCACATAGAAAGTGGCCCTATCATATGGCACAAACGGAATGCCATTCTGAACCCGGAACGGCAAGTCCGGGTTCGAAATAAACGGCCGCCCAATGCCAACAATAGCATCATAATCCGCATACTCAACATCAACCGCCCGAACCGCCGACTCAGCGTCATACCCACCAGCAAAAATAACAGGCGAAGCCTTCCCATAAGCCCGCAGGAAGAAATCCAACCGATCCGTAGCATCAACATCAGCACCCCCCGCAATTCTCGACTCCACCAAATGCACATAAGCAAGTCCCAGCTTAGCCGCCTGCACCGCCAGATACTCAAACTGCGGCTTCGGATCCTTCATGCGCATCCCCTGGAACGTACTCCACGGACTAAACCGAATCCCCGTGCGATCAGCACCAACGGCCTCAACAACAGCGCGCGAGACCTCAAGCGCGAACCTCGCCCGACCCTGCACACTACCTCCCCACGCATCCGTGCGCGTATTGCAGATATCCTGCGTAAACTGATCAATCAAATACCCGTTCGCGGCGTGAATCTCCACACCGTCAAAGCCCGCCGCAACGGCATTGCGCGCCGCCTGCGCATAGTCCGCGATCCAGGCGTAGATTTCGGTCTCCGAGAGCGCGCGCGGTGTGGGCGCGTCCGCGCTCACGGCCGTCGCGCTACTCGAGACGAGATCGTATCCGCCCTCCGCTTGTAGGAGCTGCGGGTTGGCTGGCCGGCCTACCGCCCACAGCTGGACGTAGATGTAGCTGCCTTTGGCGTGCACGGCGTCCGTGACTTCTTTCCAGGCTGCGATCTGCGCGTCGTTGTAGATGCCGGGTGCGTTGGCGTACCCGCCGGCCCGGGCGGAGATCGTGGTGGCTTCGGTTATTAGCAGCGTGCCTGGGACGGACGCGCGCTGGGCGTAGTAGTCTTTCATGATGGGGAGGGGGACGTGGTTGTCGGAGGCGCGGTAGCGGGTCATGGGTGCCATGGCGATGCGGTTGGCGAGCTCCATGCGGCCGACGTGGAGGGGAGTGAAGAGTTTGGTCATTTTGGGATATATATTGTATATATTGTATTTGATTTCAACTGGGGGTTAGAATACATTTTGGGTGAATGGCCGTGGTTTTATATCTTGCATTTGATCGAAGTATCAGTATTCCCTTGCTTCGCAGAACTTCCAAGGGTCTCCACTTGGATTAACAAGCAATAAACTTAAGTGTCCGAGACCATAACGTCTTTGAACATGAGACCGAGCAAGTCTCACTCTCACTAGTCGCGATAGGAGCAAGTGGGCATGTCTGATTTGTTATTGTCCCGGTGGCACCACTGCCCGACAGGGGTGCAATTAATAATACACTGCAGAGTTGCCCACCTATGTGTATAATGTAGAATAGCAGATCATCAAGAATTGGAGATTCTCGCCGTTTCTTTGACATTCAATGGTAGCTGAAAGTAACAAGAAGGAGCTACCTATGCACTCGATCACATCGGGAGTTGTACAGGTGAAAATATCGCCAAACGCCATCCTCTGGCGCAGCCATGGACTATTCATTGCACAAAAAATGATTCCTGGTATCATAACGGATGAATAAAAAGACAACAAAAAAATGACATCATCGCTCCAGGCGATCAACGGTGGCTTCGAGCTGTGCGTTGAATGCTCGGATTTGATTTAAGAGACCGCCTTGTGCTCCAGGAGCCCGGGAACTCACGTCGGCGACGGTGCGGAGCATGTATTCGAGATCTGTAGAAGAATCCGCAGCAGAAGCAGCACGTTGCTTGTTGCGGTCGAGGGCCAATTCAAGGCTGTGAAGGGAATTGCTGATCGTGGATCGTGACTAGGAACTATTGTTAGTAATGCTATCGTCAGGACTGTTAGGGAACGTTCTCACCGAGTTGGCCTTCTCCTGTTCAATGTGTCTGCTGCGCACCGCATCCATCTGCAAAGCTATGTTCTCGCGTTCTCGGCGGACCCGGTATAGATGACTCCGTAGATCCATCATCTCCCGCTTAGTCTTCTTCAATTGCACACCAAGCACAAAATTGCTATCGAGTATCCCGCTTAGGTCCATGAGGCGGCTCTCAAGCTCCGAGCCAAATACTTCGACGGCTTTTCTCTTGCGCGACCACTCCGCACGTCGCGTGGTATTTTGTTCGTTCGCAATCCCATCCTTGAGTGTATTTAGTGTTTTCTCTAGAGTCTCACGGCAGATCTGGCTCAATACATCGGCCGGGTTGACACCGCCGCGGTTGGGTATCTTGGCCTTCTGATGCGTGGTGAGTTCATCGGCGGATTCTTCTTCATCTCCAGACCCGTCGGCCGTAGATGTTGCGCCACCTAGAGAATTGACATTGGCGAGACGGTAAACGGTGACCGGGACTGTTTCTCCACGAGGCGCTCGAGTCTTGCGACGAGGCTGTTCTTGTGTAGGCTCAGGCTCGGGTTGGTATTCTGTCTCGGGTTCAGGTTCGGGCTCCAGTGCAAGCTTAGCCTTCTTTGCAGGTCTGCCGCGCTGTGGCTTGGGTGCTGCAGATTCCGCCTCAGGCTCCGGCTGGTCTTCTGCCACACGCTCGGGCTCAGGCTCCATCGCACGATTGGCCTTCTTTCCGGGCCTACCACGTTGAGTCTTAGGTACTGCAGAATCCATTTCGGGCTCGGGCTGCTCTTCTGTGGCAGGTTCAAGCTCCAGCTCCGTTGCATGATTAGCCTTCTTTCCAGGCCTGCCACGTTGGGGCTTGGATACTGCTGATTCCGCTTCGGGCTCGGGCTCAGGTTCGGCTATGTGTTTGGTCTTTTTCCCGGGTCGGCCACGAGATTTAGGTGCCACAGATTCTGGCCCTGCCTCTGGCTGGTCTGCTGCCACAGGTTCAGGTTCAGGCTCGGGGTCAGCTTCAGCCATGCGTTTCGATTTCTTCCCAGGGGGGGCTGCAGAATTTATCTCTGCTTCTGCCTGGTCTGCTGCCGCAGGTTCAGGCTCGGTTTCAGGGTCAGTTTCAGCTGCGCGCTTCGCTTTCTTCCCAGGTCTACCACGCTGTGGCTTGGGCACAGCAGGTTCTACCACAGGTTCCGGTTGGTCATTCTTTTGTGATGTTGGTTTGCGACCCGGCCCCGAAGAGGACTCCGCGACATCTAGTATAGGTCCAGGTGAGATCTTCTCAGTCTCGACCGCTTCAATGGTCTTCTTGTTGAGCAAGGGTCTTCCACGAGGCCGTTTAGCCTTTGGGGCTCCCTCAAATTGGGCTACCGCGGGCTCATCCCGGGTCTCGGTTGCTGGCTCCTGCACAGAGGCTTCAACGTGCAGTTCTGGAGTCTTATTCGCGGTAGATTGATGCTGCTGAGCCTGTTTCATCTCCGTAGAAGACAATTGAGACGTCTGGCTGTCTTCCTCTGGTACATTATCTTTGGGTGGTGAAACATGCTCAGTCATGTCAACATCACCCTCAATAGTCGGCGCATGGCTAGCTTCAAGAGCTTCGGCGGGGCTACCACGCGGTGATAAGGCTTTTGTTGCAGATTGATCTGTCTGAACAATTGGAGAAGCAGTTTCTGGGGTAGCCTGTTGATTCGTCTTGATTATTTCGATTCGTTCCTCGACCCGTGGTGTGCTATGTCGTTTCTCGCGTAGTTGTTTTGTGTTTTCAGGCTGCTCGGCCTGGCCTTTAGGCGATGAAAGTGGCGCTTGTGGTTCTGCAGCTTGTTCAGGCGCCGTAGGGCTAGACACTGAAGTTGTGCCTTGGGCTAGGTGCTCTTCAGCGGCTGATGTTGTTGGTTCCGCGCTATTGGTCCCCTCTTCTATCGGGGGTTGAGCTTCGACTAAGGTCTCCGGAATGGGTAAGACGAGAGGCTGTGGAGAAACCTCCTTGGGAATTTCCGATGGAGGAGGTGTATCTGTATCTGGATGTTCCTGGATGTGGCTTGTTTGAGACTCTGTGCTATCATTGTGATCAACAGACTGTGCATCGCCATTCCTAGATCGCCCGCCATTCGAACGAGAAGGAGTATCTTCTGATCCGTTAGTAGAACCTTAGTAATCATTAGCGCATATTCCTAGCATAGCACACCAGCCTAGTCCTTAACATACTGATCTTTCTCCTCTTGTTACTTCGCGTTTGTTCAGGTCTATCGTCCGAGGAGGGTACGTCATATGCCGAGGGCCTTTCTGGGAGCTTGTTGCGCGCACTTCCCGGTGTGCGCTCAATTGCCGGGGCTTGCGATCCTGGTTGCGATACTTTTGACGGTCGTGGTGTTGTGTCCGGCGTGGTCTGTGTTCGCGGTGGATTCTGAGCTTCAGGGACAGTCGCAAGTGGTGCAGTCGCTGATAATCCGAGCGATGGGCTACCAAATGAGAACCCAAAATTGACCTCTCTTGCTTTGCGCGTCCTAAACGAGCAAGTCAGTTTCTGTTATGGTTCCGCGGGGTATAGACAAGGCGCGTACGCAGCTCCGCGCTGGCGCATTAGCTGCCGCTCCTCTCGCGCTGTCAATTGTTAGCAATTTCACACAAAGATAAGCACTTCACCGCAGCACATACAGGCTTCCATTTTGGAGGAACGGCGTCGAAAAGACGCGTCGTGTTGGTAGTTGAGGAGTAAAGACGGTCGGAGCCAAGGCTATCGGGGCCGATCCTTTTTTGTGCCGACTTCTCCGCGTTCTCAATCTTCAACTCTTCAGCTATTGCACATTCTTGGTTATTCTCGACAAGTATTTCCAAATGGGTTGGCTCTGGGGTGACAAAAATGACACTGTCCAAAAGCTCGATCCCGGGCTTCGTGACTACCTCGAACAGGAGAAGCCCGACAAATATGTGCCTGGTCCTAATGTGAAGCCGCCCTCCACGCCCGCGCAATCGCCCGAACCGTCCGATCCCTCGAAGCCCAAAGTTCCTGCAGCATCACTCTACCCAGATGGCCGTTACGCTTATCTGTGGAAAACCTACAAGCCGCCGATGGACCTTGAAGAACAACCCGGAGTCGGCGTGGCATCACGAGTGATTGAAAAGTACAAAGAGCGCGGCGACACAGTGCAACGAGCAGCAATGGAGAACTGTGCCTTGGAGCATGAAGCCCTGACATACTGCTTCCAGACCGGAAATTGGCGCAAGCAAATTGAAGCCCGGCTGACCATGTGCTCGGCGGAGAATGCCACCTTTTCGCGATGCTTCATGACCCAGACTGTGAGTTGGTGCTGGAACTCATAGCTTTCTCCATCATGTCGATTCTAATATGTTTCCTTAAACAGAAACTCCTCCAAGCACTCGGTTACGCATCTAGTTTCGAATATGACGCCGAAAAAGAAGAGCGTATTCAAATGCATGGCGACAAACTCTACCACCAGATGCTAGACTATGAAAAGCGAGTTGACGATGCGAAGGCCGCTGGAATCGCGCCACCGCCTATCACGTCGCTTTTCAACCCAGATAAGCCATCGCAAACCCCGGAAGTCGGCCTTGAGATTCCTGGAGGAGAGCCAATCCCAGCAGAGCTCAAACCGTCCAAGCCATTAGAGAAGCTCACACCCCATGAGCGAGAGTTAGAAATTCGGGCACACTACGCGCAGCGGGAGCAGCACAAGATGTATGCGGAGGAGGCTGCGCCCTTCATAAAGTCTCAAGAGGATGCTCGACAGAAGCGACAGGAGAGAGCTGTAAGCTGGTTTGGAGAGAGACTCGGAAAGTGGCTGTCGTAGAGTCTGGTGCTTGTACTTACTATTCTGCTTTGAAAAATGGCGACTTGGAGAGGCGTTGGGGTTGCTTTGCATTGTATAGTTAGCTCTTTTCTACTCCGTATAGACCAATAAATAGTCTTTGAGACTGATTACGTTCACGTTCCTCTAACTTTGATATCTGTTTCAAATGCTGCTCCTAGTGCTTACCTCTAGGGCTGGATATCTACTTCTCCGTACTCCGATTCAAATCATAAACATTTCTAATAAATAGCCATTGTAACATAATCTAATAGATATAATAACCCAATAGCTATAAAATGCTATATAATACGTACAAAAACATATACAAAAGGACAATGTCAACAAAACCCTCTCCCGGTGTCAGTTGCCGTCGGTCGCGTTCTCCGCAAACAACTCGAAGCATCATCGGAGAATCACGACTCTCTTCCCTTAACCTTCTCTCCCCTTGTCCCCAACCCCTTGTCGCATCTTTTTTATTTCCTCCCATTGATATTTGAATTGCACTTCCTCCTCCGTCTTCTTACCTGACCTAGATCAACTGGATCTTCTCCAATTCAAAACCACCCCGGATATCACCTGGCAAAAAAAGATACCTGATTGATCATTGGACTCGGAAATCCTCTATTCTCTCTTTTCTCTCCAGGTCATATCACCTTACTTGAAAACCGGTGGTGCTTAACACACTGAGCTGCGGCGCTCGCCATGAAGGCCACCCCGTTGCTCATCTCATGGCACAATGACAATGCCCCTATCTACTCGGTGCATTTCGATCCCAATGGCAAGGGCCGGTTAGCTACGGCTGGAAAGTACGTTCTATCTGTTCTCTCAGAGTGTTGAACGGTTTTACTGACTACTTTTTTTTAGTGACAATAACGTCCGAGTATGAACCCGCCCTCCGTCGCCCTTCGCATACCTTGATCTGACATGTTCTACAGCTCTGGAAAGTCGAGTCTACCGGGGAGGAAAGAAAAGTCTCTTATCTGAGTACTCTGATGAAGCATACACAAGCCGTCAATGTGGTCCGCTTCAGCCCGAAAGGTGTGTTTTTCTCCAGGTTAGCATATGACTGCAAGTCTGACGGATGTAGGTGAGATGCTGGCATCTGCCGGAGACGATGGAAATGTCCTACTCTGGGTACCATCGGAGATACAAACGCAAGCTCTGGGTGAAGATCATTCGGACGATAAAGAGACTTGGCGAGTGAAGCACATGTGTCGCTCGTCCGGCGCTGAGATCTACGACCTGGCCTGGTCTCCTGATGGTGTCTTTATCATTACTGGCAGCATGGACAACATCGCACGGATTTACAATGCCCAGACTGGTTAGTTACCCTCGAACGGTTCTCATACAACGCGATAGGCTAACGATCGAATACAGGGCAAATGGTACGGCAGATTGCCGAGCATTCTCACTATGTTCAGGGTGTAGCATGGGATCCGCTTAACGAGTTTGTCGCGACTCAGTCGTCCGACCGATCCGTTCATATTTATACATTGAAGACTAAGGATGGACAATTCACATTGACACCGCATGGGAAAGTGCTCAAGATGGATCTCCCTGCCAAACGTATCGCATCTAGCAGTCCTGCGCCTCCAGACGTGACGAGCCGGTCTCAACCAAGCACTGCAAATTCCATTGCTATTGCCTCGCCTGCTCCCTCGACTCCGGGGACACCAATGGCTTCCAATCTACCCATGGATCCTCCTCCAGTCTCACACAGCCGGCGTTCTTCGTTCGGCTCGTCTCCTTCGATCCGGCGATCCGCGTCTCCTGCTCCATCTCTCCCGTTGCCCGCTGTTAAGCCGTTGGAAGTCTCATCCCCAAGTCTTGGTGGCCTGGGGGTCAAGAACGCCAGTATCTATGCCAACGAGACGTTTACTTCTTTCTTCAGGCGACTGACCTTTGCTCCTGACGGAAGCCTGCTGTTTACACCAGCTGGTCAATTCAAAACCAGTCACGTATCAGCTACGGATTCTACAAAGACGACAGACGAGGTCATCAACACAGTTTACGTCTACACACGGGCTGGTTTCAACAAGCCCCCGATCTCTCACCTTCCAGGACACAAGAAGCCATCTGTAGCCGTCAAATGCTCCCCGGTCTTTTACACGTTGAAGCAGGGCACCCAGCCTGCGAAAAACATCACCCTTGATACATCTTCAGGCGAGGAGATGTTCTCGTCCCTCCCAGAGCCCGTGGTATCGGGAAATCCACCCTTCACCAGCCAACCCCACATAGTCCCTCCATCCTCAACGACGGCGGATTCATCAAAGCTTCAGCCATCCCCAAAGGCTGCCGAGCACGGCGGCAATGAAGCAAACCACAGCTCGGCGCCCGTCTTTGCACTTCCTTATCGCATTGTATATGCTGTTGCCACTCAAGATGCTGTCTTGGTATATGACACACAACAACAAACCCCGCTATGTATCGTCAGCAATTTGCATTTTGCTACTTTTACTGACTTGACCTGGTAAGTACTGTTTCTATGATTGATACCCACGTGTCAATTTCTAACGCACAACAGGTCGGCCGATGGATTAACATTGATCATGAGTTCCTCTGATGGGTTCTGCTCTTCACTCTCGTTCGCCCCTGGGGAGCTGGGCCAAACGTACACAGGACCAACTTCTGTGACTCATAATGTTTCAAACCCAACCACCCCTGCGACAAATCTCACACCTCTGCTGACACCAACGCATTCGGCGTCTTCACATGTGCCATCTCCAATCAAGACGAGCCATGCCCCTCCAAATAGCACAGGACCCATACCGCCAGCCAGTCCCGCACGGTCCAACTCGGCCTGCTCAGTCGCGACACAGCTTTCCACGCAGCCAGCCCCTGCGGGAGTCGTGAATAATCCTACTCCCACTCTCGGGACTGTTCCGTCCGTGACGGCAACAAACTCTGCGCAGCCACCGACTCTTCCAATGACAACTCCGCCACAAACGCCTATCTCAGGCGCTCCACAAAATGGGACCACTACGACTGGTAGTAGCGTTCTGGGAAAGCGTGCAAGCGAGTCTGAAAGAGAAGGTAGCAAGGAAGAACCAAATAATGCGTTGCAGCAGCCGCCGAAGAGGCGCCGTGTGGCACCCACCCTTATCTCAGCAGCGACTGATGGAGCCTCATCCTCAAAGGAGGACAAGCCCTAGAGTCTCCGGCCTCTTAACCCCTTTCTCAGCTCCGACACGCAAGGCATGAAATGACCAATTTGCTTTGCTAGCTGCTGCTTCTTATGATTCATGTTTTTTTCTTCTAATCATTGCTTATGCTATATCCTACCCGTATTCTATGTTCTGTATTTGCACTCTCTTTGTTTCTGATTTTTTTCAACAATCGGGTCTATGGTTGGTGGAGTTGTGAGAGCCGATCTACCGTTTTATGATTGCTGATCCCCTTGATCTATGCATGAATTGTGGCAGAGAATAAGGAATAAAAATGTATCTTTACCTTTAAAGTAGACGATTAGGGTGATCATTTGAAACGACGCTCTCGAAATATAAAAGTCGGTCTAAATAATCAAGACTACTTAGCATGTATTAGTTATTGAAAGCTATACTGCATTGCATGTGTGTATCCCCCCCCCCTTGAACATCAAGCAAAACTATACTATAAGTCAAGCAGTCCCATAATAACAATAGTAACCAGCCACAACAAACCCGGTGCGAGTAAGTCATTCAGTATCCTCCCCATTAGACGTGAAACTCGACAGTTCACCCAAAACAGCCAAAAGCGAGGAATCAGACGGCAACACCGATCTCGCCTCGGTAGCATGTGTGCTAGTTGTCACGGTGGTGACATGGAGTGTTTTCCCAAGCTCGGAATTATCAAACCGAGAAGCAACGGGGGCAACACCCAACTCATTTGCCCAGCGAAACAGCGCCTCAACACTGCGAGAACCACCAGCTGCGAACAGAAACTCCGGATACTTGATATTAGGGAGATGGTCTAGGATATAGGTGGCGGCTCTCCCATTTCCGAAAGCAACATGCGGCGGTTCAACCTTCACCGATGTTGCCTCGCGGACGACGTGGAAATCCGCACGTCCGCGGGCACCGTTGATTTGATAGGCTAACTCGGAGGCCTGGCGAGCGGCTACTTCGCGGTCGAGCGCACCGTCGTAGTGGAATGTTAGGGAGCAGCGGCGATGCTCGATTCCGCTGCCTTCAGTTCGCTCGTGGAAATACTCCATAATTCTTTTGATGCCGGGACGCCATTTCATGGCGCTTTGAGGCACGAATGGAATCCATAAATCTGATTCGGGTTCTTGTAGGAAGCACCCATTCTCGGCGATGAAACCGAGCTCGCAGGGGAGTTTTTCGAGTGCTTGCTGGAGCTGCTCGGTACTCTGGTTGCTGAGTATGTATAAGATGTTCTTGGGGTCGTTTATGAGCGTTTTTAGAGTTGAACAGGCTTTGTTTAGGGAGACAGACTCTCCTATGCCGAAATTTGGACCGAAGATTGCGCCGTCTTCTAAAAAGAACATCCGTGCTCTGGCGGCGAGATATGACCTTTTCAAGTCAGTAGGTGAAAGTGGAGAGGGGTGGTTTGTCTGACGAATTTGCTGTATCTCGTGGGCTTTTGTGAGAGCATCTTGTAGCCCCGTGTGCCATTTGAGGGCAGTATAGGGAGATTTGCAATCGAGCAGGAAATTCCAGTTGAGTTTCTGCTCTCCCGCTGACATCTCGAGTGCGGATTTGATCACATCGGCACATTGTTTGTAATCCCACGGATTGACGAGAAGCTTATGGCCACAAAAAATAGAGGCACTACCCACAAACTCGCTGAGGATCAGGGATCCATGTTTATGGGAGCTAAGCTGTCCATCTTGGCAATGAATGAAATCATGGCTTGTCAGGTTCATCCCCTCGCGCAGATTGGTGGCCATGAAGATATGTGCAACACTTAAGAGGGCAATGAATTGGAAGTGGCTGATATCCTGCTTGACCAGCACCAAGGGCTGGTGAGTGATGGTTGAATATGTTGCATTGATCCTCATTGCGATCTTTGAGATCTGCGCCTCCAGCTCTGGGATCTCAGATGCAGATGACATTACTTGGACTAAAACCACCTACAAGAAAACAAATTAGTAGAAAATGCAGTAAGCTATGTTACTCGACTTACCCGTCCTCTCCATGCTGGATAAGTCTTGAGAAAAAGCTCATATGCCAGAAGCTTCTGCTTAATCCCTCCCGGTGCATCCAATCGGTCCCGCGCTACAATGAGATATTGTCCTTGGTATTTATGGCGGATGCTGTGTATCCAACCCTTGACCTCGGTGGATTGGCGTAATGTATAAAGTGATGAGGGATCAATCCCCAATGGAGAATTCACAACCCTAACGTACCGATGGTTGAGGTGGACTTGATTGACAGAGACCTCTAGCCTCCTTAGCCGGCTGCAGGAGTGAAGAAAGTGATTGCAGTACTCCTCTGTTTGAAATCCAATCAAATCGGCACCCAGAAGCCCATTCAACAGTTCCTCGCGGTGAATCAAACAACGGAAGATTTCGGAAGAAGGAAACGGGGTATGCAAGAAAAATCCAATCTCGGCCTGGGGTAGTCTTTCCCTCAGGAGGCCGGGAAGAAGCAGAAGATGATAGTCATGAACCCATATTCTATCACCTGGCTTCCAGTGGTTGATGATTGTTTCTGCAAATGCCTTGTTGAGCTTGAGGTATTGGACCCAAGAGTAACCGTCATACTCAGTATGCCGAGGGCTTTCTTGCATCTGATAATGGAGGGCTGGCCAAAGTACCGCGCGACAGAAATGGGTGTAATGGCCCTCAAACTCGTTGTCACTCACAAAGACAGTCAACGAATCATACACGTCCTGGAGGGTCTCAGCGATGTCTGTTCTGGTAGAATCTGCCAATGAGTCGGTAGGCATGCCTAGCGTCCCCACCCAAGTCTTGTCCTTGAGCAAGCTCGACTTTTCAGCAGCGTGGATGGCATTTTGTAGACCTCCATGACCTTGTTCGGCAGCTTTGACGACCCATTCGGCATTGGAGAGCGAGCTTCGTGTGCTACTGTAGTATTTTATGTCCGATCGATCCTGTGATCCATCCAAAGACAACTCCCTTCTGCTGCTCACGATAGATGGTGTTGGGGGATCTGTGGCCTTGGATTTGGGCTGATGAAACCTCCGGCTGTGTCCCCAAGAAATGGCACGGGGCTCGCTCGGGCCGTGCCACAATCGGTCATTGGCAATCGGAATCTCATCTGCTAATCGCCAAGTATATCCTCTGAACACCGTCTCGTCTTCCGTCGTGGCTCCGGGTGTTAGTGGGAGACAGCCCGCAGGGCGAGTTTGATAATAGGCATCTGGCTGGCGTTCATCGATAGATCCAGGACCATCGACATTTGCATGGCTAGACAAGGACCCGCGATGTCCATGTTTAGGTTCCGTCACTTGGAAATCGATGGTGTACGGGAGGAACCTGGTATATACTATGTCAGATCTGTGGAGTTTTGTAGATGAAGAAGAAACTCACAAAGAGGCGATGAAGACCGTCATTGGACTGAATTATGACCTGATGCGATATCTATGTTGCAAATAGCCAAGGAGTTCAATGCATGCAGGTAACGAAACAATAGTTGAATACTGAAGATGGAGGGGCTCGGGCTTTTGAAGAGGAAGGGACATTCAGCTCATTGCTACTGCCATATGTATCTCACTCTGCTATCTGTTGTGCTGGGCCTAGGGACTATACAGTGAGATCTTTCTATTCTTCTTTGGGTAAATTCTGTTAAATAAATGAAGAGGCTGCACCTGACATTCCTGGAATAGTGAAAGGTTTGGCTGTATACGCAGGATATCTAGTAGCCAAAGTAAAATCCAGCCCTACCCCTTGTGGATAAGCAAAAACAATGACACCCCTCTGCAGATAATCCCACTGATTTTCCAGAGTACCTTCTTGCTAGTTAGCAGTTTGTATGGTCTTCTGGTCTTCATTCTTATTAATATTTCGACTCTTCTTCTCTGGCTCTAGGTCCGACTGAGTTCGACCTCAATCTCAAATCTCTCCTTGCCATACGGTTCGTTTCGTAGCATCGCTATTTTATCTGTCCTGGGGGGAAAGTCTGACTCGAATATCAGCTCCTGGACCCCTCTTAACGAGTGCGCTTTACCGAAAGTGCCATCTTAGGAGCTCGTCCGCGACATGGTTTGGGTCGTTTGGGTCCCGGCAGATCGGGTCAAAGACTCTTCCATCAACTTCATGGTCAGCCTTACCATCACAGGAAATATCATAGTCGCCAGGGACAACGCTCTTATTCGATGTTATAAAAATTCCATCGGATGCGATGCTTTATCGTAAAATGCCCCGCCGCATCTAGCAACACATCCTCGAGAATCCAGATTAGGTTAGCGTCCGTTACGGAACCGGCTTGAAAGAAACCTCCTAGGAGCTATCCGTTAGACGCGTCGTAGAAATGGATATTGTGCCACCTGCTCATATCTCTGCTTGACATGGTGGAAGGTTGATAGGCAAAGGTTTAACAGATGCAGAGCTCATAAGGGTTGACAAATGCGATAAGGCAACGATATAAACACGTGACCAGCTTCTGACGTCGGAACCAAGAGTAGTTCAACAGTCCATAGAAAGAGGCGCATACACGTCACTCTGAAAATTTAGGTCTGCACGGGCAATTTGACGACCCGAGCCACCATATCAACGAATTAGACGTAGAAGAATGCAAGATTCAAAATTGCCTCGAAGAGAGCTTGCGACAACGATAGAGTTAGCGTGGATTAGCGCATGACGTTTCGGCCCACCCTAGCTAACGCTATGGTCCCGTATATCCGGCGGGGTCACTCTCGAGTTGAACAAAAAACCGCATGGAGTAAAACGTCGAACTATGCCAACGTAAGGCTAACCTTAAGAAGTCAGCTGCACCGCGAGCCACCTATGCCGCGTGCGTGTCCTCTCTTCTTGGCTGGGGATAAGGCCGGTTTGAGGATAGCGCTGTTTTCGCGGTCACAAAATTGACAGATCTCTAAAAGATGGAGGGACGCGCAGGTATTGAATAAGTGTCGACGCGTGGAAACTAGATGCGCGGAATATGCATCCACAGGGAGAGCATGCATATCGGCTTGGCACCTTAAAAAAGGCAGAGCCAAGCTCATAGCATACGCCAACAGTCTTGCAGAATAAGCTGTGTCTTATTTTAGAATATCATCCAAGCAATAAAGTGAAGAGACACATGAGGTCTTGGCACTTGGCGTCCGGGGATAATTGATTCGCTCGGCTGGTTAAGCCCGAATTGCTTTCAGTTCTCCCTTGGTGGCACTGATCCCATGACGAGAATCAGTGCTGATATGAGCCTTGCGTGGCGCGTACGAATCGCCTTTTGCTTGGGTTAAGGTAGTAACTCTAGCTGTTGTCATTACCGTCAATACCGATGAGAAGAGAAAAATAACATACCTGACAAAAAAAAGACTAGTTGGAAGTTCCCGTGACAGACCCGGTTTTTTGAAATTGCTCGCCATCCGAGCTAAGCATCGAGACACCTTTCTCGGCATCAGAACTATAGAAACATCTGGTAGTCAAAAAAAAACTCCAGGATTCTGCTACATATGACGGATTGCTCAACTACTTATGCAACAATAATAGGCGTTCGATCGCACAGCCACCCAGCATAGCCTCAGAATATCACTAGGCTCAAACGCGGCTAGAAGATGAAACGACGGTGGCTGATCGACTTCCCCAGATAAAACGCCTGGTCAATACATAAATTTCCGAGTCATGAGATGTAATAGATTTCAGGGCTGGATCTTAGAGCGTGTGAATTTTAAAAATAGCATTATGATTGGCATACCAAATCAACGTGACCTAACTATATTTATTCTATACTGTAGTTGCACCCGAACATGACTGATAATGATATTGAGCTAGATATATACAGAGCCGGAGTACTTGAATATATTCTTCCCAGTCTTAACTAGAACCCCTGATTCATATGTAAGCCGGCTTATTGGGTATATACATAGCGCGGGTTCGGCCGATACGATGTACATGTAGATCGACACTTGCCCGACTGCAAATGGAAAAAGATACCTCCACAAGCTGGAACCTCAAATATTTTCCAGGGTCTTCTCGTGGGTGGTTCCAACGATGATTGGCGATGGAGAATGAGTTCCAGTGGATGGTATCGTTGTATGGAAAACGGACTAGCCCTAGCGATCCGCACGATCATAAGATGTATATTTTAGCACGGGAGATCGGATCATGGATCTCACCTTCACATTCCGATAGAAAGAATATGGACGATTAGGTATCCCAGGAATTAGGATCTCACATTGCATTGGGACATTCATACCAGAGAAGATGAAGATGCCTTTCCCAGGTTGGAAGGAGGGTCGGAAGCGCCCCTTCAGCTAGATACGCTAAGCCCGATTAGGCCGGTAGCACCGCCTCAAAGCGGCTTAGGCGGAGGCTGTTGGCCCCGATGTGAAATGCCAAGACGGACGCTTGCGCGTCTCCGGCCTCTCAGTGGACGAGCGGACGGTACAGGAGAGCTTTCGTACCTTGGCCGCGCGTTGACCCTACAACATCTCCTCGATATTTCTCTTTTTTTTTTTTTCTGGACTGGAGCTTGATATCACAAAGTTATGTGCTTTTATGGAGTATCGGCCACGAGCTTTGATTATTATCGCCTTATGAACTACTCAGGGTACTGATCGTCATTGTACCCAACCGTGATGATTATATTGACCAGGGCTGGAACCTTGAAAGGCTTAGTAACTGAGCCACGTCAGTGGATGGGGTTCGGCTCTGACTCGTTGTACTCCGTAAATACAGAAGTACAATATCCCTCAATAGTCTTGGAATCATCTGTGTGTGATGAGTCCGTCCCAAATGTCTATAGAAGCCTCAGCCATCAAAGTATAGACAACGCCAAGAAACTAGCAACGATCCATTGAAAATCTGGATGTCGACGTTACGTGTTCACGGGAGGCAAAAATACGTAAATTACGGAAATTACGGGGAAAAAGGGTCTTTTCCCTTGGCTTTTTCCTTTCGTTTTCGCACACGCGGCTTGGCCGCGGGGCCCGTGATTGGGGCCAGATGCTGACGACGCTCGTAATACTGCGTACGTGAATCCCGTCTCCCTCCCTCTCTCTCTCTCTCCAAGGGCCTGTCTTTCTTTCTTTCCCTTCTTGATTCCCTGATCTTCAAGTGTGCTACGTCAACTCGAGCGAGGTAGTCCCTTCTTTACTACTCGTCTCCGACATCCCTTTTTACACTTCCTCTTCCCTTCTCCGAACGTAGGGTCAAATTGGATCTCTTTCGCCCAAAGTCGAATTGTTCGCCAATTCCGAGGAATTCTGGATCTCAACAGTCATCGTCTTGGAAGTCTGCCGTGACTTCCTCATCGACTATGGCGGACGGCAGGCACCGGGCTACCCAGCCTGTCTCGAATGGCTACGACGCCGCCTCTTTAACACACGAATTCGAGCAGCTAATGCGCACCAAACGACTTAACCGACTTCATGAACCCTCTCGCTCGCGTACTCACTCAGCATCACCATCTCCAATGTCCAATTCATCAATTCCTCCGCCGCCAACGCGGGCTCCGCCACCACCTCCCTCGCTAGGGAGTCCTACCGCCGCTCCCTCTCCAAAGCCGACGACCTCATCAGCACTACGCGGTCTTCCCATCATGCCATCACCGCCCCAAGATGCAGCTTCACTGAAATTTTATAATTTATTGAAGGGGCTATCCGTGACACCGACCAAGTACGAAAATCCGGGTCTATTGGATGAGGCCCTGTCCGTGATTCCGCTCGATCGCCTGTATTCCGAGGCCGAGGAGGAATCTCAAATTATGCAGGCCCAGGCTGCCAGCGTGGCAGGGAAACCGGAATGGGGCTACCAAGATTGTGTCATCCGAGCATTGTTAAGGTATGTGGATTCCCTATGATCTAGAGCCATTGCGCCCTTGCTAACATATCTATCTTCCAGATGGTTCAAGGGGTCATTCTTCCAATTTGTTAATAACCCTCCGTGCTCGAAATGTCACATGCCTACGATAGCCCAAGGCATGACTCCTCCCACTCCCGACGAGACCGCCCGGGGCGCAACCCGAGTCGAGCTGTACCGTTGTTCCGATACCAGCTGCACCGCCCACGAGCGATTCCCACGGTATTCCGATGTGTGGCAATTACTGCAATCTCGACGAGGCCGAGTTGGTGAATGGGCCAACTGCTTTAGCATGTTCTGCCGCGCAGTCGGAGCCCGAGTCCGTTGGGTTTGGAATTCGGAGGACTACGTCTGGACCGAAGTGTACTCGGAACACCAACGGCGATGGGTTCACGTCGATGCCTGCGAGGGCGCCTGGGATCAGCCTCGCCTGTATACCGAAGGATGGCAACGCAAGATCTCTTACTGTGTGGCTTTCTCCATCGACGGTGCGACCGATGTCACCCGCCGCTACGTCCGCAATTTCTCCCGACACGGAAGCCCTCGCAATCGCGCCCCCGAAGAGGTCGTTCTGTGGTCAATCCATGAGATCCGACGCAAGCGTCGCGAAAACATGTCCAAGACCGACCAACGCCGCCTGATCAAGGAGGATGAGCGTGAAGAGAAGGAACTCCGGTGTTATATGGCATCTGCGCTGGCAGCAGAGATTAACAACATGCTCCCTCAGGGCCTCACCAGTCGCCGCGAGGACCAGAAACACCCAGGTGCTCGCCAGGAGGCCTCGACCGAGTGGCTCGCCGCACGAGGCCATGGTAACTCGGGACCCGACCGTTCCCATGAAGGACGGTAAAATTGGTGCTGGTAACCTGGCATCACAACAACCCCTCGGCTTCTGAAATTTCATATCAGCCACACCACTCATCGAACGATTGTGCGACCTGGATATTCAATATTCCACAGCCTCCTATCTCGCATCGGAGGACTGGCCGGGCACAGCGACATTCGATGAACCCTAGGCAACATTAGTTCCGACTATTGACCAAAGCCACTGCGGTCGCGCTAGCATTCCTTTTGGACGTCAGCATCAGAAGGACGACCATTGCTATCTTGACAAAGATTCAAGCATATGCGACCGCAGATTTAACGAGCAGACTCCCGGGCCTGTCCGTCCACAATGGCTGGCGATGTTGACCAATTGTCCTCCTGATCATTGATCATACAATTTCTCTCCTACGCCCGAATCACGACGTTTATCTACGCGATTTTCCATTTTCTTTCTCTCTGAGATACTACATCCGAGCCTGATTTTCCCGACCATTTTGACCGTTCTGCACTTAATATGGGTCACAACCGGGGTTTCACTTCATAGATTTTGCCCGGCGCCCATGGTGACGACGATATCTTCCTATCCTTTTCCTTTCTCCTTTCTTATTTCTAATATCTGTGAACTGCCCGACGACACATTACGAGTCACGGATGCGGCCATTTTGTCTTTACTTTTGCATGTCCTGGCAGGATCGCTGGTTCAATTTTCTTTCTTATATACCTGACCACCTTTTTCAAGGGTCGATTTCCTTTACTCTATATGGGCTTGTACCATTCAATACTAGCATTTTATTCTCCCACTGTATCCCACCATAAATACGAGACTACATAGTTTGATTATGATGCGATCTTCCCCGCGCCTAGCGTCCCCGGTGGAGACGAGTTCGATTTTTGCCCCTGGCGACATTATATCATCATGCTCACGCATAATTCTGTTCACCGTAGGGTCTGTAATGAAATGAACACAAATACATACATGTACCTGTAACGGAGCAATCCAACTGGATACCATCTTGATTCCACGCCATTCTTATAAGGTCAAACACGTGTTTTGTTTATTGGATGTATTTATAGGCCGACTCCTCTCGGTGGGTACAGGGTCTCACTTGAATCTCCATGCGGTGGAGTATAGGGGAAGATCAGAAAGCCGAGAATTGGAATTCTAATATGTAAACAGCAACATGGTAGCATTTGTTACATATGTATTGTGTTGTATGTTGAGCTAAAGGATGTATCCATTACCAATAACGTTCAGAAATGCCGAGTATGCATCGATGATACTCCGATTATAATATGTAGATCTGCAACGGTGTCTTGAACATACTCCGAAGTGATACCGAGACATGCAATGTGCCAAAAACAAGAAGACATCGTCTAGATAACAGACGATCATTGCATCATAGAACATTAATCACGCGATTTGCAAATCGAGCATTCTCACACCGCCGATATCCAGCAATCTACACCTCTCCGCCGAAGATCCACCCCTACGCGATCCAGTTCATGCGTATAATAACACTGACCCTGAAGCCGGAGCTCCCAGCTCCCCGTAGAAACCGTCGAATCCCCAGTGCCAGAAGAAAACGAGCTAGAATCCGATCCAAGACTCTTACAAGAGTCCTCGTCCGAACTGAACCCATCACCGAAGCCATCCTTCACCGCAAACCGAGCCCCAACCCTATCAAGATCCATATGCACATCTCTATCCACATCCCCCCCATCCCTCCCAATACACCCCCAATCCCACCTCCGCCTCGAAACAGCCCTCGACCGAACAACCACCCCGCTCAGCGGCTCCAAAAACGCAGCCAGTTTCTCGACCGGCTCGCTGAACCAGTTACTCTCCAGCACGAGCACGAACGACCGCAGCGATTCCAGCTGCGAGACCGCCCGACACGTCTCCGTCCACTGCGTCCGTCCGGCGGACACGTAGACCGCGCGCACGGAGTCCTTGCTCGGGAGCCAGTGGCCCGGGAAGGACCAGCGGAGCTCGATGGCGCGGATGCGTTCGCGGTGTTCGGGCGGGATCGTGGGGAGGAGGTATGGGAGGGTCCAGGGGTTACTGAATTCTAGGGTTGGGAGGGTGTAGAGGAGGGGGATGGATTCGTGGTATCTGGTTTTTGGATTAGTATTGGGAGTGGGGGAGGTCCTTTTCTCTGGGTGAGATGGGGAGGAGAGGAGAGGAGAGGTCATGGATACATCATATAGGTAGATGTAGGGTAGGGTAGGGTAGGGTAGGTAGGATAAGGAAGGAAAGGAAGGGTAATATCTCAACCGTACATCTGCCGACAAGTCAAGGCCAGACCCAGTAGCTTAACCTTATCCCAGCGCACGAGATCGGCCTCTTTCGCCGGCTGAGAGATGCCCGTGCCATGGCAGATCTCGCAGAATAAGTTTCTGTTCTGGCGCGTGTGGCGTTTCGGTGGTGAAGATCTGGGCTCGAGCGCACAGGGACACACCACGTGCCCGAGTCGCTGCTTGCTGCATTGGACTATGTGGATTCGTTGGCCGGCGAGGACGAATCCCCAGATCATTAGCCGAAGCTCCGGTGATAGCCGGGTGAGGAGTCGGCTTTGGAGTTGGGGTGCGGAGAACGCTATTGTTTGGCGGCGGGGGAGGGGAGGGGGTTTGTTGCCTGTTTTGTTTTTAGATCTGTTAGATTTGGGGATTCAGATGTAAAAGCGTAGGAATAGGAATAGGAGCTCGTTGCTTACTCTGGAACCGCTGATGCAGTACATCCTCCCAGGAGAAGACTCCCTGTTTTATACGGGCCATTGTTGATAACTCTTAAGACCAAAAACAAAGAGACAACGGCGAGATCGGGTTCCTAAATAGTTTCACGAGGCCTGCACCTGCACCTGCTGACTCGGGCGCAATGTTCCCGTCACTCCGGGCAGCGCCAAGTGCCTAACGTGGGCAAAGAGTCGGTGAAGATAAAGGGAATGCGATGGATTATTTATGGCCGTTGTATCTGGTAGATCTGGGACTAAACAAGATAAGGAAATGCGGAAGAAAATAATTCGGGCATTTGTAGATCGTTACTTATACTTATACTACAACATGTTATACTACGACTTGAAGATACTCCACGATCAATAGCAAACTCGCATTCGAAAGGTCGGTTTATAGAATGACGGAATTGTATCTAGCAATGTCTGCATCAAAGAATACTCCGGATTTCGCTGATTTATAGCCGGTACTCGGTATCTGGCCTAAAGTAGATGTTCAACGATGACACGGCATTTAAATGAGGACGAACATTGGTTATACCAGCTGTTGTATTCTATTGATGTTGTACATATAACCCTCACCTCCGATCAAGTGAGCGGACCAGTCTGTACATAGGTCTTATACCCAATCATAAGGAATCCAACGGCCCAACCAAAGTATTAACCCAGAGCGTTGATCTCGGGCGTCACCTTCAACCCGTCCATCAACATAGTCAACCCAGCCGGCTGCAGCTTGTCAACAGTGTCCGCTGCCGGCAGAGTGCCCACATAAGCATTGAAGTTGTAGATGCCGCAGGCACACGTGTCGACAACATCCTTCAAACTCGTCCCCGACAAAGCCTGAACCGTCTGGAAGCCACGGGTGACTTTGAAACTCTGTGCGCCCACGCCCATCGGCACCGAGTGTGACCAGACTCCCGGAGGCGCGATGTAGGTCTCAGTATTATTGCCTGACCGCACCCGCACCTTCGCCGGAAACTTCAGCATCGTGACGATGAACACCTCGTCTTTCATTGTGTCGGCGCCGTCGGGCCGGCCGCGGAAGAAGTTGCCGCTGGCGTTGTTGGCGCTGCCTTGCATTGTGTTGTCGGTTGCGTCGCAGTCGACGTCTTTCAAAGTGGGCCGGTACCAGTAGACCAGCTTTTCTTCCTCTAAGAATCTGATAGGCAGTCTCGAGCCGGCTTTGTAGGCGGCGATGAAGGGCTTTGCCATGTCGAGCCAGCCATTATGCGGCCTGCTTCCTTGTCAGTTGCTTTGTTAATTTACTGGGATATCTCTACTTACATGTCCATCACCCACTTCGAAGCACCGTCGTCTGTGTGCGGCGACGACAGCGGGCCGATATAATGCGATTCACCATAGTCATTCCAGGTAAGGATCTCCACAAAGCGAGGGCTGAGACGTAGGATCTCTCTCCACCGCTCATACCAGAGGAGATCGGAAGGGAACACCCAGTTCTTGCTATAAGAGACTTCGGTGCCGTAATGGGTCGAGAACCAAGGCGAGATGGCTATTTTTCAATTAGCAAATATGCATAGAAGAACAGACATACTCATACTCACGCGCAATGTATGGTTTCCCTTGGAGAGCATCCGCATAAGCCTTATCGCCATCCGCAACAGTGACATTCTGCCCAGCAGTCGGAGCCTTGTTATTTCCATCACTATCCCAGCCCATCCAGTTCAGGGCGCCGTCGATATTATCGAAATCGCCCTGGCCTGGGTGGTAATTCGGCGCAAAGAAGATATCGCTGCCAGCAGCGGATCTGATTGCGTCGATATCGACACCGTCGCCGATAAAAGACGAAACAAATACTTTCCCATCGACCAGGAGCTGCCCGGGATGAGCGGCATACTGCGCGATTTTCACGCCGACTTCGCTTCCCTGGCTGGCCTGCCACCAGTTAAAATCGAAGGAGATAAACACTTTCATGCCGTTGTTGGCGGCAGATTCATAGGCATAGTCCAGCTGGGTGTCGCCGTAAGAGTCGGTGCCAATATTCAACGCAAATGCATCAATACCTGCGTCTTTGGCACGCTTCATATCATCGTCATAGTCGCTGGCGCCTTCGCGGTTGCCGACGATGCCCATCTAGATAGCGTTAGTATTTTATTCAGGTTTTAATAATGCAATAAATAACCCACCATAAAATGACAGAAGACTAGTTTATTTCCTATGTTTTGATCGGAAGACGTCATGTTGGTAGTGTTGACTGCAATCGGGGAAGCGAATGTAAAGAAAGGCAAGAGGCCAACCAGGGCCACGAATAAGAAGAACATGGCTGTTTAAGCGGTGAAGATTTCCAAGAACCAGCCAAGGAATATCTCCACTCTATGAAGCTGGAATACGTGAAAGATAAAAAGGAATGAAAGACGTATCCAGCTTAAGGAGCGACTGGAGTGAGAAGTGAGAAAAGAAACATATCAAAGGTCGGACATAGGACTTGACTTAAAGAAGTCTTATATGCTTTTGGCGCTTTGTTTCACAATGCCACATTCTCTATAAGATCCACTCCTTGTACGGAATATGCGGACAATAGATGAATTAGACAAGCCCTAAAGTGGGCTGCTGCCTTCAAGGGGAAAAATCAATCCTGCTGGCGCCCCGACTGCCATAGTGCCACTTTGCCAGGCGGGGGTTCTCTAACCCGTAGATTCCCACTGGACAAACAAACCGAAAGAAGCTTTTCTGCGATCTGATTAGTCGAACTGGAACGGACTCAGGGGCAGAGTTATCTGACTTTAGGGCTGTCGGATTGGCCGAATAACGCCTCCAACAGCCCAGCGGCTAATTTCAGGGACTTAAGTGTTCCAGGTTGACCCCCCTTGATAACGGTGAATTCCTTGATTAGGGTAATGAGGCATTTGATAGATCTCATTCTGAAACTTCTTATACAGTATAAGAGATCAGGGATCCATTCACAACGCACTAGGTGCACGGTGTGTATCCACAAGTGTAGCCATCGACAGTGGGGTGCTCAGCCTTAATATGTTTCAGACCCTGGCCTAAAAGTCAAGAGGCGTTTGTCGCGACCCTTCATTATCAATACAGGATCTCCTAATCTGCTGAGCACAAAGCCGGAATACTCGGAATACTCGGAGTTATCCGCTCTATCCCACGATAGATGAGGACCTCGTTTGTCGATGTGCTTCTACCGAGTGCCAGCTTATGGCAATATGTGGAAGCCAGGAATATAAAGCCGAGTGATTAGTGCTGCGAAGAGCCTGTCATAGATTGAAACTGGTGATTTAGGTGAATGCTACTCCGTACAGTCCATCCCATTCACGGCTCCGGGTGAACATGCCATCATGGATGTTATATTGGACAAGTCAAACCCATGTAATTTCTGTTTCGGATACTCGGATACTCATAAGTCATTGATTGCAATCTTACTTTGGCGCTAGCGCTAATGCCCAATATCCGAACTAAAAGCAAGGAGACAAGCCCTGCCATCAAGGCCATGTGATGCACTATTAAAGCACAGCAAATGCAGAGACATAGCTCACCGAGCTATCATCAATATCTTCTACATCCGAGCTACGCTCGTATCGCAGGAAGTAGAAGCGTCCTTCCTGCTCGGCTGCTTGACTTGCTGTGACGATTTCCAGGGCCGCCATGATTACCCCGATCGGATGGCGCCCGCATACTGTGTTACCCGTGCGTTCAATAATGTCGAGGAAAGACTTTGCAGATCCCGTCGTGATGGCAGCCATAGTAGCCATGTCAAACGCTGAGATACTCTCGTGAATAGCCGGTTGACTGCTTGAGATGCGATCGCGTTGGCGCAAGGAGTGACCGGCTGAGGCCATCTTGACGGCCTGATCGACGCTGCTTGCATCCATGCCAGGTTGCGGAAGTATATCATCAGACAATGGGAGTTGTGGCCCTGGCGTGGGGGCCTGTGGAACATAGTATGTGTAGCGGAATCGGAGACCCCAGTGGCAGAAATCTGAACTTATCACAAAAGCGTTTGTCGGGTCCGCCAGGTAAGGGGCTAGAAGGGCTCCGAATGCTTGCTCTGTCGCGGCCGAGGTATTTCCGACCATGATTGGGACTAGAGGTGGATATTCCGAGGCTGGAGAATCTGGATATTGGAGCTGGAGCAAGCGGTGGATGTAGGGCAGATGCATCTCGATGCTGTGCTCGTCTTCATCGACCGAGCGCGACATGGTTGTGAAGCTAATCTTCGCCCCATTTGGTCTGGTTGCCTGGGTTTCGAGAAGCTGGGTAATCAGCTCGGTGTCTAGTGGGAGGGGTTCATCGGATAGAGGGGTACGGTAGGAAGTTAGCGTCGGGAGAGCCAGTGTTGCGAGCGAAACATGGTGTGACGGTCCCAGGATAAAGATTCGCTTCCTATTGTGAGGTTAGAGACTTTCATAGAAGAAGCGGGAGATAAGCTCACGCTTTGGAGAGATCCAGCGCCTTGTATGCGTAGGCTGCGCAGGGCCCCGAGTATGAATAGCCCGCATGCCTGGTTGATTAGTATGTTTGTTCTGCATAATACCATATGTATGATAAAGGTCCAGACATACGGTGCGATGATCACTCTGGCTCCTGGGGTTGGCAGTGAGCCGACCTTCTCCATCGTGTCTGGCACCTGCGCCAGCCAGCCATCCAGCTGACGGGCTAGGGTGCGGGCACTATCTGAGTACCATGATCCAGAGTGAGAGGCGTGTCGAGATGGCATGGTATGATTTGTGTTAATAGGTCAAGGTCAAGGTCAAATGTGAAGTGGTGCTCTACTCTTCAATTGAAGAAGTGGGGGGAGCGGGGGATCCCACGGAACAGCCAGCGCGTCATTGGAAGACGTCGGGATATTGGAGGATATCGGTATTGGATTTTATATTGGCAGATATAGAGAAGATTTGTAGTGAACATGTATTTTATAGGCGGTATTGGTCATTTTAGTCAACTCATATGAATTTATATTTGAGTATCATTTAGATATGTACCTATACCAAGATATGCACTGGCAAACCAAGTTACGGGTCGAATAGCTGAATAGAAAAAACTTTTAAAAGAAAGTGTTATCAAAAGTTCATTGTATATCCTGGGATACATATGTTATGCTTGTAGTCCTGGAGACCGAAAGAATGATTGCGACTACGCATAGCATGATGAAGTAATGGCATTGATACTCTAGGTTGGCGATATCTATTAAGAGTAAAAATAGTCTGTTTCTTTACAAATATCAAAGCGTGTTGCCAATGTTGTCAATGTTGTTATGAGCATCCAACCTGCTACCTATATTACCCGTTTTGGCTTAGCCCGACAGAATGCAACGCGAATCCCGCGAATGACGCGCTCAGCTAGTTGTGTTTGCGTCCAGTCCTCGTCTCAATTCCTCTTCTCTTCTCTTTCATTACCTCCTCTGTAAGACTTTATATATGCAATTACCTCTACAAACCCCTACCGGTCCACCTTACTATATACACCAAGCTCCGAAAATGTCCCTCAAGCGGAAAGCCTCCTTCATAGCTCTCCCGACCAGTCCGTCAGCTCCAGCCCCTAGTGAATGGGGCATGGTGATCGATGGGAGCCCACATCTCCACAGTCGAACGCGAAAACGCTTCAGAGACGATCGTCCTAGTGACCAAGTGATTTATCGTAAATGCCCCCGAGTACTCTCCCTTGATCGCGTCAACGTTCAATCGCTGACAGCTGGCAGAAAACACACTACGATGGATCTTCTCCGCCCAAAAGCAGCAGGAGTCTACACAGGCTACCGATATGGATACAATGGACTTAGAGCCAACCCCCGAAACACCAGAAGTCCTCGACCCCCGACAGCAAACATTACACCGATTCTTCCAACCAAAACCTCAGCCATCATCGGCTTTCCGACCATCCCGTCAAGCACTTGCACCTCGTGCCAATGAGACTGCGCAGGCCCATGAAGATCTCCTGCGTCGCCAGGCGTTTAATCAAATAATCTCGGGAGACAGCCCGAGCGAGAGCAATAGTCCTGGATCCAATCAGGAGAGTGTTGATGTGGACATGGATATGGACTGAAGCGCTAGTGATGGATTGGGTCAAGCGCCCAAGAACTGGCTAGAAGGAATGACCTGGATGTAATTCCATTCACGGGTCCTTTTTCAACATTGCGCGCTGGTGTTTAAATCAGGAGAGGTTATCATTACCTTTCTATCTATTTTGTGATACCTATTGGGTTATTTTGGCACGGTGTTATTGGCTACTTACAATCTATTGTTTTTCATCCTTTCTCGAGAGACTTTTTTTCTTTAGCAGTGGAAGCCTGGGGATAGTTTGAAGACGGCTTTGACTTTTAATGAACATACATCGCCAAATATCTGGCTTAATGCAACGTTACATACGTATAGAATAAAACTAGTAGCTGCTACTTTCAAGTATACTGACTTTTCATTATTTAAACACTATACTCCGTAGCTTTTTGAACATTGTAGATTCTAGCGTGATGGCCAATTAGCCTAAATGGCCTTAGGCACCAACAACGTTGTTTGTCCACCCGAGTGATCTCGTCCACCCGACGTCGTCCCCTCTTCAATTGAACCAGGCCAGGGGAATCCCAAACTGCAAGAGCAATTACTTAACTTTGCCAACCCCCCGAATAATTCGACACTGTCCTTCCTCCTGCATCGGAGTCCTTTTCAGCTCTACCCTCAGACTTCAACTCCCCCGCACATTGGAGGTCCTTGGGCTGCTGACACGAACCACGCACCAACCACAATGGATCACGATCAGTCTGTTAAATACTTGGAGGGGCTGTTGGGTCGCACACTGCGGATCCATACCACGGATAACCGGATGTTTCTTGGGCTTTTCAAGTGTACGGATGCAGTAAGCAGTCACGTATGAACCTACGTGCTATAGGGTTTGAAATAGCACACCGCGAATGGCACTAATCGAAAACTGCTTGACAGGACCGAAACATCATTCTCGCCAATTCTTTTGAATATCGTATGCCCTCCACATCTGCCGTACAAGCCGCTGCACACGAGAAAGAGCTAGAAGAAGGGCCGGAAGCAAAGAGCGCGACTTTCAAATTGGACATGACACACCGGTTGATAGGCCTCATTGTGATCCCAGGACGACACATTACGAAAATAGAGCTGGAGTAAGCGTTAATTTTCGTTCCGACCCGGGCTCGTATCCACGAGACCTTTGTTTTCCCATCTGGGGATCGTTCTCTATCCTATTCTCGAATGATAAACCTAGCTCTACTGCCCCACTATCAAGCAGCATGACAACCATCTATTGCATCCCACGCGATATGCCGCAGGAAAGGCCCGGTTTCTGCCCTGCGCCCACAATCACCCCGGTCCCTGCTTTCCGCCAGGACTAGACTTGGACGTGGGGCTGCCAAGAGGATTTCTTGCAGCGGCGCTCGCTGCTTCTCCGCCAACGTGGCACCGGGATCACAGCAGCTGCATTCAAGGTGGCTTGACAGGCAATCTGCAGTCGACATTGAAGTTATCGGATAGGGAGATTGTTTGTGGTAGGCGCTTTCAGTGAACAAGGGGTAATGGAGGGGCGAAATAGCGGTGTCTTCGCCACAGAGATAGATCCCTTGGCATACAGCGTGGTTGTTTTCCTGCAGAACCAAGAGTATATGTGGCTCGTGTGTGCTTCCGCTGCAATCTGATCATGAGACAGGGTGTTGTCTGTTGTTCTCTAGCCGCCTTCCACTGTTGGAAGTATTTGCAGGGAGCTTATGCCCTACCACGCAGCAACGTATAATATTTTGTGATGTATCATTTTGTTTTTGAACGGTGTTTGAGTCCTTGAGTCAGTGGGTGTTCCACTTTTTATCTCCATCACTTCTGATAGGAAGACTCGCCCTAGGGTGGTGGGGTCCAAGCTCCGGATACATTCTCTTGCGAGTGGCCGGGTAGATTCGGAAAAAGATTCTTGGTGTTTGAGTGGCTCTACCAATGCATCTGTGACGGCTATTTTCAGTGGCCCAAATGCAAATGTAAATGCATGTACGTTGTAGGAGAATTGTCGCTTATCGAGCGCTAATAAGTGGGTGATCCCAAGGACATAACGACAGCCAAAAAACACAAGAATATTGACCTAGACTATGATACATTAAAAAGATATTCAGAGTCAGGGGTCACAAGATCGAAGAAACAAGACAAAGAAGATATTTCCATTTGTGCGGTGTGAAGCGGTAAAGGGATAGATATACAACATACTCCGTACAGACCTTGGGGGCTCCAGACACTAGTTTTAGTTTAATAACCCAAAAGGATAAATAACCTTTTGATTAAAGCTGATCATTGACTACCCCCGAATCCATAGATCTTCAGTATATATATCAGAGCGCCGACTCTCCCAGTCCAGACTCTCTCCGACTCGCTTCCTCAATCAGGCAGCTGTCCGAGTTCTTTATATATCCCGGCCCGGCAGATACTCCGGCTGACCTAATCCCCCCAGCCCGATCGAGACCGGCCCAAGAAACGGAAACCACAGAAACAGCCAACGTTGTACCCGGAAAGTACCTTTTCGCTGTGCTAGCGGTGGCGGAGTACTTTTTCCCTACCTCTCTACGACTTTCCCTTGACTTTCTTGACTTGCAACTTTCCTCCCCCTCTTACTTTTCTTGTTTTCACTCTGGCAGGGAGCTTCTGCCCTGTTCTGTGACATCTCATCCCATTGGATTCTCTTGGAGGTAAATTATATCCCCGGGTGTGTCTGTGGCCTATTACGTGGACGACCACCCTTTCAACCCCCCCGTACATAATGACGCATTCCTCTACCCGCGAACCTACCATTCCTAGTTCTGCTCCTTTCAAGGACCTCCCTTGCCTTTTCTCTTCTTTTCCATCTCACTAATACCTCCACATGCCATCTGGGTTTCTGCGGAGTCAGCCCTGCAATCCCGCACCTGCATTGTCTCGTGCAAGAGACTAACTTTCGGTAGAGCTTCCTCAGCCTCCTTCCGCCTTTATCTTTTAGCTTGTCACCATTCCGAAAACCGATCGACCTGCATCAGTGATCAAAGCTCTGGTCCGCTACCTGGATCTGCAGTTTGACATCGCCATCTCGTCCGTTTCATTCGTCTTGTAACTGTGTTCACGTCTCGCACTTGCCTTCCGCGTGTTCCTCAGCGTTCCTCAGAGTTCCGATCAGAGTTCCGATCAGAGTTGGATTAGTGATAAACAGTCCGCACACAACCCGCTGTACACTTGCAGAGTCGCTCCAAGCTTTTTGTATCATTGCAGAAGCTCGGGCCAAGACATTCCAGCAACACAACAGGGGTTTCTTGGCATAACAGTTCGGACTTCCATCGTTCCTGCGGCCATCGCAAACTCAAGCTTGGCAGTTAAGCCTTGTAGTGATGGGTCAGTCGCATTCCAAGGGCAACGCCTCGGGCGACACTCTGCAGTCCTACCCTTCCTTTTCCAAGTCCGACACCAAAGAGTCTCTCCGCTCGTTCCGCGGCTCGATCCGATCCAAAATCCCCGGGGCCCGCAGCTCCGATAGCCCTCGGGGCTCCACCACTGCTCTCTCCCGTACTGAGAGCCAGACCGATAAATCCGATGCGGGCTCCCTCAAGTCCGTCGGAAGCCGCCCTGGCTCTAATGCCGGCCTCCCCTCGCCGGGTTCCGAGGACGCGTCGCGACCCGGCACCCCCCAACCCCCACCGTCTCCCTCGCTTTCCACCAGTCTGCAACGAGGTCACAAGGATGTAAATGTGATGAAGCAGAGCGGCGAGGTCGACCTTGTGTCAGATAACCCTCCCACTGGTGGCCCCCCAACCGGGGCCTCCGCGGTTGCTGGTGAATCAATTCTGATGAAGCGAGAGAACCAGCTGAATCCCATTTTGGACTTCATCTTGAACGCTCCTCTGGAGACTTCTGGATCTCCCGGAATGGGTATGGGTGCTTTGAAATCCATTGATTTGGACGACATGATTTCGCGACTCCTGGACGCCGGTTATTCTAGCAAGGTTACCAAAACAGTCTGCCTGAAGAATGCGGAGATTACCGCCATCTGTACCGCCGCTCGCGAGCTCTTCCTGTCGCAGCCTGCTCTGTTGGAACTGTCTGCTCCCGTGAAGATTGTCGGCGACGTTCACGGCCAATATACCGACCTTATTCGACTTTTCGAGATGTGTGGATTCCCTCCCGCTGCTAACTACCTTTTCCTGGGCGACTACGTCGACCGAGGCAAGCAGAGTCTGGAGACGATCCTTCTGCTGATGTGCTATAAGCTCAAATACCCCGAGAACTTCTTCCTGCTTCGCGGAAACCATGAGTGTGCCAACGTTACCCGTGTGTATGGGTTCTATGATGAGTGCAAGCGTCGCTGCAACATCAAGGTCTGGAAGACCTTCATCGATACGTTTAATTGTCTTCCGATTGCTGCGATTGTGGCCGGAAAAATCTTCTGTGTTCATGGTGGTCTCTCTCCTAGTCTTTCGCACATGGACGACATTCGCGGCATCGCTCGCCCTACCGACGTGCCGGACTATGGTCTGTTGAACGACCTTGTGTGGAGTGACCCGGCAGATATGGAGGAAGATTGGGAACCTAATGAGCGTGGCGTCAGCTACTGCTTCGGAAAGAAGGTGATCATGGACTTTTTGCAGCGTCACGACTTCGACCTGGTCTGCCGTGCCCACATGGTGGTGGAGGACGGATATGAGTTCTACCAGGATCGTATTCTGGTGACTGTGTTTTCTGCTCCCAACGTAGGTTCTCTTCTCTCGTGTTTTACTATGACTCTTATTGACTTTTCACAGTATTGCGGCGAATTCGATAATTGGGGCGCTATCATGTCAGTCTCTGGCGAACTTCTTTGCAGCTTCGAACTTCTCAAGCCCTTGGACTCAACCGCCCTGAAAAACCACATCAAGAAGGGCCGAAACAAGCGCAACAGCATGTTGAACAGCCCTGTAAGGAACCCCTCTTTGGATTATCGCCCATGGAATCGCTGGTGCATCCCGTACCTTATTGAACGAATCGCTAACCTATTCCAGCCCGCGGCGGTATCGGCGCAAAGTTATTAGGCACCGATTGTTTTACATTCGAAATTGATATCATCTCCTGCGATGTGTCATTCCTGTCATGGCCTCGATTACGACAGTCATTGACCGGCAATGCACACGACTTTCACCAAACTAGCAGCGTGGTAGCCTATCCCTTGTTTGATAATGGCTGATCACTGAAAACGCTCTGCCACCACCGCTCTCGCACCAACTCCGGACCCAACCCCCCCGGTATGGATGCCCAAAATGACGCTTGGCGCAGAAGTGAACCGGATTTCTCTGACCGGTCCGCGCATCGGAGCCCTTAATGCACCCGTAGCATGCGTGGACCCGCAGATCCCAAATTTGCAGACTCAATTGAAAGATATGCTTGGCCAAAGGCACGTGGAATCTCTAGAGAGGCCACTTCATTGTCGCCTAATTCGGTTCCAGCTCACAACGCAGACGCGTCCAGACCCACGGCATTTTTCCTCGGCCCCCTCAAACTCATAGCTATGTATATCTACATGCTTTGGTTATCAGGCCTCTCATTTCTGGTGTGGCATTCTCCTGCATGTACTTACAATATCTCTACTCTTTTATCCCAAAAATGGTATTACTTGGGCATCATTCGGATTTCTCTTCTACATGTCTAGCACCGTATCTCCTAGTATGTTTAAAATGCGTAGAATCTCAAGTTTCTTTGATAGTCGCCCTTGATCGGCTAGCGAAATTGCATATTCGGTTAGACTCAAATCAAACCCACACCGCTACATAATAAATGCCTCCTAACTTGACCAGAAGCCAGTTAAACAGACCGAAATGGGTTGCAATTATCAGTCAGAACTCTATACAGTCGTCGCTGACCAGTTGTATGTCTAGGCCTCAGTCGGGACCACCTCCCGACGAGCCTCGGCATCTCACCCGCCTTCGTCCAACATCGCCTTTTTCCACATGCAGAACTTGGTATCTGGCACGATTCTCAAATTTGGGCTTGGTTTACACCTGTGTAGATAACAAAAGCTTTACTTATTAGTTATATCTAGCGACTCACGTAGTTATCGGCATGTTCAACATCCACTTCCATGGTAGATAGAGCTCTAGTGATTTCTTTTCCATAAACAAACACACTCAATGGTAGAGTGATGAAGATTTACTAAAGAGAATAGATACTGATTCCTCAATCAAGCACCTATTTCCCTACAGCTCCCTGGACGAGCAAGAAAATTGAACCAGAACCCTAACTTCCGCCGCAAAAGGATTCGGATCTTGATTCTGATCTAAATTCACTAAAGTATGATTGAAATCACAATATTTCGCTTCTTCACCATACATATACATCAGCAATGAATGTATACAGCGTTAGCCCGGCATCTGCCAGTACTCAGTTGCCATCTCGGGAGCCAGCTCTCCCATTCAGGCATATGACCATTCTCGAGGTCATGGATTGCCTGTCAGTCTGTGATCACAGCTCCTTCTCCTTCTATATATCCCACGAAGCGATAACAGATCTGAGGCGGGATGAGATATGCGAGGGAGAATCCGCCGAAGAATACCTACTGCGCGCTGAGAACCATGAACGGCATTGTTGAGCCTGGCTCGGCGAGCTCGAGGGAGAGTCGGAGGTATACCGGGTTGTTGTAGGCTTCCTCGAGGAGGATTTCTAATGCTGGCAACGAGTGGGTTTTATAGAAAAGAGATAATAAAAAGTGGTCTGATGTTCTGTCTCGTGCGCCATGCGTAGGCTGCTCTCATTTGTTAGACTGGAAATGGAAATTGGAAGCTAGCGGATAAGGAAGAATGGACTAAGGGTTACATACTTATATCTAGGAATGAATGATATTTTCCTCCGATAAGTGCATCATTGTAGCTGTGGTTAGTATTCTCTCTTCGCCCTTAGCCTATATAGCAAATCTACATCGGAAAACATGAGTTGTATAAGATATCAATATTCCGTACAACTACATGAAATGAGCCGTTAGTAACTTGACAACGATTACTTCAATCCAGTCTATCTTTGTGTCACTTGATAAAAATAGGTACTGTCGGTAGGCATACCGTTGATAACATGGACAAGCAACCCCGCCACCGGCGAGTCTTCCGTACAGACATTCCACGAAGGAATGATCTGGACCACCAATGAAAACGGTCTTCCGAATACGCTTTGCGGGTTCCATTACTGCTTGTGGAGAGACTGACCAGCACCAGCGATAATCACCCCGCATGGTGGGTTTCAGCTATCAAAAGCACCGGAGGCCTGTCCGATATACTATCTGGTACTATACGCGGGGAATAATGTTGAAGGATAAAGAAGCTGGTCCCTTCGTCTAATTTGGAATGAGCAGTTGAAATTCATAACATCATAACAGAGATGCGTACCTTATTTCCCGGAAAGCCTGTAACCGGTCTTGCGCGATGCATTCGAACGAGCAACGTGCCTGCCTCCACGAGACTGCGCTTTAGTTCAACATTGCAAGCACAGGCACAAGTCAAGACTGATCCAAGCCCCTCACTACCACCTCTCTCTATCTTACCCGCGCATGTCTTGCTCAGATCTCTGCTGGTCTCTACGATATCGTCGAAGAGATTCCTCCTCATACCCGCGCTTTCCTTTATGTCCTTCCTCTCCAAACCTAACAGGATCTGGCTCTTTGATGTGGATCGGAATCCGATCCTGCATGGAATTTTAAAGAAAACGTTCTACAACCAATTCTGCGCCGGAGAGAATGCGGCAGAATGCAGATCTACCATCCGGGAAATGAAAGATATGGGCTTCCGCGGTGTGATTTTGACTTACGCTGCTGAGACTGTGTTTGATCATAGTACTCAGGCTCAGCACGGACAGGGCGTTGCTGCTTTGAAAAGCGAGGATGGGAACGTGTCGATTAATGCTCCGGTCTCCCAATGTCCCAGCATCGAAGCTTGGCGGAAGGGAACAGTCGAGACCATCGACATGTCAGATGCAGAAGATTACCTCGCAGTCAAGTAAGTTACTCTCACACCACCCATTCATGGGGTACCGACTGACCATTTACAAGATTGACAGGTGCTGGCATCAAAGCCACCGAGGCCTTCGCCGCTGGAGATTTGCCTCCGCAGCAAATGATGGACGCACTGGATGAGATCTGCACCAAGGCCAAAGACCGAAAAGTTCGCATCCTCGTCGATGCCGAGTCTCAGCATTTCCAAAAGGGCATTGCACGGGTCGCTGTTGAACTCATGCGCAAATACAACCGCGATGGTTATGCAACTATCTACAGTACCTACCAGGCCTACCTCAAAAGCACACCAGCGACACTGGCCAACCATCTAACTGTGGCAAGCGAAGATGGATTCACTCTCGGCCTCAAGCTCGTGAGGGGCGCATACATGGCCACCGATGAACGGTCCCTGATCCACGACACGAAAGAAGACACCGACAACGCTTATAATATGATTGCTCAGGGGGCGCTGAGAAAGAACATTGGAGAATTTGGAGACAAGGGCAGCCGCGAATTCCCCTCGGTAAATCTCTTCCTGGCAAGTCATAACAAGGAGAGTGTGGTCGCTGCCCAGAAGCTCTATAAGCATCGTGTCACGTCGGGCTTGCCCACCGTGCCTGTGCGCTTCGCCCAACTCCATGGTATGTCGGATGAAGTTAGCTTCACGCTGCTCCAGATGAATGACGGCGATGGGACACCGGAGGTTTACAAATGCTCGACTTGGGGAGATATGGGTGAATGTCTGGCCTATCTTCTGCGTCGAGCAATCGAGAATCGTGATGCTGTTCTGCGGACAGATAATGAGTATCGGGCGTTGAAGGCGGAGGTTTTCCGCAGAGCCAAGTTGACGTTTTCTCTTTCGCCATCTTCATAGCGTATCCGGTAGTATATGAGTTTATGATCAATGTATTGCACTGGCTTATACCTCGAGTTTCTCTAAATTAGGCCTGTATAGTGTATAGAGAGGAAGGTTAGGTAAAGATCTGCATGCTGTCAGAGAGCTCAGGCACGAGCGCTAAACCACCAAACATCATTTAAGCGATATGTATAAGTCAGGCGGGAAGGCCACGATTGTGTGTGGTTTTCTGGGGTAAAATCGTGGGGTTTGCGTATAAAGTACAAAGTGTTAATGGGTGCGAAGAGGGAGTTACTATTCGTATCTAGATCTGAGGGTGTCCGGGTGGTCACCTGACCACTATGTGAATGAGGCTTAACGTAAGATTTTGCATTGATTTGCTTTCAATTAATTAATTTACTGATTTACCTGAGTTTAATTTTTAGCTGTGGTTTATGCCTCTATAGAAACGACTATGTATGTATGCTACAAGGAATGTTACGAATGGAGCAAGGGTTTGTAACGAGATGTAGTATATGACAGACAGAATCTGCTGCAGAGACACTTGTTGTTTGAGTCTATCTATTCCTCCTCTTAAAAGGAAGCGCATTGTGGGTGGTCAAATGGATAGTTGAGTAATGTGGAAGCTCGAAGTGGAAGCTCGAATTTGTGGGCTCGAAGTGGAAGCTCGAAGTGGAAGCTCGAAGTGGAAGCTCGAAGTGGAAGCTTGAATGTGGAAGTTCGAATGTCGATGCTTGCTTGTCCATGCGATAGTGTTTTTTTACCTGAACAGTAGACGGTCTTGAGAGTCTCCTTTGATTGGGTACACGATGTAACTTCTTCCCGACGAGAAGTCTCTTTTAGAGCCTGCGGAGACTCTGTAGTTTGAGACCATTTCTTTTAATTCCTGCTGTTAAAGGTTGAAGCATGGTAGTAGTCGAATATAGATGGTGACTGAAGTGGAAATTGGATATGGTTGTTTGAATGTCGATGCTTGAAGTGGATGGTTGATTGAGTGGATGGTTGATTGAGTGGATGGTTGATTGAGTGGATGGTTGATTGAGTGGATGGTTGACGTGGATGCTTGATATAGATGCTTGGATGTAGAAACTTGATTGAAGTAGTTGCCTTGAAGTGGTTGCCTTGAAGGGGTTGCTTGATATGATTGCTTGGAGTAGATGCTTGAATATGGATAGTTGAGTGAAGATTGATTGAAGTGTAGCTTGGATATGGTTGTTGAATGCGGTTGAGCTTGGATGTCGATGCTTGAATATTGATGCTTGCTTGTCGAGGTGACCATTTTCTTTTACCACCACAGCAAACGGCCTTGAGAGTCTCCTTTAAATGGGTACACGCTGTAACCTCTTCCCGACGAGAAGTCTCCTTCAGAGACACTCCTGCGGAGACTCTGTCGTTCAAGACCGTTTCTTTTCATTCCTCCTCTTTAAGGTCGAAGCATCATGGGTGATTGAATCTGAATTTTGTTGATTGTGGATTGTGTATTGAAGGTTGATTAAAGTGGATTGAAGTGGGTGATTGGTGGATGATTGAAGTGAATGAGTAGAATGTGGATGTGGTTCTTGGATGTCGATGCTTGGATATCGATACTTGCTTGTCGAGGGGACCTTTTTTTTTTTACCACCATAGCAAACGGTCTTGAGAGTCTCCTTTAAATGGGTACACGCTGTAACCTCTTCCCGACGAGAAGTCTCCTTCAGAGACACTCCTGCGGAGACTCTGTCGTTCAAGACCGTTTCTTTTCATTCCTCCTCTTTCAGGTCGAAGCATTGTAGTAGTCGAATGTAGATCGTTGATCGAAGCTTGACGGAAGTGGATACTTTGATGTGGATAGTCGACTGAATGTGCATGGCTGTTTGGTGGTTGATTGAAGTGGATGGTTGAAATCGTTCGAGGGGGGGGGGGGGTT